CTCCCCCACCCGCCTCCTAGGCAGACATCTTGGTACTTACTTAACTTTTTTGTCCTAACTGATGCATATTGGAGTTCCCCTCTGGTACCCTGCAGGTGTCATTTCCTTGTTTATGATGTTTAACTACTTCTCAAACTCATTGCTTCTAAAATATAAGTTGAATGGTAGCTTTTGCCTAATGTAGGACATGTTCATGCTTTGTGTATTAATCTCAGTTATATATAGATCTTTCTCATTAACATAAATTTACTAACCTAAAAGCTGTTAATTGCTTATTGTCTGACATTAAATGATTGATATTCAGTTGCTTCTTAGTTTGAGACTCCTTTTCCGTCACAGGAGAGAATTTTAGAAACATTTGAATGTTCCAGTGTCCCAATCTCTGTTCTTTCTATAGAAACAAGAAAAATACTGGAATCACAAGCCTGGCACTTTTAGATAGAATCAATAGCCAACTTGATTTATCTCAAAACCAATATTAAAGTTACGTTACGATTCTGTGGGGAGTGAATACTTGACTTTTGTGTTGTGTGTGATGGAAAGCAGGAGACGAGAGGCTTGTCACTGAGAAGGCAGCTCTCTCCTTCTGGGAGAGAGTGATGAATCCCACGCCCCCAGATTGGGTGCCATGACCCCTCCCCGAGTGTCCGTGCTTGTGATCAGCAGTGGACCTGGGCTGCAGGGGCTGCACTGGGTGTGAGCCAGTGAGCGTCCAGGGCCAGTTCGTGAGGTCACAACCTTTCAGTAGATGTGGCCCTACCCTGGGCTGACTGGACCCAGACTGTGGCCATTCCATTGTGCCAGGGGGAGGCAGATGGCATGGGAACTTGCTTACTCATCTGACTGCCAATGATGTAGGTTTGTTCGTCCTGGAAAGCTCACTATAAAACAGTAGGAGCCCTTTAAGTATCCACAGTTACAAACTTAAAATTTTTTTATGCTCTTGATAGAAAATACACAGAAATTGAGATGCTGATACTGTTTTATCAAAATAATGAAAAAAAAAAAAGATGCCTTGTACGATGTGTTTAGTTAAACAATTCTCCATGGCACGTTGCCATGTACAAGAACATCCAGAGGGAACAATCTTGGTTTTGTGTAGGAAAGTACCAGGTCTTGCAGGAATGATGGACAGATGAAGGTAGCCTGCTTCCCTGGGGATGCCCTTAATTTTTCCTATTAATTCTTTTTACATTTCCCAAGTAATTTGTAGAAAAAAGATAAAAAGACGCCATGTAATCCAGTTTTGGGGAGAGTTAGTGTCGGCCTCTGTGCATTTGTGCGGACAGGGTAATGGGATCCCATGTTCTTGCTTGCTGCTTGAAGGCACGCTGCACAGTTTACACACAGGTGCCTTAGGGTTGCAAGATAGGCCTTAGAACAGCATGGCTGCAGGCCTCAGGTTCGTAGCTGTCACAGCTGCCCTTGTAAGTCCAGTGGCGCTGTGCTCAGACAATCCTGTCTCGGCCGTCCCGGCTTGGCTGACCCTGGCCAGCCACCTCGGGCTATCCTGCTTCCATCACTTCTCCCTGCACCTGAGCCGTTCCCTGTACCCGGTTGGCAGGACACTACCCCCTGTCCGTTCCCATTCTGTCCAGAATCACTTTGAAGTGAATTCACGTACTAAGTGTTCTGAAAGGCGTCTGTGTTGAAAAGTCATTTCAAAGTGTTGAAAGTAGTCTTTGAATTCAGTTTTTCATGTTACTTCTCAAACTTTGTGACAGACATATTTCCGCACATGCACACTACGCACATACACAGCGTGTGTAGTGTCCTGCGTTACTGTTGGGTCTATGGAATCTACGTACTTGAGCAGGTCAGCACTTGGCCCGGGGGTTTTCACAGCAGCAGGCCAAATACAGTTGTCCGTGTTAAATGGCGAATTCTGAGTTAGCTGGATCCGTAGAGGAGAGGCCGCGGCCCTCGGCTTGGCACCACGCATCCCTGGAGGAACCATTTACAGCTCAGCTCACACAGCCCGGTTTTGGAAGGGTGACAAGTTGTCTGATAACATTAGCAGTTTGTATTTAAAATTATTAGACATACAACTTATTTTCAGATGCAATAGGAGCCAAGCCTACTTTGAACCGCCCGTTGAAGCAGGCCGTGGCCAGCCCTTGCGCTATGGCAGGCTGTGCTGCAGCTAAGCGGGTCTCTGTGCTGCTGGCAGGACAGCAGCTTGTGGGGCGCCCCGGGTTGGGGTGCGGGCGCTGTTGGTCGTGCCAATTGCATGGCGGCTATGTGTTCCTTAAGAGCAGTAATTGCCTATGAAAGTATTTTGAAATTTACTTTAAAAGCTTTTTGCTTTGTTTCTGTAAATATTTTGAGTTTGAATTATGTGGAAATGTATGTATTTCTCGCTTTTTTTCTTTTTTTAAAGATTTATTTAGTCTTTATTTGAAGGCCCAGAACCAGTGCACATATGGGATCCTTGTGCTTGCAGGGGACAAGGCTAACAGATTGAGTCATTGCTCCAGGCCTGTGCCTTTTCCAAAGCAGAGTGAAACTTGCACTTTTTGATCATTTGTTTGTTTATTTTTACTTGTTGAATGGAGAGATAGAGACAGACAGGGACAGGCAGAGAGTACGGCCTGAAATGGCAACCAGTGCTTGAGGGTGGAGCCAGTTGAGCCAACACACCAGTCCCAAGAGTACCTAAAATCCATTTGGATGTTTGGACGTGTGGTTTTCATTTTGTTAAATAAAGATTTATTTACTTAACAGGCAGAGTTGCACTGAGCGGGGGAGCGAGGGAGAGGAACTTGATCGCTGGTCAGCTGCCCAGATGGGCGCGGCAGCAGGGAGTGTGCTAGGCTGCAGCCAGGAGCTCAGGGCTTGTTCCCGTCCCAAGTTGGTGCCAAGGCCCAGCAACCAATCATAAGTGAACGCACCAGGATGCAAACAGAGATGCCAGCGCTGCAGGCCGTGGCTGAACCCATTGTGTCACGTTGCCAGCCCTGGAAACTGGGAGCTTTCAAAGGATATTTTTAGAATTGAAGACTAAACCTAGGGGTGATACCCAGTGTTTTCCCGAACAACACTACTTACGTTGCAACCTCGGTCTCCCTAACAGCGTGTCCATTTTTAGGCCTTCAGGTCCTGGTCTGGTCTCATCCACTGCATGACATCTGTGGAAACTGTTCAGCTGGAATGTGATATTCATACTTCTGTCCACCCAAAACCACGTCTTCCTGTCATTGGTGGTCTTTCGTCACTGCTGTTATCCTTAACCCGGTTAATTGTTTTCTCCTTCATACCATATTTGTTTAGTAAAGATTTATGTGTTTGAAAGGTAGAATTAGAGTAAGATAAGAAAGGAGAGATCTTTCATCTGCTGGTCCATTGCTCAGATGCTTGCAGTGGCCGAGGCCGGGCCGTGTTGACGCCTGGAGCTTCTTCTCGGTCTCACGTGTAGGTGCAGTAGCCTAAACACTCGGGACATCCTCAGCTGCTTGGCTCGGGAGCTGGATTGGTAGTGGAGCAGCAGGGACTCCACCTGGGAGCCACACGGTCTAACCTCTATGTCACCTTGCCAGCCATGCTTTCCTTAGTTGACCTGCGTATCTGTAACTTCAGAGCTGGCAGTGTTTCTGACACAGGCCCGGAGCCTGGCCTGGCACAGGCGTGCAGTGTGACACACTCTGATCCTGTGGTGCTTGATCTGGTCTGTATAGCAGATCTCCACTGGCAGTTCACAATTGTGTTATGAGTTGTTAATCCTATAAGCTGTGTGTGTCCTTAAAATATTGAACATACGGTTCCCAGCATCCTTTATGTGCTGAAAGTTTGCGTAAGCTTAAATATTTATCCAGGTTTTTATTTTATCTTCTTTTTCTTACATGTTTCTCTGATCCCACGTGATGGTGTCCATAAAGCTTGTTTCAGGGAAATTGAAGGCAGTTATTTGAACGCGCTCTGAGAGCGAGCAGTGTCCTAGTCGGTTCCTGTGGGACACGTGCGCCTGGCGTGGGGGTTGGGAGTTGAGCAGGCTGTGGCTGTTGCTCCTTCGGGCTGTGCCTCCAGTAATGGCAACTTTCCTTTTCAAGATGATGATTACTCTCCGCCCGCCAAGAGACCAAAGAGCAGCGAGCCGCCGCAGCCCCCGGCCGTGGAGCCCGCCAACGCCGGCAAGCGGAAAGTGCGGGAGTTCAACTTTGGTACGTTTCTGCTCGGGCGTCTGGCACCTGGCTCCCTGTTTTCTCAGCCCTTTCTGTTCCTAATGAAAGCTCAGGGAGGAATTGCAGGGGAATTGTTCTTGGAAAGCGAGAGGCACTTGGCAGTGACTTAAAGACATGGCCGGGACCTAGTTTGGTTTTTGCCGAAGCAATGGGACATTGACTGTCCTGGTGTTTGTTACAGGTAGCGGAATCTCAGCCAAAGCTAATGAAGAAGTAATGCCATTATTTCTCTGAACACGAACTGTTTAAGGTGCCCCACCATGATTTTCTTCTTGATTTTGTGACTTTCATTGATCCTCTCCCAGTTGATTGTGGGTCCCTTGGAAGACACCGAATACAATAGGATGAATAGGGCATTGAACTTGTAGAAAAACAGCGTCTTATTGTTCCCCCATTTCTGTCCCAGTTAGTAGGTGTAAGGTGCCAGGTGTGAGGAATGTTGCTTGCTGTAGGGTCTCACTTGCACGCAGCCAGGATGGCTTGGTGCCCCTGGAGCCCCTTGCAGACCCCGCTCTTCTGCGTAGAGTGTGTGTGCTTGACTTCATCTTCCTGCACCCCTGCTTTTCAGAGATTGGGGGACTGCAAAGAGGGGTCCGTGTGACATTGAGTGTCAGTGAAGACACTCCGTATCCTTCCCTCTGGGGTAATGCTTAGAACCACAGTGAAAGCTCTGAGGAAAACAGTGAAATTCTGTAGATAAAAGTGGATTGGGTCTAGAGTATTGAGTAATTAATTCCTTAGCTATCAGGGTCATCTAAAGAATGTTCTAGTATCCCCAAATCGGTATCAATTAGTGAGAAATGACTTTGCTTTCATTTTCAGAGAAATGGAATGCTCGCATTACTGATCTACGCAAACAAGTCGAAGAGTTGTTTGAAAGAAAATATGGTATGTCTAAGCTGAGAGGTTCTTTGACTGCTGTGATGTTGCGTGTATGAGGAGTGATAGCCAGTGTTGGCTTTGGCGTGGGCCGGGCAAGCCCCCTGCTGCCGTGCACCCCTGTCCCGCCCCGTTCTGGTGTCTGAAACCATCTCTAACTTAGTGCGAAGCCCAGGGAACATGGCATGCTCTCAGTCCTCACCCACCCTTTCTCCTAAACCCTGAGCGTACCTACTGGAGGACAAATTTCCATGCTTATCACTGGATCCTGGAGATTTAATTAAAGATTATTTTCTGAGATAATTGTCTTTACTTGCTGTGTTAAATCCAGCATTTTTCTTTGCCCTTTTATCTTTCTGTTCTCTTACACAACAGAAACAACATAAGCAGTTTGTTATTTCTGATGGGCACCTAAAAATAACAGCAATCATGGAAAACATCTTGTTATCTTGTTTTTTTATTTGAATGACTGTTGTTTGCATTAGCTGTGACATGGCGTGTTCCACAGAATTTTAACTTGAAGGTTGTTACTTTTCTTTCCCTATATTACTAAGTGTTGTTATACATCCTGTTATCTATTTGGATGGTGGGAAAGCAGATCTGGCCTTCATTCACTCTTGATAATAATGTGGAGCAGGCTCAGTCCAGGACACAGCAACTCGGTGTGAGCCTCCCTCCCACAGAGCTGTCGGGGGTCCCGAGGCCTTGGAGCCGTCGTCGGCTGCCACGCCGGGGTGCCTTCCGCAGCCAGCCCGCAGCAACGCTGGCGCTCGGGGATGCTGGCTGCCTCATTGCTGCTCCATAGCCCACATCTAGATTTCTTTCAGCTCGAGTTCTAAGCATGTGTTAAGCTTCCTTTTTATTATGTATATTGATGAATTGTTTCTAGTTTTCCTCCATAAATGACAGCATAGATTTCAGTGAAAATCTAGACTAAAATAAATAACTGCTGAATTCAGCTCCTTCTTCCTTAATATTTTCAGTTATTTCCTAAATGTCCTGGTAGAAAGCTCATAGTTTTCACTAGTTTGTCCTCCTATGGGAGCGCCGTGACAGACAGCAGGTCGCAGGCTTGGCGGGGGGCAGAACACCTGGGCCGTGGCTCTGTCCCTCCCTGAGCTGTCTTGGCTGGAATGGGCACGTGGCCCAAAAGGTGCCTGGGAGAGCTGATGAGACAGTGACGGGCCTGCAGAAGTGGAGGTGTTCTGCCGGGAGACAACTCGCAGTGTTTGATCTTTATTACTCTGCACATCTTGGGCTTTGTGTGGCTGTGGTGTCAGCTTGCCCTTGGAAAAGAGTTTCAGTGCAAAATGTTTGAGCTGAGGACAACCCACCCAGTAACTATTGCACTCACGTTTCTGCCTTTTAAGATGCCATATGTCTTTTGTTGTGCCCACATACGTATTTCCTGCCATCAACTGGCAGGTGTTTCTGACATCATCATGTCGTGAAGGTTTCAGAAGCATGTGTGGTGTCTGTCTACGTCTCCCGGGGTTTCTGCATAATTCCGTTGTTCCATGTGCCTTTAAGTAGTGGCCCTAAAGGTGGGGTTAGGGAATGATGAGTGATATTTTACGCTGTCATTCCGTCTTAACCATGACCCCTTTCTCTTCTGTCCTTCAAGCTCAAGCTATAAAAGCCAAAGGCCCGGTGACGATCCCATACCCTCTTTTCCAGTCTCATGTTGAAGACCTTTATGTAGAGGGGCTTCCCGAGGGGATTCCCTTCCGAAGACCTTCTACATACGGCATCCCTCGCCTCGAGAGGATCCTGCTTGCCAAGGAGAGGATTCGCTTTGTGATTAAGAAGTAAGACTTGTGGACTCCTTCCTTCCTTCCTCTCCTGCCATTTGCTGCTGACTGCTCTTAGCTACCAGGGCTGTAATTAAATTAAGTGTGAGGTTTATATGTGTCTTCTGCTTTGTAACTTACCTGTGCTCAAGATTCGGACATGAATACCTGCCCATATAACCGTCATTTTCTTCCACGGTTTTCCACTAAGTATCCTAAAAAGGATGTATATTCATGTTTGAAATTTATTGTATTTAAACAAACTAACTTGAGAAGTCAACCTCCCATTTATCAGTTTCCTCCTCCAAATGCCTGCCCCAGCTAGGTTTGGGCGGAGCAAAGCGGGCGACCCCAGTTACTCTCTGCTGCCCAGCCCGGTCCCCATCAGCAGGAGGCTCACTGGAGGCCACACCAGTCCCCAGTGCAGGCGTCGTGGCTGCCAGGCTCCTGCCTACCTGGTCTTGTGGAAGAAAGGAAGTTCTTCCTTCTGCTAGTTCATTACCTGGTGATCGAACTACTGGGCCAGGCGGAAGCTGGAAGCTTTTTTTTTGGGGGGGGGGGTCTCCCATGTGGATTGCAGGGGCCCAGACACTTGGGCCATCTGCTGCTGCTTTTGCCAGGTGTGTAGCAAGGAGCTGGTTGAGAAAGAAGCTGGGGCACAAGCTGGCACCCTCAGGGTGCTGCTGGCATTGCAGGCTGCAATTTTAGCAGTTTTACCTGTTACTCCGTAATCCCGGAGCCTTGGCACTGGCTTCATTATTTTATTTATCTATCTATCTATTTATTTATTTATTTTTATTACAAAGTCAGATATACAGAGAGGAAGATCTTCCGTCCAATGATTCACTCCCCAAGTGAGCTCAATGGCCGGTGCTGTGCCGACCCGGAGCCTGGAACCAGGAACCTCCTCCAGGTCTCCCACACGGATGCAGGATCCCAAAGCATTGGGCCATCCTCGACTGCTTTCCCAGACCACCGGCAGGGAGCTGAGTAGGAAGTGGAGCTGCCGGGACTAGAACCAGCACCCATATGGGATCCTGGCATGTTCAAGGCGAGGACTTTAGCCGCTAGGCCGTGCCGCTGGGCGCTGGCACCTACTTCTAAAGATGAACAGGCAGGGCTCGTTCCTTTCCTGCCATTCCTTCCTTGTGCGAGTTGGAATGGTGGCTCAGCACACACTCCCTTATATTCCCTGAGATATTCTGAAGGTGTGTTAGACTCAGACTTTGTTTTGCCTAAAAACAGAAACAGTCTCAGGATGTGTAGCTTGGGATTGTGTGCAGGAATGCTTAAAAGGTCTAGAAGTAGGAGAGCGTTCAGCTGCTTTCCGGAAATGTGGGTTGACAGGGAGCTGTGAAGCAGGAGCTTTCCCCCGGGCTCCTAAGAGGGAGCAGTTGGCAGCAGGCAGTGTAAATTCCAGGTAAAGGAGCCGGGAGGTTGTCATCTGCTAGGTTACAGAGAGAGTGGGGTGCAGGACCAGCGAAAGAGCGTCAAGTCTTCACTGTGAGAGTCCCCTGGCCAGCCTGAGAAATGGTGCAGGTCTCCCTTGAAGGTGTTGAACAACAGTGAACCACCTGGAGGCAGAGAGGCACGTCACACACTTCATGATATGAGCAATGACTAGGTGCCAGCCACTCCTTCCTAAAGAATAAAAATGGCACCATTTTTGCGATGCTTTATTTAATTGTTTGAAAGGCCGTGTGAGGAGGGAGAGACAAAGTTCTTCCATCTGCTGGTTTACTTTCCATGTGGTTGCAACAGCCAAAGTTGGGCTGATGTGTGGGCAGGAGCGTCTCCTGATACCATTGCCCATGGGTGCAGGCTCCAGGCACTTGGGCCCTCTCCTTGCTTTCCCATGAGCAGGCAGCTGGATCAGAAGTGGATCAGCCAGGACTCAGATTGGTGCCTGGAGCAGAAGCCAGCAGTGTAAGCAGTGACTTTACCCACCGTGTCACAGTACCTACCCCTAGTTAAGTTTAAGATGATACCAATTTCAATCCCAAATTCTTGTTGCCAGCCAGTGTTGATAGTCATAGGCTAAAGCCGACATACCGTATCTGCCGCAGGAAGCGGTCGATGGCATGGGGCCTGTCAGGCGGTGAGTAGCAAGAACTCTTGTTCTGATTGGCCCCGTCCAGTGAGGCACTTAGCTCCTCTCTGAGGAGTTCACCATAGGAGTGACAGGAAGTACCGCTTGGGCCAGCTTTTCTGCTTGAGGTCCATGTGGCAGGCAGTGTGCTTAGCTCTGCCCCTTAAGCCAGGCACATACAGGGAGTAGGGATAATAGCTTCCTGTGTGTGTCTCAGAATAAGGAAGTCTGCAGTTACAGCAGGTGCGCATTCTTGACCAAGCGTGGGTTTAGGAAAGGTGAAGGGCGATTCACCTCGATCGCTGGCTTTATTTTCAAGTCCTGCTGCGTGTGGTAAGCGTCTTTGGAGAATGATGTAAATAACTTGGAGGCTCCTGCCATGATGTCCTTGAGGTGTGCACTGAGCTGAAAAGCAGTTTTAGAACAACAATCATTTCATTTCCGGTGATGTTCTAATACTATGGAGAAAGCAGGGAGGTTCCCGGCTGCCCTGATGGACGCGCTGCACAGACTGGCCTCTGTGTTGGTCGGCAGTAAGAGGACTTGGAGAATTTAACTAAAGGTGAAAGCATCCCACTGGGTACCTCGAGGTCAGCTGCCTCTCGGGCTGTGGCCAGCAGGTGCTTTTCTTTGAGATGCATTGTGTTTTGTAAGATCTAATGCGCTCTCAGGAAACTGGGTAACACATAGTGTGGGCTGCTCCCAAAAGCTTGGCACTACCCAGGAGCTGCTGGCACCCCTCTGCCGCATCCCACCCACACGGCTCCGTACTGTCCCACGTTAGTAAGTTACGCTGCTCAGAGAAGTGGTTTTTCTGTTTGTTTTTTTAAGATTTATTTATTTTTATTGTAAAGTCAGGTATACAGAGGAGGAGAGACAGGAAGATATTCTGTCCACTGATTTACTCCCCAGGTGGACACAACAGCCAGGGCTGAGCTGATCTGAAGCCAGGAGCTTCTTCTGGGTCTCCCACGCAGGTGCACGGCACCAAGGCTTCGTGCCATCCTCAACTACTCTCCCAGGCCTCAAGCAGAGAGCTGGATGGGAAGTGGAGCAGCTGGGACAAGAACCGGCGCCCATATGAGATCCTGGTGCAAGGCAAAGACTTTAGCCACTAGACTGCAATGCCAGACACAGAGAACTCTTTTTTTTAACAGCATTTTATTAAATTGCTTATTTTCTAGCTTTCAGGAGACTTGTTTTTACTGAAAGGCAAAGTGATAGAAAGCAAGTAGAGATCTGGAGCAGGACAAAGCCAGAGGCCAGCACTCCCTGCTGGAATCCCAGGCGACCTTCACCTGCCACCCCCCCAGGATGCATCAGCAAGCGGCGGGTTAACCTGTGCCTCAATTCCCGCAGTGTGGCCTCCCATACTGTGAGGACACGCCTCGTGCTACAGTTTGTGGTTAACGTTATACTTCACAGTTATGCCTGCAGTGCTTTTTCTTTACCACTAGACTTGGGGCTAACCATTGTCTGTGAGTAAGTAATACTATTTCTCCTGTTTCAGACATGAACTTCTGAATTCAACACGTGAAGATTTACAGCTTGACAAGCCAGCTTCAGGAGGTAGGACGCCAGTCTTGGGTCACATGAGAACGTTGTGTGGAGTCACCCTTGGCCACTTGGAGGACTGGATTCTTTGTGTCATCTTTCATGTGCAGTAATGTCTTTCACTCGGATGCCGTGTCAGGAAGGTCCCCATTGGCAGACTCTGATACTCACTACAGACGTCAGTTCCCATTATCAACAAGTATAAATTATGCATTTCTGGATAGAAGAAGCAATATGACTGCTTCTGCTGCTGTTAAGATATAAAATGTGATGTCTGGTATAATGCCTTAGGCACTTTGATTCTGCATTCATTTGTTTGAATAATCATTGATTCATCATACAGCAGGTAGCCACGAGCATGGTCACTTGGCTTAGTACGTGTGCTCTGATGGAAACACGGTGTGATCCATGGTGCCTTTGGCCCTGGTGTGTAATTGGCCGGTGACAGATTTGGCGTGGTGGAAAGATTCCCAGCTCGGTCGCTTTCTTCAGTGTTTCAGGACAAACATCATGGTCTAGCAGTTGTGGGGTTGCCTGGCGTCTGCTGTGTGCTAGCTTTAACTGTGCAGAGGAAGGGGAAATGCCACTGTTGCTCTGTCCCCGTGTGGTTTGCGGGCCTGGGCTCGTGCGGACGCCCGCTGAGAGTCTGTGTGCTCGTTCTTGCAGTGAAGGAGGAGTGGTATGCCAGGATCACCAAGCTCAGAAAGATGGTGGATCAGCTTTTCTGCAAAAAATTTGGTGAGTCTCATTTGTGCCTGTGGCTCGTGTGTGTCACAAAGAGATGCTTTGCCTTCATTCTGAGTTCTGCTTTCAGAAAATAATTACGAGAGGTGTGGCTTACTTCCAGTTTTCCCTTTATTTATTTGTTTATTTATTTTTTAAATTTATTTCTTTAGTATGTAATTGTGTATCTCAAATGTTTTAATCGGCACAGAAGGGGCCAGTGTTAAGTAAGAGATACCATTGCCCTCTTAGCAGAACGTTTTCATGCTGGGAGGTCTCGTTGAGCTTGTGATGGACAGGAAATGCAGTTGGGGTCCACGCCAGGGCAGAGTGGTTGCAATGCCCACCTCCAGTACCAGCATCCCGTGTGGGCACTGGCTCAGGTCCTAGAAGTGTCAACTCTGTTCCAGCTCCCTGCTAACGTTCCTGGGAAAGCAGCAGAGAATGACCCAAGTCCTTGGGCCCTTCCACTCATGTAGGAAACCCCAAGGAAGCGCCAGGCTCCTGGGTTGGGACCAATGCAATGAGAGGAATTGTGCCCATTTACAGAGTGCACCAGCGGATAGAAGATCTGTTTTTCCATGCCACTATAAATCTGCCTTTCAAATAAAAATAAATAAATAAAGAAGAAAAACATGCAGGTGGCCTTCATCTTTTTCCCGATGCTTAGGTCATTTTTTTCTCAACTCTTTTTATACATAGAATTAGGTTGGTATTTTATTTACTTATTTGAGAGGCAGAGTAACAAAGAGAAAGAGCAGAAGGGATAGATACCTGTCTTTCATCTACTGATTCTTTCCCTAAATGGCCTCATTGGCTGGACTTGGTCCAATCGGGAACCAGGAGCTTCGCTCAGATCTCCCACAGGCCCAGCTTTACTCCGCCACAGTGCAAGCACAAAGATTTTATTGTTTTTAGTAACATGTATGTTCACTTTCAAGTTGCTTGCATTGCCCAGCGTTGGGCAAGACCTAAGCCAGCAGCCAAAATGCAATGGTGTGGGCCCAAGTCCTTGGGGCCATTGTTTGCCGTCTCGTAGGGCACACGTAGACAGTAAGCTGGAGTCGAAACAGAGCCCAGGACTCTCCTGCTCGGCTGTGGGGTGCAGGAGGCCCTGTGCATCGCAGCCTATAGGCCTGGTGCCTGTCCTGAACCCTCTTCGTGAACCGCCAGTTCACATGGGGAGGGTAGTTGTGTGAGGCATTTGTGGGGTGTCTCAGCTTGTTTCAGATTTACTTATTTGCTGCTTGCTTTGGATTGTGGGCCAGTGGTTTCAGCTCAAATCTGGCCTACCTAGTCAACTTCTTTGGTTTCTGTCCAGCCGAGGCCTTGGGCAGCACGGAAGCCAAGGCTGTTCCGTACCAGAAATTTGAGGCACACCCCAATGACCTATATGTGGAAGGACTGCCTGAAAACATTCCCTTCCGAAGCCCCTCATGGTACGGGATCCCGCGGCTAGAAAAAATCATTCAAGTGGGCAATCGAATCAAGTTTGTGATCAAAAGGTAAGGAACCGACCTTCAAGCACCAAGTTGTTATGTTCCTTCGAAATGCTTGGTCGTAGAAAGGGTGCCTTTTCCCCCTCCAACAGCGTGGACTGTCACGTTTAAAATTAAATTGCTTATTTTCAAAATTTTCTTATGATGTTGGTCTTAATAAGAACCTATCTTTGGGAGCTTCCTGAGGAGTTGAATTCGATGAAGTGTTAGCAGCATTGTTGGGGGGAGGCAGTGAGTGTGTGGCCTGGGTGGTCTGTGTGGTCTGGGTGGTCAGTGGTGCCTGCACGGTGGAGAGGGGAAGGCATGGCTCCTGTAAGGGAAATGTGTAAGTACTTGGATATTTGGGTAGCAAGAAGTTTTGGAACATGCTTCCCTTTTAACGGGGTTTGCCTTATGAAGGTTATTCTGACTCAGTGTTAGAAGGTAGGCAGTAGAGGAAGTGATTTGAATGCAGGGGAAGAGACCAGGGTCAGAACACTTCCTTGGCTTTTTCACAGCGGTGTTGCTGCCAGAACCCGGGTATCATAAAAACCTTGGTTCCTCCCCATGGAAATCTGAGGCCGTCACATTACCGACGTGACTCCAGGCCTGTGCATCCCCGACGTTGCTGCTGTATCTCCCAGAGGTCCACAGCAGCAGTGAGACCACTCGCTGCTGGTGTTGGACAGTGGGTTCACCTGAAACACCACCTTAAGCCAGATGAGGTAGAGGCAGTCATTCTGGAAATCGGCCCCAGCCTTGACACAGTAGTGTTTGTGCCCATTTCTGGATGGAGTGGCGACCGTACGCTGGAGCCAGGTGCTCATGTGCCGGCACTGCTGGGAGCCCCGGACTGCATGCTACCGCCAGCAGGCCAGCAGACCCAAGGGAAGCCTCTGCGGGATGACTGTAGGACTGCGTGTGCTGCTGCTGTCCCTGTGGGCCGGCGGCAGACCTGCATTCTCTTCATTGGCACGGCAGTATCCTGGGGACAGCATGGGCTTCAGTGTCAAGGACATGTCAGTCAGAGATGTTCATTATGGCAATGAACCACACCAGTGGACAGGTTGCTCGGGTGATGATCCTGAACCGTCCGGGCCATACCAGTGCTGGTTAAGCCCCGTGCTGGACTGGCACATAACTCCCATTGCTTGCAGGTTTGCTGAGCTGGAAGGTGGCCCTAAATTCCTGAAACACGGTGTTGCTGCCATCGTTGCTCAGGGTTCTGGCAAGCCCGTGTGTGTTGAGGACTTCTCTGACCGTCCTGCTCTGGGTGGACAGTCTGGAGAGAGAGAGACAGTTAACTGTTTGATCAACAGACAGCCAGGCCGGCATGTGTGCCCAGAGACTCCTGCCACTTGTCCCCTGTTGTTAAGCATTGGTGAAAGAACAGTCTCAGAAGTGTTTGCCTCCATTGCACATTTTGCTATAATAGTAGCAGCTGAATGGGAAGTACTTGGTGGTGCATGTTACCTCACCCGTGGTCTCCATTCTTCTCCAGGCCAGAACTCCTGACTCACACTACCACCGAGGTGACGCAGCCAAGAACGAACACTCCAGGTAAGGCAGTTGCGGATCAGGCATTGGTGGCTTTTCAGTACGATCCTTTCAAGTCCCAAAGTCGCAGAAGCACCCCACTCCTCCAGCCCCATCGGTTGCAGCAGCCGGACGCAGGCATTTCTCCATACAAGGACATGCGATCCAGGGGCAGCTCGAGTCTTTAAGCTTTCTCAGTAGGAACGCATGGCTCGCCCATATCATTTTCTGTTTTCTGGTAATGAGATTTCCATTCCGTTCTGTATAGCGGACAAAAAGTATACAGCGAGTTATTTTCTGTATTTCATTTATTTATTTTACACGTAACAGCACATCCTGACTCCACCTGTTTGCCTGCCACATACAGCCAGCAGCTGCCACCTCGGGCCACACACAGGCAGCTGTCAGCTTGTCGTTTTTCCTCCTGCTAGGACACAGCCTCAGTTGGGTGAATCTTCTCACTCCCATTGTTTGAGTTTTGTTGAGATTTTATTTCTTTTTTTTTTTCCACATAATATTCAGAGACCTATCACCTTCTGGTTCACTGCCTTGATGTCCTCATAGCCAGGGCTGGGCACGGCGAAGCTGACAACCAGAAACTCAATACAGGTCTCCCTGCTGCTTGCAGGGACCCCAACATTTGAGGCATTTCTTGTGGCCTCTCTTGCTTGCTAAACTTCCTTGCTAAACTGGGATTGAGAGCAGAGCTGGGGCTTGACCCAGCAACTCCGTTACAGCCACTAGGGCAGCTGTCCACCCTTCCTTACTGACTTCGCATAATGGAAAAAATGAGCATTGTTTTCTTCCACCAGTTTATGAACTACTTTTTTTCTTTTTGTAAACATTTGTTTAGTTTATTGAAAAGTCAGATACTTAGGAGAGACAAAGAGAAAGATCATCCATCTTCTGGTTCACTCCCCAGCTGCTTATCCAGATCCAGGAGCCAGAAGCCTCCTCCGGGTCTTCCACATGGGTGCAGGTTCCCAAGGCTTTGGGCCGTATTGAGTTTCTGTGGCTTTTCCCAGGCCAAAGTCGGGGAGCTGGATGGGAAGCGAGGCTGTGGGGACACAGAGCGGCAACCATTTGGGATTTGACATGTGTTGTAAGGCGAGAATTTTAGCCAGTAGACTACCTTGCCAGGTTCACTTTAGGAACTTTTGTTGCTAAGAACTCAGTAGTCTGAGTGACAAGGAGGACGGGGGAGGGAGAGAAGGAGAGGGACCAGTGGATTCATCATCTGTTGGGTCACTCCACAAATGAGTACTGCCTCCAGGCCTGCGGCAGGAGTGAGGGAACCCGTCCTGGGCTCCTACCTTGGCATGATTTTCCACCACCTTCATGAGCACATGAAGGCAGATGGACTGAAGTGTTCCAATATGGGATTCAGAAGTTGACATTGCAATTTAACCCACTGCTCCAATAGTGAGCCCGGGTAGTGGAAAGATCAATGTTGGGCTGGCATGGTACCCTAGTGACTGAAGTCTTCGCCTTCCATGCACCAGGATCACGATCCCATGTACATGCTGGTTCTAGTCCCAGCAGTCAAGGACGACCCAAAGCCTTGGGACTCTGCGCCCACGTGGGAGACCCAGAAGCAGCTCCTGGCTCCTGGGTTTGGATTGACTCTACTCTGGCCATTGCAGCCACTTGGGAAGTGAACCAATGGATGGAAGATCGTTCTCTCTGTGTCTTCTCTCTGTGAATCTGACATTCAATAAAAATGAATAAATCTTTTTTAATAAGTGGGATGTCATTCTATGTATTAAACAAGTAAGTTTGATGATTTCAGAGAACGAGAGGAAGTGAGTCATCCTTCAGATCTTGTTCATAGCAGTGAGTATGGCTCGTCTGCTTGGAAGTTGGCGTGGCTGAAGCTGCGGCACAGTGTATTAAGCTGCAGCTTTGGACACTGGGGAATCAGCTGGAGCGCCTTTCAATTTCTGGCTGCTCTGCCTTCCATCCAGCCCCCTGCTATTGCTCCTGAGGGCAACAGAGGATGGCTTGGGCACCTCTGCCCCCGCCAGGCACGGGAGAGAGGGTGGAGTTCCCTAGTTGTTGGGCCATTTGGGAAGTAAAACAGCTGATAGCAGACCTCTTTGTCTCCATCTCTGCCACTCTGTCTTTGAAGTAAGTAATTTTTTCTTTTAATCGAAACAGAAGAGATCCAGTAAGAATTGGCAGCTCATAGCAAGCTACAGAAGTGCCAACTTTTCCTGTAATGCATAAATTGTCTGGAGCTCCCCCCTTTAGCAGGGTATCCAGATGCCCCGACAGCGGGTGCTGGGTGGTTTTGCCGCACGTCGCCTTGCCATGAAACACCCTGTCTGCCTGGGCAGACGGCAGAGCAGCGTGCACCTGCTGCGGCCTGGGGGGCGGCTGTCCCACCCCCTCCAGCTTCCCTGGCCTCAGCGTGCAGACTGACGGGAGCAAGCCACTGCTTTCTTTTTCTTTAAAGATTAATTTATTTTTATTACAAAGTCAGATATACAGAGAGGAGGAGAGACAGAAAGGAATATCTTCCGTCCGATGATTTACTGAGCACAACAGCCAATGCTGTGCCGATCCGAAGCCGGGAACCAGGAGCCTCTTCCAGGTCTCCCACGTGGGTGCAGGGTCCTAAGGCCTTGGGCCATCCTCCACTGCCTTCCCAGACCACCAGCAGGGAGCTGGATGGGAAGTGGAGCAGCGGGATTAGAAGTGGTGCCCATATGGGATCCCGGTGCGCTCAAGGCAAGGACTTTAGCCGCTAGGCCGCACCGCTGGACCCCCCCCAAGCCACTGCTTTCTTCATGATGTCGATGGACATGTGGATTTTCTCTATGTGCATGTCCTCTCATACTTGAAAAATGTAAAAAATAATTTTCCACTAAAGCCTCAGGTGTTTTTTTTGTGTGTTTTTTGAAACAAAATTAGCAGATTTCAGTGGAAAGATGGGTGTCTATCATGATCTGAGTACAAGTCGGCCTTGTTCATTACGTTGGTTTTTTTTCCTTCCAGTCAAAGAAGATTGGAATGTCAGGATCACCAAGCTGCGGAAGCAAGTGGAGGAGATTTTCAACTTAAAATTTGGTATGTAAGCTCTAGTGCTTTTAACTCACATTCATGAATTATATCGATATAGGTCCAAAGTTAGGATGGTGCTTCATTTCTCTTGGAGTGTGTGCCCAGAGAAGCAAGGAGGGGGATAACTCCCCATTCCATGGTCTGTCATCCCACCTAACAATGGGGCTGCAAGAGTTTGATGGGCTGTGTCCAAGAAGAATGGGAAAGTGAGGCATGGCTAATGATGGCCGTGTTCTGGCACATTCGCACCTATTACGCCATGCCTGGAGTTGAGCTGCTGTGTCCTACATCAGGATCTGAGATCTCCGCCCCTGTTCACTGTAGTGTCCCTGCATCTTACACGTGTCCTGTCCTTACACGGCCTGTGTGGGCGATAGCACAGGTGGGTGGGTGCCGTTACCGTGCGAAGTGGCTCCCGGTCATTTCTGCTCGGAGAGATGGCTTTGACCAGTAGTGTAACGGTCACGGTGTGCACACACACTGTGCTAAGTGGAAATGCCTTCAGTGTTCAGTGGATGCTATCGGATTGTAGGAGTGTATACACAGATAACAGAATGTGGGCAAACTTGGGTCTTGCATAAATGATGTCCGCTTCCACTTTCAGCTCAAGCTCTCGGGCTCACCGAGGCGGTGAAAGTCCCATACCCTGTGTTTGAGTCCAACCCTGAGTTCCTGTACGTGGAAGGTCTGCCAGAAGGAATTCCCTTCCGCAGCCCTACCTGGTTTGGAATTCCACGCCTGGAAAGGATTGTCCGTGGCAGCAATAAAATCAAGTTCGTTGTTAAAAAGTAAGTCATACTTGCCACCGTGGTCATTTCTGGAATTGAACTGTGTGCCTGGCTGGAAGTGACAGATGTGGCTTTCATGTTGCTGGTGGCAAAGTCGGGCTGGAGCAGTAGTGCTGGCATTGCCCTTGGCACTGGGATTCCTTCGTCCTGGTCTTGGCTTTGACCGCCGTCCGAGAGCTGTGCCGGCGGCTCCGTGGCAGCGCTGATCTGAGGACACTTACAGGGTCCTTGACATGCAGGCGTCTGTCAGCCCCGTCAGCCCTGCTCCCTCCTCCACCGGTGCTGCGGAATCTTTAGTCGCATTTCCACTTGTGCCCTGGGTGATAGTTAAGGGCAGGAAGATGGGGTGCAGGAGGCGGCCCCGAGCCCCTCCGTGGGGAGCCCTGGGTGTGCCTGTGGTTGTGAGAAGCCCCACTGCTTTTCTGGCTTTCTCTGCAGGCCTGAGCTCGTCGTTTCCTACCTGCCTCCTGGGATGGCGAGCAAGATCAACACTAAAGGTAAGAGCGGCTGCTGTCTGCTTTTCCCTCTCCTTTTTCCTGCCTTCTTGGACCCAAGCACACAGCTGACCAACATCTGTGGCTGCTGTGGCCTCGCTACTGCACCTGCTGTGTTTGATGCTTTTTGGGGGAGCTTGTTAGATTGATTTGTAAGAGACATCTTCCTTCTTCCAGTTCACCCACTAAGTGGCTACAAGGGCCAAGGCTGGGCCAGGTTGAAGTCAGGAACCTCGAACTCCACCTAGGTCTCCCACATAGGTGACAGACAAGCACCCGGACATTCTTCCTGTGCCTTGCCAGCGGCATAAGCCAGGAGCTACGTTGGAATTGGAGTGATAGGGACCCAGACCCACACTCCGGTATGGAATGTGGTGTTACAAGTAGCTTCTGGAGCCCACATGGTAGCATAGTGGCTGAAGTCCTCGCTTTTCACATGCTGGGATCTCAGAGGGGTGCTGTTTCGTGCCCTGGCACCCCCAGCTCCCTACTTATGGCCTGGGAAAGCAGTGGAGGACAACCCAAAGCCTTTGGGAACCCTACACCCGCTTGAGAGACCAGGAAGAGGCTTCTGGCTTCTGGCTATGGATCAGCACAGTTCTATCTGTTGCAGCCACTTGGGGAGTGAGCCAGTGTAAGGAAGATCTTCCTCTCTGTCTCTGATCCTCTCTGAATATCTGACCCCACTGCGTCACGTGCAGCTCTTTAAGGCCTTGCAGTTGGAGTGCTGCTCTCGCTCTGTTACGCCATCTGCTGTCGGCAGCCGTGTGTCTGCAGCCTTGCTGTGCCTCGCGTGGCCGGTTACCTCGGTGGTCTCCTTGTGGAGCTTGCCTTGCAGGGGGAGCCCAGCTGTGTGCGTGTTAATAAGTCATCACGCCACTGCAGGCTCAGCCCTGGCTCTGTCCCTTCTGTCCAGCAGCCTGTGCGGCTAATGGTATTCTTGCCTTACAGCACTGCAGTCTCCCAAAAGACCGCGGAGCCCCGGCAGCAATTCAAAGGTCCCCGAGATTGAGGTCACCGTGGAAGGTAAGCTCCGTCCCCCACCCCATCTTTCTGATGATGATTCTTGGCACTTGCAGCTATTGACCATGTATGTGTAGGTGCTGACGTAGCTTTCCACAACTGGCCTGTGTGTGAAGGCTTGTGAAAAGGGCCACAGGTTCGCAGAGCTCCTAAAGGACATTGTGAGAACACTCGGCCGTGAGATCCATAGACCATATTGTCTAAGGCTTGGAAGATCCCTAAGTGGTTATCTCCTTCCTACCTTTTACTTTTCTTGTGCTCTTTTTCAGGAAAGAAATAGGTGATTTAGCTGGTGGCTGCTTAGAGGAGGTTTAGCTGGCAGCGGTTAGAGGTAGCCTGGGGGCTGGCTGGCATCTGGCAGCACTGAGTTAAGCTGCCCCGGGGTGAATCCCGGCTCCTCTGCCTCTGATGCAGCTTCCTGCTGATGCTCCTGCCGCTGCAGCCGGTGGCTCTAGTGCTGGGCTCCCCGCCGCCAGGTGGGAATCCTGGATGCGGTTCTTGGCTCCTGGCGATGGCCTAATTCAGTCCCAGCTATTTCTGGCCACTTTTCTGCTTCTAAAATAAGATAAATAACTTGAAATAACTAGCAGCGCCTTAGGTTAGTGTAGTTCCTGGCTCATCCTGAATTTCTGTCTTTGTCCTAACTCCCACTGCATCTGCAGGTTTTTCCCAGGCCTATTGGAGCAGCTGGGACACAAACTGGCACCCGTATACATAGCATGCTGTTACTGTTGGAGTATTAGCCAGCTGAGCCATCACACCAGCCCCAGCAGTGCTGATCCTAGGTGGACCAAAGTCTCATGCTGTTTCTCTGTTTTCTCAGAGAAAGGCAAGGAGTGTATGTGAATGGTTTCCAGGACGTTTCTGCTCAGAAGTGGCAGCGTTCGAAGTACACACATTCCCAGTCCTTCATCGCTTTCTTTGAACCAGGAAGGTCTGAGAGTGTGGGGTACCCTTTCCATAAACAGCGTCCTTGGAGCCAGCTGACCTTCCCTGGGCCCCATGAAGGTTTGAGTGCTGTGTGCGGAAGCGAGGTTTAAAGGGAGGCAGTAGCGTGTCACCTTACAGCGTGGCTGTGCTGGGACAGAGTGCCAGGATGGCGGTGAGTGGTAATGCATTGTCAGCCCCCCGCTGGGGAAGGCAGGCCACATCCTGCAGCAGCCCGGGCTCCGCGAGTTTCCAGGGCCGGGGGGGACTGTATCATAAAATGATTACATGGGTATTTTAAGGCATATTAAATTGCCAAGAGCTGCATTCAAGTTCGGGTCTTGCCAGTCTGGAGTTCACTAACAGTAGAGATGTACCTGTTTACACTTCAGTAATATTCAGTTCCAAATTGTATACCATGTTTATAAATGGCATTTTTTTCTTCTTCTTCTTCTTTTTTTTTTTTTTTTTTTTTAGAATTTGGTAGGCAATGTTTTTTATGCACTAGGGTGTACCCAGTGTAACTACAAATATGAATTTTTTGAGTTTTTAGGTTTCTTCTTTTTTTCAAGATTTATTTTTGTTCGGAAAAGCAGATTTACAAAGAAAAGGAGAAACAGGAAAATCTTCCATCTGCTGGTTCACTTTCCAAGTGGCCGCAACAGATGAACCCGAGCTGATCCGAAGCCAGGAGCTTCATCTGGGTCTCCCACGCGGGTGCAGGGTCCCAAGACTTTGGGCCGTCCTCGACTGCTTTCCCAAGCCACGCGCAGGGAGCTGGATGGGAAGTGGAGCAGCTGGGATGTGAGCCGGGCCCCAAGTATGAAGTTCTGAAGAACATCTTTTCCCTTCTCTTTCTGCCTGGCTTTGCTCAGCCCGGGAACGCACGGTGTGCCTCTCCTGCCTGTGTCACGGTGCCCTGGTCCCGAGGCTGCCTGTGTCACTGTGCCCTGGTCCCGAGGCTGCCTGTGTCACTGTGCCCTGGTCCCTAGGCTGCCGGAGCCTTTGCACAAAGGGCAGCGTTTGCTTCCCTTCTGTTAGGTGGGGAATTGCTGGGCTTTGTGCTTCGTTAAGAAATCACTCAGCATTTGTGACTACTTGGACCCTTTCCCACGGGAGTGTGGCGGTTGTTGTTGCAGGACTTCACAGTCCTCTTTGTTGGAGTGAGTGGTTTGTGTGTTTAAACTTACTCTTTTTTTTTTTTTTTTTTTAAAGTAATTAAAAGCCAGGCCTGGGCCAGCGAGGCCTGGAGACGGGACCTCCCTCCACGTGTCTCAAGAGTGTCATGGGCCCGATGAGCAGAGCGAATACCTGCTGCCTCTCAGGCTGCACACTAGCAGAAAGCTTCAGCTGTGGACTAGTGGAGGCTTGTGCCAGGGACTCTGATACCGGAGATGGGCTTCCCAAGGGCAGAGTAACCCGCTTTGGCCCGAGGCCTGTCCTGGTGCTCCTCACCATGGCACTCTCCTACTGTGTGCCCCCTCACCAGTCCCTGGCCAGCAAAGTACCCATTGAGTAAATCAGTCTAGAACTGATTCGCAGCTCTGGTGTGCCACCTGGTGGCCACTTTATTATGTCTGTCCCACTTCATGTATGAAAGGCACTTTATGTTCTTGGAGAAGATGGGGTGTTCGTTGGTTTACCTTAGAGGCCTGTTGACAGAACCCTGGGTATGAACTGTCCTGATTTCTTGGGGTACATGTTCCTTTCAGGGGCAGCAGGCTGCCGGAGCCAGCTGGTCCAGACACACTTCTGTTCATCATTAACCATCTGAGGAAGCTGCAGTTCTTATTGAGGAGTTTTGGCATCCTTAAAGACTAGGACGTCATGTTACAGGGAGTGACCTGCTGTGTGTTTGCCATCCCTTTCTCAGTGTGAAATGGTTGCATGGAAGTCTTGTCTACCGACACGTCCAGGACTGAGTAGCTAGCCACCGCGGAGCAGGGGCGTGCTGCTCACTCCTAGTGCAGGTGGCGCCAATGCTACAGACCTGAGTTCCAGCAAATGGCGGCTGGAGCCAATGGGCAGCGTGCACACACTGTCAGCTGCTGAGTTGTTTGCTGCCTGGCCTCCTTGAGCAGGGGAAGCCCAGGTCCTGTCTAAGACTTTCTGCAGACTAGACAGTTGGAAATAGTTGCGTCCACAGAATGTTGGTTATCCTCGAAGGAATTGGTTGAAAGCACCTAGTAGAGTGTGCCATTGGCGAGAATACGTGAAGGTGCGCTGGTGTTCACGAAGGAGTGTGGGCGCCAGCCCGGGGAGCTGGAGCAGAGCAGCATGCTGCCAGGGAGCAGGAGTAGCCGTTGCAGTGCACGGAGGAGGTCTGTGCTGCCGGCGGGCGTCCGTCTCCACGGCTGTTCCATCGGTCTGGCGGCCCGGGCTGAAATCTGCGGGTCCTGGAGCGTGATCAGAGACACGTTGCTCTTGAGTATTTCTTGTTCTTCCTTAGGCCCCAACAACAGCAGTCCTCAGACCTCAGCTGTCCGGACTCCTACCCAGACCAACGGTTCTACTGTCCCTTTCAAGCCTCGAGGGAGAGAGTTTTCCTTCGGTAAATAGGCGTTTTGTTTTCCTTGCTTTCACATTAAGAAGATAATGATGTTTTTCTCATTTTGTTTGGCACATGAGCATGGCTCAGAGCACAGGCTGCCCAAGTCCCAGCCTGAAGCTCCTACACGCAGCTTTGCCCTTGCCCTTGCATGTGAACAGCAGACCCCCATGCTCCTGTGTCAGGGCCGTTAGGAAGAGGTGTGGCCTCCGAGGGGGTTGCTCTTGGCCCCCGTGAGACCTGGATTTGGGGGGCGCGGTGGGCGTTCCCTTTGAGGCAGCACCCAGTGGGAAAGCAGTGTGCCAGTGTGTTAGGGTCAGAGTAGTTGCCACCACAGCAGAGAAACGCAGCTGAAGCGCTTCTCTCTCGTGCTGCTCAGAGATGCTGGGCCTGCATCCCGACAGGTGTCACAGTGTCGTGACCTTGTGTTTTATATGCAGAGGCCTGGAATGCCAAAATCACGGACCTGAAGCAGAAAGTTGAGAATCTGTTCAATGAAAAATGTGGTAAGTTGACAGTAGGAGAGTATTTGTTATCTATCTAAATGTGTATTTAAGGTTTACTTATTCTTCTAGTAAGAGTAAGGCAGATTTACACTAAGATCTTTTGTCCACTGTTGCACACTACCCAGCTGGCCACCGTGGCTGGTGCTGAACCGATCTGAAGCCTAGGGGCCAGGCGCCGTCCTCCATTGCTTTTCCAGACCATAAACAGGAAGCTGGATGGCAAGTGGAGCAGCTGGAATGTTTACCTGTGCCTGTGTGGAGTCCGGTGCTTGAAGCGGGGGGTTTACTCTGTTGAACCATGGTTCTGGCCCTGGAATGTTCCTGGAATTGGAATGTGAAGTTGTGTTTTGTAAATAGGAAGCAAGCCTGAGTGAACCATTTCACAGCCCCCGACTTAACTGTCCCTGGGAGCACTTGTGTCTCCTCGGTTGGAGGGCCATGGATTTCTCTGTGGTTTCCCAAGCATTTTTGGAACTGAGGGAACTTTCCAAAACTAAGATGAAAAAAAGAAAGGGGAAAAAAATTAAGATGAATTTGCTTTTATCAATGTGCATGGTTATCAGTTCTAAATGTGGAGGGTGACAGATGCACTTTGCGCGTGTGTTCCAGGGGAGGCACTGGGCCTGAAGCAGGCGGTGAAGGTGCCCTTTGCATTGTTCGAGTCCTTCCCGGAAGACTTCTATGTGGAGGGGTTGCCCGAGGGCGTGCCCTTCCGAAGGCCGTCAACCTTTGGCATCCCGAGGCTGGAGAAGATCCTAAGAAACAAAGCCAAGATTAAGTTCATCATTAAGAAGTAAGGCCATGATACGAGACAGGGTCGCTCACAACCTGGGCCTGTGGGACGTTAGTGGGGGGAGCTATGTGCTTGTTGTGGAGTCTGGAAGACAGCCTAGTCCGTCGAAGGGGACGGAGGACAGGGGCTGTTGCAGGTGGGTGATGGCTGCGGTGGGAAAGTCTCCCCACAATTTGGTATTGCTGGTAGTTGGTGCTGGGATGGATCTGGGCAGTGGTTCTGCCCACGTCACTGCCTCTCCTTTTCTGATAATTTGAGAGAGGTCGTCCATGCACTAATTCACTCCTCAAATGCCTGAGGTGGCTGGTGCCAAGCTGAGCTAAGGCCAGTAATTCGGAATGCTGTCCAGGTCTGCTGGACATGAAGCACAGGTAGCAGGGAATCCAGTCCCAGGAGCCATCATTTGCTGCCTTCCCGGGTCCGCATGGGTGGAAGCCAGAGCCGGGATCTAAACAAAACAAAGATGAATTTGTTTGAAAGGAAGATGTTACATAGGTGCACCCTCTGGATCATTCGCCACATGGCTGCTTGAAGCCAGGAGCTCCGTCCAGGCCTCCCTTGTGCATGGCAGAGACCCAAGTCCTGGAGCCTTCCTTCACCTGCTGCTCCCAGGCGTATCAGCAGGCAGGTGGATGAGAAGCAGAAGAGTCCAGAGACCCCAACGTGCCAAAGTCCCCTGCCCCGCAGCTTGGCCCAGCCAGTGTTCTGTCTGTGGTGGAGGCAGCAGAGGCAGGGATCACCTGCTTAGCCATCATGGTGACATCACTCCCAGCTCTCAGTTGCTCAGTGCCCAGGGGTACTGTCACTGCCTTTTGCCCCGAGGCCATTTCTAAAGAGGTTGGCCTGTAAGGCCTCAGCTTCTGCCTGCTGCAAGAGACCCTGGTGCTCAAGCCTGTGCTGTGCTGCCTGTCTATGCTCAGGCTGCGAGCTGGGCACTTCCTGTTTCCCTTCTGGCCTGGGGTCTTCCCATGGTCTGGTCAGGGGGGAGGGTCTGAAGAGAGTTCGCAGCTCTGTGTCAGGTCGTGAGCCATGTCACTACCTGTCGCTCAGAGAGCAGTAGCAGCGCTGGGGGTGTCTGCTGTGGGACTGGAATGCGAGCCTTGTCTCCTGTCTGCAGGCCTGAGATGTTTGAGACGGCCATCAAGGAAAGCACTTCCTCCTCCAAGAGCCCTCCACGTGAGTGCCCCTGCCCCCCGCGGTGACAGGGCATACCCGGCAGCCAGGATGAGCTGGGCAAGCTGTCCAGCTGTAGCTGGTAGCGCTTGTTCTGAAAGCGTTTGCACTGCATGTTTTAGTTCTTCCAATAAGTGTGTGTGTCTCTCACTCGCTCACTTGCTTGATCTGCTAAGCTCCGCCACTCAGGGAAAACAGTCTGAAATGGAGGAATGGGGGAGTGCCCTGCCAAGAGGTGGTGCTGGCCTGACGCGGTCCCGGCCGCGGCATCCTGGGAGGACATGCTGAGCAGCTTGCCAGGGCCTCTCACGTTGGGCTTCTGGTTTCAGGAAAAATAAATTCATCGCCCAGCGTGAATACTACTGCCTCGGGCGTTGAAGATTTGAACATTATCCAGGTGACAATTCCAGGTAGGATTCCCCCCACCACCTGTGGTGTCACGTCAGCTTCCCCAAAAGTTGCCCGTGTGGATGACAGGGGCCATCTCTGGTGCCATGTGGACATGGGACATGCATCCTCCCCTGGGTCCTGTGGATGGGCCAGCCGGAGGGCAGCGCTTCCCCGTTTCCGCTCTGTGGGGCTCTCGGCGGGGGAAGCGTGGGGCGCGGCGCACCCAGCACGCTGCCAGGTACTGAGAGTCCTTTAGAAGCCCTGTGTGAAACAGCAGGTAACACGAGGCCGACTGTGCTCTCAGGTTTCTGGTTGTTGTGTCATTAGGCCGTTTAAAGCTTGATGATTTCACAATGCCAGACTAGTCGAGTGAGCGAGCGGCGGGCAGAGCTCCGGACCTACACCGGAGCTGTGCTCACGCTGCACTGTTAAGGTCTGGGTTTCGTCTGCACTGTTTCAGATGATGATAACGAGAGACTGTCCAAAGTTGAGAAGGCTAGACAGCTAAGAGAGCAGGTGAACGACCTCTTCAGTCGGAAGTTTGGTAAGTTTTGCATTTGCAAAGTTTACAGTTGCAGGTTTTTTTTTTTTTTTTTTCTGAAGACTTACTTATTTTGAAATATTCATTTCTGTATCTATTTGCAAGAGTTCCAGAGAGATCTTCCGCCATCGATTCACTCCCTAGATGGCCGCAGCAGCTCGGAGCTGTGCCAGGCCGGAGCCAGGAGCTCGTTCCAGGTCTCCCACATGGATATACAGGGGCTCACATTTGTGACTGTCCATATTTACCAACCTAATGTGATGGCTCAGTGGCTAAATCCTCACCTTGCAAGTACTAGGATCCCATATGGTGCCAGCTCCTATCCCGGCTGCTCCACTTCCCATCCAGCTCCCTGCGTATGGCCTGGGAAGGCAGTAGGGGGTGGACTAAAGCCTTGGGGTCCTGCACCCGTGTGGGAGACCTGGAAAAATCTCCTGGCTCCTGGCTTCATATAGGCTCAGGTCTAGCCATTGAGGCCATTTGGGGAGTGAACCAGAAGAAGGAAGGTCTTTCTGTCTGCCTCTCCTTTCCGGACATCTGATCTGACTTTTGAATCAAAGTAAATGAATTTTTAAAAATCTTTATGCTTGATATGCAGAGGAAGTGTTTGACTCCATCCTGGTTCTGTGCTCCCTAGGTGCTTGTCAGGGCGGCCAGGGCTCACCTGTGTCTGTCTCCCTGCAGGTGAGGCCATCGGCATGGGCTTCCCCGTGAAAGTGCCCTACCGGAAAATCACCATCAACCCTGGCTGCGTGGTGGTGGACGGCATGCCCCCGGGGGTGTCGTTCAAGGCCCCCAGTTACCTGGAGATCAGCTCCATGAGAAGAATCTTAGATTCCGCTGAGTTCATCAAATTCACAGTCATTAGGTGAGCACTCCCTTGCTGGTCAGCCAGATGTCCCAGAGGGCTGGGCCTGCTGGCTTCCGCCATGGAATTAGTGGACACATAGGGGTTACTTCTTTTTCTTCGTCATCGTCTTGGTTTTTTGTTTTGTTTAATGTATAAAGTTTTATTGTTATTTAAAAGAGGAAGAGAGCGAGATTTTGCTTCTACTGGTTCACTCCGCATTTGGCCACAATAGCCAGAACCAAGCCAACCTGAAGCCAAGGTCATTGGGAGGGAGCTGGATGGGAAGTGGGGGACTTGCCCCAAAGATTACAAGGGATGCTGGGGCCAGAGGTGGCAACTGTATCCACCCGCCACCAAGCTGGCCCCTTGTTAACTCTTTGGATGCTTCGAGACTCCCTCCCCCAGAACAGACTTGTTGAGTATGGGAGGCCAGGGCGTGGCGGCTCCTGGCCTCGGGACCCTTTACAACCTGCTGTGCCTTTGCTCTGTCGTGTGGCAGTGGTCAGAGACAGAAATGCAGCAGAGTTGTGTCAGTAAAGCAGGAGAATCTTGGAAGCCCCTTAATCAGTAGTTTTTAAATTACAATACCAGATTTGCAGAGAGACACAGAAAGATTCCCCATCCGCTATTTCACTCCCCAAATGGCCACCACAATGGTTGGAACTTATCTGATCTGAAACCAGTAACCCCTTCTAGGTTTCCCAGGTCTGGGCAGGGTCCCAAGGCCTTGAGCCATCCTCCTTTGCTTTCCCAGGCCACAAGCAGGGAGCTGGTTAAGAAATTGAGTGGCATGGTCAGGAATTTGAGTCCCTGTGGGATGTCAGTGCTTGCAGGCAGACGCTTAGCCAATTGAGACATTGCCCTGGCCCGCCCCCTAAGGCCAGCACCTCGCCGCCTCATTGCCCTGCAGCCACCTGGCCTCTAGTAGAACTATGAGCATGTCGCTGTGAGAGGCATCCACCCACAGGAATGCCTCAATCCTGAGTTCTGGTCCCGAGTCCCCACCCCCACCTCACGGCATCACCAGCACAAGGCCCCATAACGCTTGGACCCAGGAATCAGCAGCACCTCCCCCTTCTGAGGTTTGCATAATTCATGTTCATGTTTCCCCAGGGCCACTGTTGTCTGGTGGGCTCCCCGTTAGCCCCCCACCCAGAGCACCTCGGGGAGCTGTGGTAACTGTGATGAGTGCGCGGATACGCTCAGACCTTCCTTGTTGCAGAGTAGCCATAAACTGTCACCTTACACAATCCGTTTCTCTTTTTAGACCTTTCCCGGGACTCGTGATTAATAACCGTGAGTATCTCTCCACGTCGCGCATGTGCCGTTTGCCCGGCAGCCTGTGAGGGAGGTGTTTCCACAAGTGTGGGTCAGGAACCTGTCACTGCTTTTTCCTTTCTGCTTTGAACTTCTACGTTACTATTTTTTTCTTTAAAAATATATAATGTTTTTTATTTGAAAGGCAGACTTCAGAGAGGGAAGGTCTTCCATCTGCTGGTTCACTGCCCAGATGGCCGCGATGGTCAGAACTGAGCTGATCTGAAGCCAAAAGCCTCTTCTGGGTCTCCGTGGGGGTGCAGAATCCCAAGGTTTTGGGCCATCTTCATCTGCTTTCCCAGGCCACAAGCAGGGAGCTAGGTCGGAAGTAGAGCAGCTGGGACACTACATAAACATATTTTTAACATACAATATAGTTGAAGGCTTGGCGCTCCACCAAAGAAAGAGTTGAACAAATAGAAGGTGACTGGGCTGTGCTCAGCAAGAATAGGCAAGGACATTATCAGTAGTCAAACAAAAAGACATTGAGCTTCATTTGTATACAGTAAACTGTTCAACGTGTAATTTTTAATAATTTCGTTGACAAAGCTGACAAAACACTGTATGCAACAAACTGCTGTAAGCATTTCCTCCTTTGGGGATTGGTTCTGCTTTGAGTCTGGGGGAACATCACAGAGCTTGTTTCTCTGTGTCTGGCAAGTTCCCCACCCCGTGGTGCTCACTGGACCTCTTCCCTGGGCAGCGCTTGGGCAAGCCTGTGATGCTTTGCATCCAGACACGTCCTCGGTGTGATGTCTGACCGTCACTTGGCCTTGGCTTGTTTCTGAAGCAGAGAGCGAAAGAGAAAGCGCATGTGCAAACCCACCTCCCACCCATTAGCTCACTGACCTCAAACTCCCAAACCTGAAACTCTTTCTGGGTCACCCCTGTGGTAGCAAGAACCAAATTCTTAAATTCCTGCAGCTTGCCTCCCCAGGTCTGTGTGAGCAGGGAGCAGCCTGGGCAGTCGGCAGGAAGTCTTGTGATTCGCCCACAGCTCTCGGTCTCTGCTCTCCCCTCATGCCTTGGGGTAGTGCTTGTCACGGCAGGCCCGGAGTGTCAGAGTAGCACACGTGTGTACAAATGTCTCTCGGATGTCACAGCTCGTGGAGGGGATGGTCATGCGGCTCGTGTGCTTTGTTTTCAGAGCTGGTTGATCAGAATGAGGCAGAAGGCCCCGTGCTGCAAGGTGAGTGAGAGGCACCTGCCGTGCACACACGTACTATCTGCTATGCACGCTGCGTCACACGTGGTGCTTTGGTTCAAAGGCAGGGGCAGACTGCATGTGCTGTTGGCACCTCAAATGCCCGTGACAGCCAGGCCAAAGCCAGGTGCCAGGCACCGGGCTTCAGGAACTCCATCAGGCCCTTGGGCCGGCCTCTCTGCCTCCCGGCTCCATGAGCAAGGAGCTGAGTCAGAAGTGGAGCAGCTGGCGCCTCACACCAGGCTCCCCGACAGGCAGTACCTGAAGGTGCTCACCCCCAGAGGTCAATTTTTTCATTTCCTTTTAAAATTTACTTATTGAGCCCAGCTCCATGGTTCAATTGACTCATCCTCCCCTTGCTGCAACTGCCAGGATCCCGTATAGGCACTGGTTCATGTCCCAGCTGCTCCACTTCCCATCCAGCTCCCTGCTTGTGGCCTAGGAAAGCAGTCGAGGATGGCCCAAGGCCCTGGGACCCTGCACCCGTGTGGGAGACCTGGGAGAGATTCCTGGCTTAGGACTGGCCCAGCTCTGGCTGCTGCCACCATTTCAGGAGTGAACCAGTGGCTAGAAGATCTGTCTTTTTGTCCTTACTTCTCTCTATAAATCTGCCTTTCCAGTAAATGTAAGTAAATCTTTTAAAATACATACATTAATTTAAAAGTCAGAGTTAGATCTTCCATTCACTGATTGGCTTCCCAGATGGCCACAATTTGACCTGTTTTTTGGTGTTGATAACTTTTCTTCCCACAAGCTTCGGGGGAAGCATTTTTAATACTGAGTTTTAAAACTTTGATTTCAGTGAGTACAGTGGGCTGCTCTTCTGAGAGGACTGGTGATGGAGGACTTCTATTAAAAGAAGCCCGTGGGGCTGGTGCTTTAGGCTAATCCTCTGCTTGTGAGGCCAGCATCCCAAATGGGTGCTGGTTCAAATCCCAGCTGCTCCACTTTCCAACCCAGCTCCCTGCTTATGGACTGGGAAAGCAGCAAAGGATGGTCTGAATGCTTAAGCCACATGGGAGCCCTAGGAGAAGCTCCTGGCTCTTGGCTTCAGGTTGGCTTAGCTCCAGCTGTTATGGCCATTTTGGGAATGAACCAGCAAGTATGGATGATATCTGTCTGTCTCTCTCTCAACTCCAGCTTTTTGAAGTTTAGATGACTCTTAAAAGGGGCACAGAAGGAAGTGCCGGCCTCTGCAGCGGAGCTCTGGCTTATTATCAGTGCCTTCAGTTGTATTTGCTCACTGGCGAGCATTGCTCCGGAAAGTCTGACTTTGACAGCACAGTTGAGTAACTGTTTAGTCTCAAGGTCATTGCTTCACCTTGGACTTGGGCTGTGTGCACAAAACCCTGGGGGAACTGTTTCTGCATTGCTCCCTCCCCCTAGGCTCTGGCAATAGTTGAAGCCCTTGTACCCCTCCCCAGCCCTCTTAACCTGGACCTCTTGTTTGTCTTCAGAGTCCACTGAGCCCAGCCAGTTGGAGGCGCCAGCCTCAGAAGGTAATGGGCAGCCCTGAGGGGGACAGTGGGGTTGCTTAGGGCCCCCTTGGGGCGGAGCCCTGTGTGCCAGGCGCTGCATGTTCTGGGGTTGAGGGGGGCGCTGTGTGTTCCTGGGATTGGGGGCAGTGCTGCGCTGAGGTCCCAGCTCACTCAGTCCTAGCTAAAGGACACCACCTAAGTGCATGTCCAAAGGAACAGGTTTGCATTATTGGTGCAATTAACTGGGACCCTTTGTTGTTCTTCTAGAAGTAAAAGAGACGGATGGAAGCTCTCAGATCAAGCAGGAACCAGACCCTACGTGGTAGAGCTCCTACTATAGGGTAAATGCACCCTTGTGGAGATCCCGTGTCGCATGTGCGAGGGTCCCTGCGTGGGCGGTCAGATGGCCGTGCCTGCCTGCAGGTGCAGGCCTGGCGTCAGAAGGGCTCCTGAGCCCAGGTCATCACTGCTGATCTGCCTGATTGAGGCTGCCAAGTGCAGTCGACCACAAGCCCATTGTTTCCCACGCGTGACTGAGTGCATAACTGGGGCTGTCACCCTCAGGGGAGTGCTGGACCAAGTACCCCTCAAGACAATTGGCTGCAGCCCGAGGATGTGGCTCTACTGTGTTGCTGGATGGGGTCCTGGTTTGTCCTGGCGCCTGCCTTATCCGGGGCTGCCTGCAGCTCTCCCTGCATGGGGCGTGTTTGATCCTGGTGCTCGTGGTCAGAGGGCGGGCGGTGGCAGTGCGTGCAGTGCGGTCCCGTGCAGTCCAGTTGACCACCTAGGGCCGTGTGCTCTCTCCTGCTGCAGGAACGGTGGCGGGGTTCGAGAGAGGAGCTTCTGGACCGGAGCCTGCCACGCCGTGTAATATACTTGTATAACAGAAATACCTTCTATACAAGCCTTTTTTTCTACTTTTAGATAGAAATGTCTACTTTTTCAGCAGTTCTGTGAATTGAATTAAAGAGCAGAGTGACTGTAGGTTGGAATGGCTGGCTGACTGGGGGATGCGGGGCCAGCCGCTCCGGCCACAGGAAGCCGCCCGCTGCAGGCGCGTGTCTGCTTCCGAGGTAGTTCACTTCTGGCGTTGTTTAGGGAATCATTTAACCAACCCCTCGGTTGCGGTTGCCCCTGGCTTCCATGGATGGCTGGGAAACAAGAGTCTGTATATTTGACCAGGCCTTTCCCGTGCTGGCCATCACGATTCTTCCGTATGTGTCACCATTCAGAGGTAGGGGAGCAAGCAGGTGGCAGGCGAACTGACTATGGCAGCCAGAGCCTCCCGCTCAGGGCCCTGCTGTCAGGAGGGATTCTGTGGGTCCCCCTCTCCTTCCCCCACTCTGCTTGTGGTATTGAGGGCTTGGTGGGTGGCAGCTGTCTCCCATCGGGGCTGGGGCTCCCACCAGGGTGGGAGCCGGGGGCACTGTTGGAGAGTGCCGGCTCTGAGGGTTCCAGGCCGGTGCAGTGTGTCCCAGCTCTGTGAAAGCTAGAGTATGTCATGGCCTAGAGTTCCCAGTAGCTTTATCACAATATTCACAATGGAGAATTCTATTACATGGTAGCAGAAATAGGCATTTTTATGTGTTGCTTATATTTTACCTCAAATTAAAATTGTAGATATAGGGTAATAAATAAAACTCCATCCATGCCTTTCACACACGGACGCTTTTCTTTCTGGGGTGTCGTGCTTGCCTCGGGGGGCCACAGGCAGGCAGGGTGAAGGGAGCCAGGCAAACCACACGTGTGCAGTCACAGACCATGTTGTGCGTCAGCACCCATGCTACATGTTTGATTCCCCCTCAACCCCTGCCACCGTCTCCGGAACACACCCCCGATCCCCTCTGCCGTGTGCCTGGTGGGTTACGGCATTCCCCTTGCAGTAATGGGGAAACCAAGCAGGCCTGGGCAAGGGAGAGCGGGGTGCAGGGTTTTACCCTTGAAATGGCTTCTCAGGTAAGTCTGGTGGCCAGTTAATGAGGTCATCAGAAACTAGTCGGGAAACAGTGGGGCCGGGGTGGCGTCCCCAGGCCTCCGTGCCTGGACTTGAGCTCTTCCTGCAGCCCATGCTCAGGGTGGGGCGGGATGCCGACGCGCCAGCCTTCTCCTCAGAACACACCCATGCCAGGAACCGTCCCTGGTAGTGTGGGGAGATGTGGGAAGTGACTGGGCACTTTGCAAAGAGGTGGAAGTCGTTGCCTGGTACTGCTCCAGACCTACACACAGCCCCAAAATGGAATGGACCTGGGTTGCTGGGTGCGAACCCTACCCCTCCCAGTGAGAGCAGGTCCTTGTGGAGGGAGACGGGGGACAGGCCGTCTTGCTTTCCACGGTGTGCCCCAGGTAACCCTCAGGGCTACAGTGACCAGGAGGTGTCGAGTGGGCATCCACCCGCCTGCACCAGCCTCCTGAGTGGATGCCATGGCACGGAGGGTTGCCCCACCACCACCACCAAGCCTCCCCACTTGCCAGTGTGACCTCTGCAGGCTGCTGCAGGCTTTGAGGGCTTTGTGGGTGGCACCTGTCTCCCCCTGAGGCTGGGGTTCACAGCAAAGCCTGGTGGCCGTGGGCTTCCCCAGCTGACCGGCACTGCCACCTCCCTTCCCCATGCACCACACATGAGTGCACACACGCACCTGGGAGCCCTTTTGAAGGAAGTGTCGGGAAGCTGCCTGAGAACCAGGCAGCTGTGATACAACACCTGTGGGCCAAGACCCTTCCGGCCTGGACTTCCTCCTGGGGGAGGGGGTGGGGAGTGGCCAAGGCCTAAGCGAGCAGCCATCCCTCTCCCCACTGCTGGTGACCTCCATTTAGGAGGGACACCTGCGCATGGAGCCTGAGCACCCCCCAACAATAGGGACCGAGTACTCCAAGGCCCCACCCCTGCCAGAGCTGTTGCTGGCACCCCACCCACCCCCTTTCTAACTTTGACCAGGGTGGTGAGCTTGAAATCCCTGCCCGGAGTTAAGGCTTTCCAGGCCTGCAGAGCCGGAAAAGGCCGGAAGCCCTTGCGAGCCTGGAGACATCCCATCCTCCCAGCTGCGGGGCAGGCCCAGGCCTGGCAGTCCCACCAACCTTGCTCAGCCTAGGAGGGACTGCAGCCCCTGACCTAGCTGCTGTCCTAGCCTGAGCAGGTAGCCCCTGAGCCTGCAGTGCCTACCCCTGCTCACAGGACACCTTTCCCAGTCAGAGCAGGGACAGCTAGCTGCTCCCGGCGAGGCGGGGGGACTCCTCGGCCCTCTGTCCCCGTGCCGAGGATGTGTCCACTCTTAGCTGACAACTAACGGGCCCATCCATGCTGCTTCACAAGACTCAGGAAGCAGGTCTGTGAACCAGGGGATCGGGAGAGGCCAGGCCCTGGCCAGCACGTGTCTGGATTCCCCCTGCTGGACCTGGATTTCTCTCTAGCTGTGCTGAAGCCTGAAACTAGGTCATGGGCTGCAGACCTGAGGAGGCAGGCGGCAAGCTCCAGCCTCCACACATCCAGGAAGCAGTCACAGTTTGGGAAGGGCCCCTGCTGAACGTGAGAGCTGGCCCGTTCCAGTGCTGCCAGCTGGGCCCAACCCGCAGCCCTCGGGCCTCCTGATTGGACAGCAGTTCCCTGTCAACACCCCGGGGATTTCCAGGCCAGCCCATCTGGGAAAGGCGAGTGGCCTGTGGGCAGAGGAGGTGCTGTCTGCGGAGAAGCCAAGCTTCTGGGGGCCACCCTGGGAAGCCCCTGCTCCCCCCAGTCAGCCCCAGCACACGAGGGGTCCTCAGGAAGGTGTTGAAGGGCAGGCGACCTGTGCAGTGGCACTCAACATCCCAGCCCAAGGGCCTGGGGTCGCCTTCTGACTTCACCCTGACTTGCTGCCAGTGCACACCCCTGGACATGGTGGGGGCCGGCAGGGGAAATGGACGGCTCTAAAGCTTGGGACCCTGTCACCCACGTACGGTGGAGTTCAGGCCCCTCTGGCCCAGCACAGACTATGATAGACGTTTGAGATGTCAAATAAACGTACATGGAGAATGGGATTGAGATATGGTAAAGGTCTGGGTGCAGAAGTTGTGGGAAATGCACGCAGCGCTCTCAGAATGCACTCATGCCTGGTGAAGACCCCTCATGCAGTTCAGGTTCAAGGCCAAGAGTGTTGACCTGCCTGGGTTCCAGCACTGGCAGCCTCAGTTTCCCCACTTGTGAGGTGGGCAGAATCAGGACCCAGCATTAGATCACTTCGCTGAGATGTCCAGACACGGTCAGGTAGGGAAATCTCTGCCTATTGGCCCCTTGGGGTGGGGCAGGCATTGAGTGACCAGTCCAGGCAATGGTGCCCCAGCTGTCCACTTGGCCAGGTATTGTAGCTACTTAAGATCCACAGCTTCACATGTCAGAACTTAAACTTTGAACCAGTCCTATCTCTTCCCCTTAAAAAAAAAATGAATCGTCTCCCTCAGGTAATTCAGCCAGGAGCTTCATCAGGGTCTCCCACACGGGTGGAGTCTCAAGAATTTGGACCATCCTCTGCTGCTTTTCCAGACCGTAAGCTGGGAGCTGGATGGGAAGTGGAGTGACTGGGACACGAACCGGCACCCATAAGGGATGCTGGTGCTTGCAGGTGGAAGATTAGCTAGTTGAGCCATCGTACCAGACCCCCCCCCCAAAGTTTAGTGTGCTTCATTCAAGAGGCAGATCTCCTATCCTCACTGTTCACACTCCATAAGCCAGACTGGAGCCTGGAGCCTGAACCTGCGGCCCTGAGCTCCCAGGGTGCCAAGAGCGAGGCCAGAGCTGGCACTGGAGCCCAGGTGCCATGATAACGACTGTGGGCATCTTACCCCTGGGTCACATGGTGGTCCCTTGCATTTTGAAGTCATTTGATCCCACACGTTCATGAAAGCCAGCTGCTCCTCCCAAGAGGCTGTGCTGCTGCGTACGGAGGTCATGAGGAAATCACACGAGCTCTCGGCACTTCTTGCCTCTCCCACCCAGTCTGCAGAGGTCACAGTGGGGGGCAGTGCAGAGGGGACTGTCCCCTCTCCTCCCCACCACCCTTGGCCAGCTGGCGTGTGAGGGCAGGCAGAGCCGCCTGGCCGGGCATTGCGCAAGAACAAAAAGGCCGCGAAGGAAGGGAAGTCCGCCAAGGTCAGATCTGCTGGATCCTTCCTCGGTCCCCTCCCTCAGCTGGCACAGGTGCACTGCCGGCAGTGACTGTAGTCGCATGCTCTCCACTTTTTTTTTTTTCTTAAGATTTTAAATTTCTTTTTACTGGAAGTCAGATATACAGAGAGGAGGAGAGACAAAGAGAAAGATCTTCCACCTGTTGATTCATTCCCCAAATGGCCAAAATGACTAGAGGTGCGCCAATCCAAAGCCGGGAGTCAGGAGCCCGGAGCCTCTCCTGGGTGTCCCATGAGGGGACAGGGTCCCAAGGCTTTGGGCCATCCTGGACTGCTTTTCCCAGGCCGCAAGCAAGGAGCTGGATGGGAAGCAGAGCTGCCTGGATTACAACCAGCGCCCAATGGGATTCTGGCGTGTGCAAGGTAGGGACTTTAGCTGCTAGGCTACTGTGCCAGGCCCCTGTCTTCCACTTTAGATATTTGGAAGGGAGGGTCTCTCACACACACACAGTTCTGCCCTGGAAAGGTTCATTTCCCAGAGCCCCACAGACAGCCAGGGCCGGGCCAGACTGAAACCAAGAGGAGCTGAACTCCATCCGGGTCTCCCACGTGGCATGCCCTGCTGCCTCCCCATGTGTGCAGAGCTGGAATGGGCAGCAGCGCCAGCCCTTAGCCTAGGTGCTGAGAGGGACGGTATGTGTTACATGTGGTATCATCCCTAGTTTTTTGCAGGCAAGATGGGGCCACCCAGGGGCCTGAGATCAACTTGGAGGAAGGACATGCGCTTATGGAACTGTGCCCCTGCTCAAGAAAGCACCTGCTCCCTCCCCCACCTAGCCTCAGGCTCCCCCTGGCTGCCTGTGTCCATGTCAGCAGTCAGAACTGCATCTTGCACCTGTGCCTACACCCTCACCCCTGTATCTAGAAGGTTCTGCCATCAGGGCACTGGGTGGGGCAGTTCCTTACTGTCACTGAGCCATGTACTATTCATCTGCCTGTCCGACGTGGAAAGATCCTAGATGCATGAATGGAAATGACCAGAGGTTGCCCTTAGTGGGCCAGACATCCCCAGGGCTGGCAGAGGTCACCGGAGGCAGCAAGGGTCATGTCCTCAGTGGCCAGGAAGCGACACAATAGCCAGAGGCAGGGGGCATGGCCTTCATGCTTCCTAGTCAAAAGTAGAAATTGGGCCCGGCACAGTAGCCTAGTGGCTAAAGTCCCTGCCTTGCACATGCTGGGATCCCATGTGGATGCAAGCTTATGTCGCAGCAGCCCTGCGTCCCATCCAGCTCCCTGCTTGTGGCCTGGGGAAGCAGTCGAGGCCTTGAGACCCTGCACCCATATGGGCGACCCAAAAGAGGTTCCTGGCACAGCACGTTAAACATCTATCTGGAATGCCAGCATCCCATAAGAGTGCTGATTTGAGTCCTGGCTGTTCCACTTCTGATCTAGCTCCTTCCTCACGAAAAGCAGCGGAGGATGGTTGAGTTCCAGAGGGGGCAAAGAGGAAGCACCCCGGGTGGGAGGCTGTGCAAGTGAGGCCACCCACCTGCGACCTGGGAGCTGTGACCTCTGACCCACCAGGCAGGCAGAGGGGTGAGTCCCCATGCTCTCCCCTCGCCTGCAGTTCTTTCTCCTCTTCCTCCCAGATACCCTTTCTTGCAGAAGTAAGGGGTCTCCGTTCACTTGGGCGGTAGGGGGGGAGCTATAAGGAATGGTCCCCAGGGGAGGATTTGAACTTGGGTCTGTGCGAATGCCATGTCTGGAGGCATCCACCCATCCACCAAGCTGATGACCAAGTCATAGGAAGGACCCAATGGGGGCGCCGCAGGCTAGGTCCTTGCCATCAGATGGCTCAGCAGTCCCTGGCTGCCCTGGAGAGAGCCAGGGTGCCGGGTCTGGGGAGTGTGAAGTAGGCAAAGAGTGTTTCTCAGAAGAGGTGGCACATGAACAGAGAAAGGAGGGAAGAGGGCACAGCATGTGCAAAAGCCCTGGGGCGGGATCTGCCCGTGTGTTCCAGGAACAGTGGACGCAGGGTGGCTGGAGGAAGGCAGCCAGCGGCAGGGGGAGGGCGGGAGATGGCTATTGCCTCTCCCCCCACCCCCCACCCCCCTACCAAGCACACAAAACAAACCAAGCTGCGCCTGCGCCACCTGTGTGTGTGTGCTCACGCCCGCGGAACCTGCAGAAACTGAAAGGAGAAAAAAAGAAGAACCTTCCCCACCAAGACCGGGTCGGAGGCGACTTCCTCTTTGCAGCTTACTTAAGGCTTCTACAGGGCGCGGCGCACCCCGGAGACAGAGCTGCGCGGCTGACAGCCATGGGGGACATCTTCATCCGCCACATAGCCCTACTGGGCTTCGAGAAGCGCTTTGTGCCCAGCCAGCACTACGTGAGTAGTTCGAGGGGCGGGATTGGGGCTTGGGACATCTCCCCCCATCTTGGCAACACAGGCTCCCCAGCCCAGCCCAGCCCAGCCCAGTCCCTCCTCCTGGGCCCCTCTCTATAGCCCAGGGCTGAGATGGGGGGAAAGGCGTCGTCAACTCCCAGACCTGCCCTGCCCTCCCAATACAGGTGCATGTCCCCCAGACCCCTATGCTGGCTGACTTGTCCACCTGCCCAGAGAGCCACACACGAATCCCCCTATCCACTCTGGAGGATCTTTCTCTCTGTCTCTCCTTTCTGTATCTGCCTTTCCAATGAAAAAATAAACAAAAAATAAACAAACCCAGAATGGTGCCTGGGGGGTGGGTGGATGTCTTTCCTCTACTGGTTCACTCTCCAGATAAACGCACTGGGCGCAGCCAGGGCTGGGCTGCTGCCAAGCCAGGAGCCGCCTCTGGGGTGTCCCAGGTGGGTGCAGGATCCAAAGGCTTTCGCCCGTCTTCCGCTGCTTTCCTAGGCCACAAGCAGGGAGCTGGATGAAAGTGGAGCAGCCACAACTTGAATCAGTACCTCCTGGGGCAGCTTAACACCCTGTGCCGCAGCACCAGCCCCTGTAGATGTTCTGTTTCTTTTATTCAAAGATTCATTTGTTTGAAAGGCAAAAATGACAGAGACAGGAGAGAGAGCTTCTAGCAGCTAGCTCACTCCCCAAATGTCAGAGCTGCTGGCATGCAACCCGTGTGACTCTCAGGCCCGCCCTAGGGACCAAGCCTGCCTTTTAGCTCGCATTCTCAGAGACAGGCTCACGGGCTTCAGTCCCCAAGGCCTCTCCTTCCTGGGCTCCCCAAGTTTACGCCCCAGCCGCCTCCTGCCCCCCATCTCCACCCCCCGGACAAGCTGAATGACAGCGCCTGCCCGGGCCTCTCCCCAGGTGTACATGTTCCTGGTCAAGTGGCAGGACCTCTCGGAGAAGGTCGTTTACCGGCGATTCACGGAGATCTACGAGTTCCACGTGAGTTCTAGAAGGAACGGTGGAGGGGCGGAGCCGCCCTGGGTCAGCCCCACCCTAGGGGCGGAGCCCGGTCTGGGTGGGCGTGGCTAAGCATATGGTCCAGACGCCTCCCAGCCCGCAGCTAAGGAGGCTGTGGCAAAACATCTTGTTACAATTTTTATTGTTATTAGTTATTTAAAAGACACAGTGACACAGAGGAGATCTTCCAGCCGCTGGCTCTCTCCTCAGATGGCCCCAAGAGCCAAGGCTAGGCCAGGTGAAAGCAGGAGCCAGAACTCCATCTGGGACCCCAAGTGGGTGGCAAGTACCCAAACACCTGGGCCGTCCTCCGCTGCTTTTCTGGGCCACAAGCAGGGATGATGGATGGGAACCGGTGTCCCTCTGGGATGCCGGCGCTGGCAGACAAAGGATTAGCCTGTTGAGCCATGGTGGCAGCGCCCCAACACAGAATTAAGAAGATGCTGCCTGCAGTCAGAATGAAAACAGACAGGAGTGGAAGCCGGGAGAGGGGTGAGGGGAGCTGCAGTACTGACCGCGGCCTGGTGGTGTCCCTGGTCAGACCTGGACGCGGGTGGGCAGTACAAGGGGGGGGACCAAGGATGGGGATGAAGCACCCCCTCCCCTTCACGGCCTTCTTTCTTTTGTTTAGAAGACGTTAAAAGAAATGTTCCCCATTGAGGCAGGAGAGATTAACTCAGGTGACAGGATTATCCCACACCTCCCAGGTGAGTTACGTGGTGGGGGCATGTCACCTGCCCCAGGTTCCCCTGCACCTGTTCACCCAGCAGCCTCTCTGCCCAGCCCTACTCTTGACCTTGACCTTGCCAGCATGCTCACCGTTCGTTGCCTTGTGTGGCCAGCTCCCAGGTGGTTTGATGGGCGGCAGCGAGTAGCCGAGAGCCGCCAGGGCACGCTCACCGAGTACTGCAGCGCACTCATGGGGCTGCCCACCAAGATCTCGCGCTGTCCCCACCTGCTGGACTTCTTCAAGGTGCGCCCGGAAGACCTGCAGCTCCCTACTGACAGTCAGTGAGTGCACACCGGGCTTGAGAGGGACTCGGGGGGGCTCCCCCTTCTGCAGACTGGGAGCTCAGAGAGGGGAAGCCACAGGTTCGGTCACACAGCCTGAAGGAGAGATGGCAAGCAGCACTGGGCAGCTCCGAAGATGCCAGCAGCCCGGTCGTGTCCTCATGGGGCCACGTGGTCTCTTCCAGGCCAAGCGGGTGCCCCCTGCCCTGGCATTCCAGCCTACACTGATTGTGGTGCTGAGGCTAGGTGTTCCAGCTGTCTTCCCTCGGGCTCCCCAGGCCTCCCCCTTGCTGGTCCACATTCCCTGCCGTTGCTTCTGTGGCCACCCTGGGTCCCTTTGCTGTTCTTTTCCTTGTGGGAAGTCCTTCTGTAGATCTACCCAGTGGGAGTGGGAGGTCCAGCCCAGCAGCTAACACGGACTGCTTGCTCTGTCGTCAGGGCAAAGAAGCCGGAGACATACTTGATGCCCAAAGATGGCAAGAGCCACATGGCAGGTGAGAGAGAGCGTGCCAGGTGGGGCGGGGCTAGGAGGCAGTGGGCGTGGCTAAGACCAAGGGCAGAAGGAAAGGTGTAGGGAGCAGGGAGGCTGTGGGGTTGAGAACTGGGTCTTGGGGGAGAGGGCAGGCTTCCACTGGTGACCTGGAGCCAGGAGCCTGGAGCCCTTCCGGGTCTTCCACGCGGGTATAGGATCCCAAGGCTTTGGGCCATCCTAGACTGCTTTCCCGGCTTTCCCAGGTTGTAAGTAGGGAGCCAGACAGGCCGGGGACAGGAATTGGGAGGGCACGGCTGACCCTGAGGCTGTGCTTACCAGGAGCTCTGCACAGTGTATGTCCCTCCCTGTCCCCAGCCTGGAGCTAGGTGCTGGTGGTGGCAGTTCCTGGGGCCCGCCCCTTCCCTCTCCTTCCTGTGCTGGCTCACCGTATCTTCCCTCTGCCACAGACATCACGGGCCCCATCATCCTGCAGACCTACCGCGCCATCGCCAACTATGAGAAGAGATCGGCCTCGGAGATGGCGCTGGCCACGGGCGACGTGGTGGACATCGTGGAGAAGAACGAAAGTGGTCAGTGTGTCCCCCCACCAATGCCCTGCTGCCCTACTTCCCACCCTTGCTGGGTTGCGGTTGTGGGGGAGCCCCTACCTAGGCTGTGGCACCCACTGGCTTCCTTCCAGCCTGGTCCACACAGTGGGTATGGGAAAACGGGGATGGGGAGCTGGTGCCAGACTTGCCGCCCTTCTGAGGGAGCACTCAAGGCTGCTCCATCAAGGGGTGCAAAAGCTCACTTGTGAGGCAGAGAGCTCACGGGCTGGGAGGCGTGAGCGCCTGGGTGCTGGGGGAGGGGTGAGCTCGGTGTCCAGCCTGGTGGAGATGCCACTGCTGAAGCTGAGTGTGTGTCGTGTCACCCAGTGTCTCCATCCCCCCCATCCCAAGGGCTGGGGGTGAGGAGGCTGCCAAGCCCTGCCCCTAATGATCTTCCTGCACCCCTGGGCACAGGCTGGTGGTTCTGCCAAATGAAGACCAAGCGTGGCTGGGTCCCCGCATCCTTCTTGGAGCCCCTGGACAGCCCTGATGAGGCAGAGGACCCCGAGCCCAACTATGCAGGTGCCCTTCTGATCTGCAGGGTCATGGCGGGAGGGGGACAGGGGTGAGGCTACAGAAAGAGGGCTGCCTGGAGGAGGCGGGGTCAGCCCTGACCAAAAGGGGAAAGCTGGCAGCCCATGGTGTGGGAGGGAGGAGGGTAACTCAAAACCACTCCGACTGGCTCTGCAGAGAATTCAGCATTTGGGGGGACGGGGGTCCCCAGTGTCACGTGGACAGGTGCCCCTGCCCTTCCCTCACTTCTGAGGGCTCAGCTCCGCCTCTGGAGGGAGTGCCTGCTTGCAGGTGGGGATGGGTGAGCCAACCTGGCATGGGGAAGGCAGAGAGGTCCACGGGGCACACTTGGTGTGGTGGCAGCGGGTGACTGCAGAAGAAGTCACAGACGAGGCGGGGCGTGGCGACTCTGAGGGCAAGGGCAGACCCTCGCACACCCTCGACATGCCCGCCTGTTGTGGACCAGGTGAACCCTACGTCACTATCAAAGCCTACACTGCTGCTGAGGAGGACGAGATGACCCTGGCCCAGGGTGAAACCATTGAGGTCATTCATAAGCTCCTGGACGGCTGGTGGGTGGTCAGGTAGGAGAGCCCCTGCCCTGCTTGTCCGGCAGCCGCTGGGTTCCTTCCTCCCCTGCCCCCAGGAGGCTGAGTGCTTCTGAGTGTCCTCCCCCTCCCCCTGGGCTCTGTTTCCATTTTTGGAACTGCTGAGTGGCCAGCCCAGCCTGCCCATGGGTAAGGCATTATGCCCCTTCCTAGCTGACCCACTGACCAGGGCCTCCTGCCAATGCAGCCTGGGGAGATGGCGGGATGTATCAGGTATCAGAGTGGCAGGCTCCTGGTTACTACCCAGGTCTAGCCCATTGCAGGCATCTGGGAGGCTAGCCTCAGGGCTGCTTGGCGCTCTCTCTCTCTGCTACTCAAATTAAGATTTAAAAAAAAATCTATTTATTCAGGCCTGATGTGATAGGCTAGTGCCTGAACGTCCTTGCCCTGCACGTGCCGGGATCCCATAGGGGCGCTGCTTTGTATCCTGGTGGTCCCACTTCCCATCCAGCTCTCTGCTTGTGGCCTGAGAAAGCAGTTGAGGGCAGCCCAAAGCCTTGGGACCCTGATCCCATGTGGGAGTCTGGGATGAAGCTCCGGGCTCCTGGGCTTCGGATTGGCTGAGCTCTGGCCGTTGCATCTGCTTGGGAAGTGAATTATCGGATGAAAGATCTTCCTCTCTGTCTCTGCTCCTCTGTGTATACCTGACTTTGCAATAAAAGTAAATCTTCAAAAAACGATTCTTATTGAGAAGTCAGATTTACAGAGAAGGGAGACAGAAAGATCTGGCCCATTCTTCAAACAGTTCCAGCAGTTAAGCTAAGCCAATCCAATGTCAGAACCCAGCTTCTTCTGAGTCACCCACACGGGTGCACGGTCCCAAGGCTTTGGGCCCTCTTCCACTGCTTTCCCAGGCCACAAGCAGGCAGCTGGACTAGGAAGTGAAGCAGCTGCGACATGAGCCAGGGCCTGTATGATCCTGGTACTTGGAGGTAGAGCATTTAGCCAGTTGAACCATCATGCCAGCCTCCAAGATTTTTTAAACACTATGTTGGCTCAGAAAGTTTTGAAATCATACGTACTAAAAGTTTTCAGCAAGTTAGTGAGAAAGTAAAAAAAAAAAAAAAAACAACTGCATGAGTGTCAACATTTTGGCACCAACATTAACATCCTTCAGTGATGTTTTTCCACAAATTGTGGAGCCCCACAGTCTCAGAGAGGGGCAGTCTACAGGGTCCCCCACTTTTGAGCAACTTCTCCCACCAGCCCCCACCCCCTGGGCTACTGCCCGGGCCTCACGAGCCGCCTCTTTCAGGAAAGATGACACCACCGGCTACTTTCCGTCCATGTTCCTGCAGAAGACGGGGCAGGAGCTGACCCAGGCCCAGCGCCACATCAAAGGCCGAGGGGCGCCACCCCGCAGGTGAGAGGGGGCTCACGGGCTGCCAGCGTGCGTGGGGTAGGCGGGCACCGCAGGCACCCAGCCCTGGGATCCCTCCACCCGAAGGCGGGTAGGCACAGGCTCTGAGGGCACTTCACATCCAACCCCGGCCAGGTCGTCCATCCGCAACGCGCACAGCATCCACCAACGCTCTCGGAATCGCCTCAGCCAGGACACCTACCGCCGCAACAGCGTGCGCTTCCTGCAGCAGCGCCGCCGTCCCCTGCGGCCGGGCCAGCCCGGCGCCAGCAGCCAGCAGCGTGAGCCTCGGCGGGGCGGGGCCGGAGTGGACATGGGGCGGGGCCTGGGAGGCGGGGCTAGGAGGGAGGCGGAGCGACCGGAGCTGGCAGGAGCGACCGGAGCTGGATGGGGCGGGGCCGGAGTGGACATGGGGCGGGGCCTGGGAGGCGGGGCTAGGAGGGAGGCGGAGCGACCTGAGCTGGATGGGGCGGGGCCGTGGAGAGGCGGGACTAGGAGGGAGGCGGGGCTTGGGTCCGCAGTAGTGTTAGGGAGCTGAGTAGGGCGGGGCGGGTGGGACCGTGGTGGGCGGGGCCAGAGAGAAGCCGAGCCTGGATCGGCAGCATCTGGGTGGGGTAGAGGGCGGGGTCATGCAGTGGGGCGGAGTCGGGGGCGGGGCCTCTGACCCCGCGCGTCTTCTCCTGGCAGAGGCGCCCCAGCCGCAGGGTGCGAAGCCGCAGCCCGCGGTGCCCCCGCGCCCCAGCGCCGACCTCATCCTGCACCGCTGCAGCGAGAGCACCAAGCGCAAGCTGGCGTCGACCGTGTGAGGCCGAGTGGCGCCGTTCCTGTGTATAGTGTACATAGCCTGAGGTCCGGATGCCACGGGGAGAGCTCCCCACCGCCGCCCACTCGACAGGGCCACCTCCTCCAGGAAGCTGGCTGGAATGGGACAGGGTCTCCGGGGAGACGGAGGTGGGCTGGGCTCTGCCCGCGGGGTATTTCTAGAATGAGGACAGAGGTCTGTGGACTTGCCTGGAAGGAAGTTGCAAATTCTTTGAGGCGCCTGCTGCCCAGCCAGTCTTGATCAACAGCAAGTTTTGCAAGGGCAGGAGGAACTATAGTTCCTCTCCTCCCCACACCCCATCACCCTGACTGCTTATCTCGACGGAGGCCACTGCACAAACTCTGGTCCTGAAGCTGGGTGCAGGAGGAGGACTCGTGACAGATGGGCCTCGGGGGCAGGGTGGGGCATGCACACCCATCTTTGTATAAGAAGGGTCGTGGTGCGGTCCTGTGATGACTCCCAGAGGCGCCCCCACTCCAGGCGAGAGGCTGTGGCTCAAAGCCCACATCCTTTACAGCTTTTCCCTATTCTGCTGCTAGCCCCAGGAGGAGCCTGTCTGTAAACACAGGAGTTCCCCGGGTGCAAAGAGGGGCTGAGCGTCTTGTTTCGAGTGACTGCTCAGGAAGACGGTAGCCAGGGGCTGTGTGAGGATGGACAAGGCTGGTTTTCCAATGGCCAGCGAACAAACAGGTGCTTCTCAAGAAAAGAGTCCGGCCCCAGAAGAATTGAGTGAGATTGGGGTTGACAAGGCTTATAGTAAGCTAAGCCTTTGTCTGTGGTACTGGTATTCCATTTGGGCACTGGTTCGAGTCCCAGCTGCTCCACTTCCTATCCAGCTTGCTGCTGATGGTCTGGGAAAGCAGCGGAGGATGGCTCAAATCCTTGCAACCCTCCAGTCATGTGGGAGACCTGGAAAAGAGGCCAGCTCCAGCCACTGTGACCAGTTGGGGAGTGAACCAGTGGATGGGAGCTCTCTCTTTGCCTTTTCAATATGTAAATACATCTTTAGAAAAGAAAAAAAAATTGGATGGGACTTTGAGAAAAATCCCTGGAGACCTCCCCTGGCTCCTGTGTTTGCTGGAAAAATTCATGGCCAGGGTGCTGGGTTAATGACCCAACGTGGCCCTCTCCATATCTTTCCCATGTTCCTGGCCCTCTTGGAGTAGCCTGTGTCTTGGGCGTATGGTCACAAGGATGGCCCCTGCAGAGGGTGGATGCACATGGGCATCAGAGCAGGTGCCTGCTGTGGGTACTCGCTGCAGCATCTGTTGGGCAGATGACTCACTGTTCCAAAGATGCAAGTGCAGGGATCTGAGCCTTGGAGGAGAATACAGCAACCCTGAGGCTCGGCCAGGACCCTTGCTGGATCCTGACCTCCCAGAGCCACGGTCTGTGGCCAAGGGGACACTGCACACACAGGTACACCCAACCTGGGGGCCCCGAACCTGGCTTCCAGCGCCCTCAGAGTCCCCCTGGTCTCCAGTGCCTGTGGCAGAGGAATGAACACCACAGATGAGAGGATAAGTGGCCTGGAGACAGACACAGTGCCACCAGATCCCCTGAAGGGGCAGAGATGCTCCAAGTCCAGCTCCTGGCCTGGGCAGGATCTCTCCTCATATCCCTCGGGTAAGTGTTCCCATCTGCAGACACCCAGATGTTGCCGCTACAGGAACCCATCTTCGTCTCTCATTTTCCATGGTGTTGGCTCAGTCACGTACATGAGCCACCATGTGGGGGACCTATGGAGTGGATGCAAAGCAGAATAGCCCAGTCACCAGGAGACAGCCTTGGCTGAGCCCTGCCGTCCGGACGGACAATCTCCAAGGGGTTCATGTTTGACAGAGTGGGCTCAGAGGCTGGGTGACAGGTAGCTGCCAGTCTCCACGTCGGGCCCTGTGTCTCCTTAGAAACGACCAACAGAAGGGCTAGTCATATGAAGCATGTTAAGCTGCTGCATCCCATGATCAGAGCCCCTGCTGCTCCACTTTGGTTCCAGCTCCCTGCTAACACACCTGAAAAAGCAGCAGACGGCGGCCCCAGTGCCTGGGCCCCTGCCACCCAAGTGGGAGACCCGGAAGAAGCTTCCGGCTTTATCCTTGGCCCACCCTTGGCCATTGCAATCATTTGGGTGGAGAATCAGTGGATGGAATATCTCTCTCTCGCTCTCCTCCTGTAACCCTGTAACTCTCTAATTCTGCCTTTTAGGTAAATAAAATAAATCTTAAAATACCCAAGGCCAGTGCCGTGGTTCAACTGGCTAATTTTCTGCCGGTAAACACCAGCATCCCATATGGGTGCCAGTTGGTGTCCCAGCTGCTCCACTTCCCATCCAACTCCCTGCTAGTGGCCTGGCAAAGCAGTGGAGGGTGCCCAAGGCCTTGGGACCCTGCACCCATGTGGAAGACCCATCCTGGTTTTGGATCAGGTCAACTCCGGCTGTTGCTGCCATCTGGGGAGTGAACCAGGGGATGGAAGATCTCTCTCACTTTTTTTCTCTCTTTTTCTCTCTGTGTGACTTTACCTTTCAAATAAAAAAATATATATATTCAGAAAACAGAGATACACAAGCACCACAGATACACACAAATAATGCCATCGATGAGGTCTTCAAGTAGTCCGTGGAAAAATGTATAGTATAAAAAAGCATCAATTTCAAGTTTTGTTTTTTACACCAAAATAAACATTTTGAAACTTTTTTTGGAAGCGCAAAGACAGACATGGATCTCTGTTCATGGGCAGAGTCAGGTCCAAGCCAAGCTCCTGAACTGCATCTAGGTCTCCCACGTACGTGGCAAAGACCCCAGTATTTGGGCCATCACCTGCTGCCTCCTGGGGTGTGCATTAGCAGGGAGCTTGGATCAGTAGCAGAGCTGAGACCCATACTGAACTCTGTTTTAGGATGCGGGCATCCCAAACAGTCTTAACTGCTGTGCCAAGGGCATCCCTCACCTTTAATTCCACCCTCCATGAACTCTGCTGAAGTACCTCCTTGTGTGTGTGATTATATTCACGACATCAAAGACCACCCCTCAGGGGACGTACGCTGTAACGTAAGGAGGTAATTGCACCAAAATTGCAGCAGGAATGGTCAATGGTTTGATTTGCCCGGAGCTGCTGATTGGATTGTGGCTTTCCAAGTGAGTACTCCTGTTCTTCCAAGATTTTCCCTGAAGATAGATAGGAAATCATGGATGTCACTTTTTTTCCCCAAATGGGTCAGAAAACAAACAAAAAAAAGCATATCCATTTACACACGCATGACACTCACTAGGAGCACTTCTTACTAAGAGCAGACACTCACAGGAAAGAGAAGGTGGGAGAGAAAGCTGATGAACAAATGAACGATAAAACAGGGGCTTGAGGGCCGGCGTTGTGGCCTAGCGGCGTTGAGCTGCTGCTCGAGACACCAACAGCCTGAATCAGAATGCCTGGTTCAAGTGCTGGCAGCTGGAGTTCTGGCACCTCTGCTTCTGATCCTGTTTCCTGCTAATGCGTCTCAGGAGGCAGATGAAGGGTGCCTGACACCCCTGCGGGACACCCACTAGGAGATCCTCAGCTCCTGACTCTGCTCTGATTCAGTCCTGGCTGCTGTGGAGAGTGAACCAGCAGATGGAAGCTCTTTCTCTTCCTTCTTCTCTTAACTCAGATTTTTCAAATAAATAAAGTAATTTTCTATCTGCTGGTTCACCCACTGCCCCCAATGGCTGCAAAGGCCAGGCTAGGCCAGGTCAAAGCCAGCTCCCAGACTTCATCTAGGTCTCCCATGTGGGTTGCACAGGTCCAAAGACACTTGGGCCATCTTCCGCTGCTCTCCCAGGCACATCAACAGGGAGCTGGATCAGAAGGGGAGCAGCTGGGACTTGAATCAATGCCTAAAAGCGACGCAGACATTAGAGGCAGTGGCTGTAAGTTTCCACAAACATGAAATGATTCAACAAGTTGGGGAGCAGGCGTTCACCCTAACGGCTAAGATACCCGTGCTCCACATGGAAGTTTCTAGGTTCCATTCCTGGCGGTGGCCCGCGACTCCAGCTTCCTGCCCATGCAGACCCATGGAGGCCATGATCTTGGTTGGCATGGGATTGGGTCTCTGTCATCTACGTGGGAGACCTGAACTGCATTTCTGGGTAATGGCATCACCCTGGCCAGTCATGGCATCTGGGCAGCAAACGAGTGGATAAAGATTTCTCTGGACCTCATTGCCTTGCCAAAAAAAAAAAAAAAAAATTGTTGTTATGGAGAACCTTTAAGCCTCAACTCCCCTTTGTGTGTGGTACCCTGTGTTATTTGTTTTGGGGAGCAGCCTGGGATTCCATATGAGCACCGGTTCTAATCCAGACGGCCCCGCTTCCCATCCAGCTCCCTGCTTGTGGCCTGGGAAAGCAGTCGAGGATGGTCCAAAGCTTTGGGATCTTGCACCTGCATGGGAGACCCGGAAGAAGCTCCTGGCTCCTGGTTTCACTTGGGAAGTGAATCAGTGGGTGCAAGATCTTCCCATCTGCCTCTCCTCCTCTCTGTATATGTGACTTTGCAATAAAGATAAATACATCTTAAAAAAAAATATTTGCTTTGGGGTATTCCACTTTAAGCCCAACTTTTGGTAGTTTCGTGTGAAGGTGGATGGAGGCAGGCAAAACGGGAACAGCACGCATGAGACTCCATTCCCAGCAGGGGTGTTCAAACACACGATGCTGTGAGAACAGAGGGCGGGGACACGCGTGTGCCCCCAGAGCCCTGCACCACTACTCACGTGCATCGTGCCTCTCTCTGTGTTTCTCTGTCAACTGAAGCTGGCAGATGCCAACCCCAAAGCTCCCAGTGGCGGGGAGGGTGTGGTCTGGCCGGTGACATGAAAGAATGTCATGGCGGTAGGGCACGAGGCACGTGGACTTACAGAAATCCAACAGAATCCTCCAGCTTCTACTGAACTCCGGCGAGAGGCATCATACGCCTTACAAATGATAACAAGGAAATGAAATTTTCAAAAGTAAAAATAAATGAGAACGAAGCTGCCAATAAGTGTGTTTTCCATTCCAAGTAGGAGAGTAAAAAAAAAAAAAAAGACAATATGGGAAAATTGTGTCATGAATGTTCTCGCTTGGCCATGGCGAGGATGGGTGGGGCCTGGCCAGAGGGTTTGCGTCCCTTGCTCATGAGGAGGCCACGGGGAGCACTGAGTCCCACGGGGCCCCTGGGAATGGGGAGCAGTATTTGGTCTTGCTGAGTTTCATGATGCAGAAGAGCTGCTCGCAGATGTAGGTGCTGCCGAACATGGACAGGATCCTGGCGCTGTGGCTCCGCAGCTTGGGGTAGCTGCTCCACAGGTACTTATAGAACTCCGGCACGCCCACCTTGTCGTACTTGGCCTTGAGGCAGGTGTTGCACTGCAAGTCGATCACCTCCATCTGCAGTTCTTCCCGCACGCAGTCCACCTTGACGGAGAAGGGCGAGCTGAACAGGGCCAGCTCCCCCTCGTGGAGTTTGAAATCGGCCAGGCGGTTCTGGAACTCGACCTTGAGCTCTACCACCTTGGGGATGTAGTGCAAGCCGTCGCTGTTGCTCCTGGACACGGCTTTCAGCGTGGGGAAGTGGGCCAGGTTGTTCTTGGTCAGGTGTGTCTCCCACAGGCACAGCTTAGCCACGAAAGCCCGGAGCAGGTCGTACATCTGCGTGACCACCTGCGAGTGGCCCTGGAGGGCCACGTTCAGCGTGTTGAGGTGTGTGGTCATGTCCACCAGGAAGGCCAGGTCTCGGATCCAGTCCCCGGAGCTCAGCTGGGGCAGTGGCTTGCCCCGGGATGACATGAAGCAATCGATGTCCTCGAGGGACTCGAAGAACCTCTTGAGCACCAGCCCGCGGCTCAGCCACTTGATGCCCGTGTGGTAGAGGAAGCTGCCGTACTGGCTGTCCAGTTCGTAGAGCAGCGTGCTGAACTCGCTGCGGTTCAGGCCTCTGGAGCAGATCCAGTTGATCGACTTCACCACGACGTCCATGACGTGGTCCATCTTCAGCTTCTGGGCGCACAGCGACTCCGGATGCAGGATGCAACACACCGACTTGAGCTCCGAGCCCCGGCAGCATGCCGCCACCTTGGACTTGAGCTTGGTCACCAGCCCGTTGGTGGCGTCCACCATGGCTGGCGTGCCTGTAGAGGCCACGCTCACCAGCTTGGCCCAGTCCACGTTAAACTTCCTCAGGCTCTTCTCCACACGCAGGAAGATCTCGTGTGCGGACTTGGTGCCCGTCATGGGCACCGTGTCCAGCAGCTCCTCGGATGTATCTAAGTTCTCGTCCACACCACGGATGAAGATGGCCACCTGCGGGGTGTTATTGATGTCCGTGATCTCATCCAGGGCGAGGGAGTAGGCCACGAAGGCCCTGATCTTCTCCCGGAGCTTGTCCCACAAGCTGCCGGCCACATCCTCCACTGGTTGTGTGGTAGTCACAGCAGTAGCTGTACTGGTGCTGGCTGGTGCTGGCCTGGGCGCTGGGGGTCCCACAGCTGTGGCTGCTGCGGCAGCCTCGGGCGACCCCAGCAGGTACCTGCGCAGCCCCCTCTTGAGCTCCTGCAGCTTGGCATCGCGCACCTGCTCTGTGTACTGGTCGTAGTGCTCACTGTGGTTGGTCTGGTAGTGGCGCCGCAGGTTGTACTCCTTGGACACCGACATGCTCTGTTTGCATATGAGACACGTGGGGACGTTCTGTACCTCCACGAAGAAGTAGGCCCTCTCCCACTTCTCCTGGAACACGCGGCCCTCCTGGTCGATTTTGCGTTTCCCCACTTTGGAGAGAGAAGGGGAGGTAAGAGACTGGGTCCCTCCCTCCCTTTCCTCCCAGCCAACAGAATTAACCAGCCTGAAGGCACCTGCAAGGGGCGTGGCTACATAGCAGAGGGGGCGTGGTTGGGAAGGGGTATGGCTAGGTCAGGTGGAAGGGTATGGCTAAGTAGGAGAGGGTGCGGTTAGGCAGGGCAGGGGTAGGCTGGGAAGGGCAAGGGCTTGGCCAGGAAGGAGTAGGCTGGACACAAGGGGTGGGGCTAGGTGAGGAGACAGGTGTGGTTAAGTGCGGGCAGAGTGGGGGTAGTTACAGAGGCGTGGGTGTGGTTTAGGTTGCAGGGGAAGTGGCGAAGTGGGAGATGAGCATGGTTAGGCATGGGTTGGGGTGCCGGGGTGGGACAGAGTGGGGTGTGGTTAAGCAGAGGAGGGCAAGCAGTGAGGGAAGGACAGGTGCGTGTTGAAGCAAGATCACCCATCGCTGCAGAAGTGGACAGTGACACGCTGGGAAATGCTGGTCGTGAGCGAGCATGGGCTGGGGCTTCAGGCTTCTCTGCTGAAAACCTAGAGATCCAGTGCCATTTCGCTTTTGCTTCTGAAAAACCATGCCTAGCTTTTCAGCGTGGGTCCCTAACTCCAGTGTTTTCAAGGGACAGCAGCCCACAGAAAGGCTTTTGGTTCAATGTGTCGCACGCTGCAGGAGCCTCCTGCCAGTGTGCCTGCACGTTCAGCCTCCTCGTTCTCCTATGGTGCCCAATAGAACTGGGCAACCATGGAGGTGGATGGGTATGAGTGACGCAGGCACAAGACTCACCAGCTTGAGCGTCAGGAGTCGCTGGTGCTGGTGGCCATGGAATCCCACAGAACTCACACAGCTGGTGTCTGAGGGCAAGGGTGCATGGGTGATCTAAACAGGCCCGCAGGTGGGCCAGGTTCTTCGGGCAAGCACAGACACAGAAGGAGGTCAGACCACAGAGCCAGAGAGTCCAGCAGTCGTTGTCTGGCGACAGGTGTGGGCCCTGGAAGTGACTGCGCGTGGGTGGGAGGAGCCTTTTGGGGTACGGATGGAAAATATTCTACTAGACTGGGGGTGGAGGAGTCATTGTGCGCAAAGCTGAAAATGTACTAAAAATAGTGAGCTGTCCACATCACGCAAGCTGGGGGTGGTTTCCGATATGGAAACCATCCCTCCATAAAAAAACCCTCAATTAGAAACACAGCATCATGATGACATGGGGATAATGACTGTGCATGGTCTGGGTGCCTCCCTAGGGACTTGAATGCTTGTTAGTACAACCAAAGGGCCGTGTGAAACCCCTGTAGATGGTTTCAGCACCCGTGTGAGGACTGTGTGGGGGTGGGGGTGCCAGGCTTTGGCTGAGTCCAGCTTCCTGCCAATGTATACCATGGGAGGGGGGCAGGTGATGGATGGCTCAAGATCCCTGTTCCCAGCTGGGTCTCTGGCCCAGTCCTGGCTTTCGCACGCATTTGGCAGTGGACAGATGCAACGGCTGCTTTCTCTGTCACTTTACCTCTCTGAGAAAATAACAGAACAAATCTGGGGCAGAATGAGTTGGAGCTGAGGATGCTGGGTGTGATGGGTGGCCAGGCACCATTGACTCGACTGTTAGAGACAAGCTCAACACCGGGGCCGTGCCTGTGGCCATGCAGTAGCCACGGGCAAGCCCTCACCATCCAGGATGTTGGGGCAGGTGGGGGTGATGTCACATGTCACAAGTAGTCTGATGCCATCAACTATTGTACAAGCCTTCTTAGTGAAAGTCGGGCAATAGGATGACACAGCTTCCTAACACGTAGGGGAAGGCCAGTTCAGACGTGCTTAGAGCTCTAGAAGCGACACTTGCCCTTCCCAGCCAGGGCGGCATGCCTGACGCCTGGAGGGTCTCTGCGTACGTGTGACACTCACCGTTACTCAGCTCCAGTCCTGGCAGTGGTCTGCAGAGAAAGAGACAGCGCTGAGTGAAACCCGGCTCATCTCCCTCCTCCCGCCCACCTGCTTCTAGCTGCTGAGTAGTGGATGTGGCGGAGGGGGAGGTAAGTGTGACCACTCAAAGGCAACTTGACAAGTTCCCATCATCATGAGCTAGTTGTCCTACCTGATGACCGTGAACTTGATAAATTTGGCAGCGTCTAGGATCCTCCGCATGGAGCTGATCTCCAGGTAGCCGGGGGCCTTGAACGACACCCCCGGGGGCATGCCGTCCACCACCACACAGCCAGGGTTGAAGGTGATCTTCCTGTAGGGGACTTTCACGGGGAAGTCCACGCCAATCGCTTCGCCTGTGGTGGTACACACCGTGTCAAGCCGGTGGGGTCGGTCACTTCCCATGCCTTTTGTCTAGGTCAAGTTGTTTGAGAGCAGAGATACACATGGACAGAGCCATCTGCAGGTTCACCCCTACAACAACCAGGACTAAGCTAGGCCAACGTCAGGAGCCTGGTACTCTCCATCCGGGTCTCCCACGTGTGTGGTAGGGGTTCAGGCCCCTGGGCCATCAGCAGCTGCCTGGCAGGAAGCTGGAATCAGAAGCGGAGCCAGAACTTGAACCCACACGCTCAGATATGGGCTGTGGGCTTCTGAACCAGCATGTTAGTGGCTGCCCCAAACACCCGCCCCACTCCTCCCGTGATCTCTGATGTCAAGATTTTAACATCGTTCTCGAGCAGTGACAACACCGGGGACCACCCATGTTTACTGCATTCCCCAGCAGTAACATGCTGCGTGAATATAAACTTATGGGCTTACACAGGGGTGCTGGAGTTAAGTGGGCACAGGGTATCCATTCACCAGTACCAGAGTGCTCCAAAGACTTCACAGAAAATGAAATTTAAAGGTAAATCTATTTTGCTCTAACATAATTTTTTCAGTCTCATGATGGGCAAAAATAAAATATCTAATAAAGAAAGTCAATTGATGACAAAATTAATCATCATTTTGAAATTTGGGGCTGGTGCTGTGGCACAGGGCGTAAAGCCCCTGCCGGCAGCGCCAGCATCCCACACAGACCCTGCTTTTGAGTCTTGGCTGCTTCACTTCCAATCCAGCTCACTGCCTGTGGCCTGGGAAAACAGCAGATGACAGCCTAAGTGTTTGGGCTCCTTTATAACGTGGGAGACCTGGTCGAAGTTCCTGGTGCCTGGCTTAGGATCAGCCCAGCCCCAGCCATCACAACCTTTTGGGTAGTGAACCATTGGATGGAAGATCTCTCTATCAGTCCTTCTTTCTCTGTAAAACCTGCCTTTCAAATAAACTAACTAAATCTTATCATATAGGTGTTTGAGGTATGAATAAATTCGGAATAAGTAAGGCTATCAGAACTTACCAAATTTTCGGCTGAAGAGGTCATTGACTTGTTCTCTTAGCTGTTTAATCTTTTCAATGCTTGATAATCTTTGCTTCTCATTATCTAAAATTATAAAACAAATAAATCAGGATTATGAATGTCTTTACCCTTCTTCCCCAACCTCCTAGGAAACAGGCTGTTGGTGCCCGGGAATGCATGGGAACTGGCTTATGGTTCAGTTGACTTCAAGCATTTGGGAATCTGTAAGTGGGAGCGACTGTAGCTGTCCCCCGTTAGGGGAACCACCTTAGGGAACATGGTTGAGATCTTGCAAGACAACGACACCCATTTTCACTACTGTCGGTCAAGATTACAAAAGAAATCACGGCCCATGCAATATGACAAGGGAATGAGTTACTAGGGTGAGACGGGAATATATTTCAGTACTTTACAAAAATAGATTCTATTTGATTTTGAATAACTACAGCAGTCACAGGATCTGAAATCTCAGAGGCATAAAACAATGTACAGGGTTGTCATTCCTGGGGCTGAGGTTGTGGCAGATCAGGCTAAGCTGCTGCCTGATGCTGGCATGCTATACAGCCGTGGGTTTGAGCCTTTGTGCCTCACTTTTAACCCAGCTCCCTGCTTACAGCCTGGGAAAGCAGTGGAGGATGGCCCAAGTGTGCCACCCACATGGAAGAAACGAAGAAGAAGTTCCTGGCTCCTGGTTTGGGCAGGGGCCAGCCCTGGCCATTGTGGCCATTTTGTCGGGAAGTGAATTGGTGGATGGACATCTGGTTCCTGTGAGCCAGCTCAGTGTGTCCTACCTGGGACAGTCACTTCAACGATGTTCAGGTCTTCCACACCTGCTGAGGAATGGGTAACACCCGATGGATGTGTGTTTCCTTAAGACAGAAAATCGAGGGTTAGAAGGTAGAGGAACACTTCTCCAGACAGATCTGCTGTCGCTTTGATTAGAAGCCAAAGTCAGGACTTTTTTTTAGTTTTTAAAAAAATTGTACATACAAGCCAGGAGAGAGAAAGGTAGACATTTTGCTAAGTTACATCCTTTATTCATGATCTTGCTTTCTTCTGTTTCAGTTACTTAGGGTCTAAAAATGCTGGATGGAAAGTTCCAGCAACAAACAATACCACTGGATTGGTGCTATGGTAATAGTAGGCTAAGCCTCAGCTTGCAGCACTGGCATCCCATATGGGCACCGGTTTGTGTCCTGGTTGGTCCACTTCCCATCCAGCTCCCTGCTTATGGCCTGGGAAAGCAGCAGAGGATGGCTCAAGTGTTCGGGCACCTGCACCCACATGGGAGACACAAAAGAGGCTCCTGGCTTTGGACTGGCATAGCTTTAGCTGCTGCAGTCATTTGGGGGAGTAAATCAGCAGGTGGAAGATTCTCTCTTGATCTCTACTTCTCCGTGTACATCTGCCTTAGTTTAAAAAAAAAAAAAAGACACCATTCCTAAGTGTCCGACTGGGTGCAGTTCCGAGACGCTGAGACCTCCAGCGTCCTGGACGTGCACCGCTCCTGTCCAGAAGCTGCACGCTCAGTGACACCTGACCGTTAGGTGGCGCCACTGTACTTACAGGCGTGGCTTCAGGGAAGCATCCCTTAAGAAGGAGCAGGTACCATACCAGGACACCTGCCTCGCAGCCTCCCCTCCTCTCTCTCTCCTGGGCAGCTGGACCTTCCGCCTCATCACAGGAGGTGGAGGATGAGCAAGAGACCACAGGAATGTCCCTTCCAAAGCTTTTTTTAAATTTATGGACCCCGGTTCTATTCCTGGCTGCCCCACTTCCCATCCAGCTCCTTGCTTGCAGCCTGGGAAAGCAGTCTAGGATGGCCCAAAGCCTGGGGACCCTGCACCCATGTGGGAGACGTGGAAGAGGCTCTGGGCTCCTGGCTTCAGATTGGCACAGCTTGGGCCATTATAACCTCTCGGGGAATCAATCAATGGACGGAGGATCTTCCTCTCTGTACCTCCTCCTCTTTATATATCTGATTTTCCAACAAAAATAAATACATCTTTTTAAAAAGTTGTTTTTATTTATTTATTTAATCGAAAAGGCAATTATACATAGAGAAGGAGATACAGAGAGAAAGATCTTCCGTTTGCTGGTTCACTCCCCAAGTGGCCACAGCAGCCAGAGTTCAGCTGATCTGAAGCCAGGAGCCTGGATCCTCTTCTGGGTCTCCCAAGTTCGTGCAGGATCCCAAGACTTTGGGCTATCCTCGACTGCTTTCCCAGGCCACAGATGGGGAGCTAGATGGGAAGTGGAGCTGCTGGGATTAGAATCGGCGCCCATAAGGGATCCTGGAACATGCAAGGTGAGGACTTTAGCTGCTAGGTCACTGCGCCGGGCCCAAACAACATTCTTTTTTAAAAAAAAAAAAACAATAAACCTACGGGGCCCGGCATACTGGTCAGGGCTCAGGGCATGGTCTGTGCGTGCTGCCTGCTAGGCCCCCAAGCATCTGGTCCAGGCTCAAGGCTGAAGTCAGGCTGAAGTCAGTCACACACACACACACACACACACACACACACACACACACACACACGTGCACGTGTGTTCAGCCCTCCATCAATTCGGCCCTATCGCAACGCTCTGAGAAAAAAAGCAAGTCATGCTTGATGCCATGACTGACAGTGCCTCGGCTACTCACCCTCCATTTTCACATCCACTTCAGGGTCCGGCTTTCTTTCTGCACAGTCTGGCTGGGTACAATCTTGAAAAAAGAAAAAGGCTAAAATGGTATTCATTCTTAAGTGTTCTCTTCATATACCTACAACTTGCTGCCTTCCCCACCCCCAAAATAACATACCCTGCACTTTACTGAGTGTTTGAGGATTTATTTCTTTGTATTAGAAAGATGGAGTTCCAGAGAGAGGGGAGACAGAAAGATCTTCCATCTACTGGTTCACTCCCTAGATAGCCGCAATGGCCAGAGCTGAGTTGATCTGAAGCCAGGAGCCAGGGACCTCTTCTAGGTCTCCCAGGCAGGTGCAGGGTCCCAAGGCTTTGGGTCATCCTCAACTGCTTTCCCAGGCCACAAGCAGGGAGCTGGATGGGAAGCAGGGCCACCGGGACATGAACCGGCACTGATATGGGATCCTGGCGTGCTCAAGGCGAGGACTTTAGCCACTAGGCTATCGTGCCAGGCCCCCCGTTCTAGTTCTGGCTGTTCCATTCCCATCCAGCTCCCTGCTTGTGGCCTGGGAAAGCAGTGGAGAATGGGTCACGTCCTTGGGCCCCTGCGCCCACTGTGCGATATCTGGAGGAAGCTCCTGGCTTCTGACCAGCTCTGTCTTTTGCAGCATCTGCTGGTCACTACAGATAAAGGAGCATGGAGCCCATACTACTGAGTGTGAGGACGGTACTCAACCAGCACCGAAGCCTTGTTCTTCATGTTCAAACATGAGTGTGGGAGAAGATGCGTTCACCACCACAGATCCTATAGAATTCAAAAAGGGGAGAGAGCGAGAGAGGAAAGGCTTGGTTTTTCTAACCTTCCATGGGGAATTCCATGGCAGTGGCTTCATTGCCCGAAGCAGTACAGCAGCTCCCTGGAGAGAACAAAAACAGCGAGGCACAGAGAGAGAGAGAGAGCAAAAAGGACATCAAAAAGAAGCCGGTGCCCCCACCCACATGGCTCCAGACCTCGTGGGAATGAACACGAGAGATGGCACTCGTGGGTGGAAAATGCAAGTCACGCATTCGGTGTTGTTGTTGTTATTGTTATTATTATTTATTGTTATTGTTGTTGTTGTTATTATTTTGGAATGGTAGATATACATAGAGGAGGAGAAACAGAGAGGAAGATCTTCTGTCTGTTGATTCACTCCCCAAATGGGGCGGCAATGGCTGGAGCCAAGTCGATTCGAAGCCAAGAGCCTGGAGCCTCTTCTGGGTCTCCCACACAGGTACAGGGTCTCAAGGCTTTGGGCTGTTCTTGACTGCTTTCCCAGGCCACAAGCTGGGCACTGGATGGGAAATGGAGGGGGCACTGGAATATAAACTGGTGCCCTATGGGATCCTGGTGCATGCAAGGCGAGGACTTTAGCTGCTAGGCTACTGTGCTGAATCCTATTAGTATTTTAAAAGATTCATTTATTTTTATTGGAAAGGCAGATTTACGAAGAGAAGGAAGGACTCAGAGATCTTCCACCTGCTGGTTTACTCCCCAAATGATCACCCTGGGCAGAGCTGAACCAATCCAAAGTCCAGGAGCCAGGAGCTTCTTCCTGGTCTGCCACCCGGATGCAGGGTCCCAAAGCTTTGGGCCATCCTCTGCTACCGTCCAAGGCCATGAGCAGGGAGCTGGATGGGAAGTGGAGCAGCTGGGACATGAACTGGTGCCCATATGGGATCCTAGTACTTGCAGGTAGAGAATGAACCCATCAGGCCACAGCACCAGCCTCAGTAGTTTGTTTTTTAAGTTCAGAAGTTTCCAAGTATGCAAAAGTAGAGTGCAGGTGCAGTGAGGTGTACACGCCCCCCTACCCAGGCAACCTTGCTTCACCCACACCCACTGGGAGCTGTGTCAGTCCCAGACGTGGTGGGATTCCTTGTGTGGGCACTGCCATGTGAGCAAGTGGTACGTGCAGATGTACCTCCTGTCACATCCCACCACACACCTGTGCCCTGTCTGACTTCTGCGTGGCTTTGCTGCCACCTGCTCCCCTGCACACTGATGGAGACTGACGTCAGTGAAGACCTGCCATGCTCCTGGGATGAAGGCACCGGTGATGCCCACCCAGAGGCCAGGGCTTCAGGGGGAAGGTGTGACAGGCTGGACTGGTGGGGGGCGAGAGGGCAGGCCCACAGAATACACCCAGTGAGGACAGCTAAGACCCCGACGCCCGTGGGATGACACAGAGCCGCCTCACGTTCACGTTCCCACGCGCCTATGCGTGTGTGGCCCGAGGCCAGGCAGGACTTCATGAGCGGAAGGGCATTTCCCTTATGTGGCGGTGTGCTAGTGCCTGAGCGCACACACACACACACACACACACACACACACACACACACACACACACACGGGGCCCGTGGCCTTCCGGCTGGCTGGATGGCAACAGGCAGTTTGCCATGCTGAATGCCTGGTACGACAGTAACAATCAGACGCTGTTACCTTGTGTGTGGCATTGATGGTAGCTGGGGTCATCCGACTCCTTCTTGACGGACACATCTGCTGCTGGCAGGGCGACGCCTTTGAAGGCAACGGAAACGACAACAACCACGGGTTACGTCAAATCCGCCAACCGACAGATCGCATGGGTGCATCTACTATCCATGCGTTGCTGCGAGGACAACAGCAAGCACCGGTCAACCCCGGCTGCGGGCAAATGTGGCTATTGATTCAATCGTAAACCACACAGGGGCCAGCCCTGTGGGGCAGCGGGTTAAGCCACCACCTGCGGGGCTGGCATTCCATATGAGTATCAATTCCTGTTCTGGCTGCTCTGCTTTCCATCCAGCTTCCTGCTGTTGCTCCTGGGAAAGCAGTGGAGGACAGCCCAAGTGCTTAGGCCCCTGCCACCCACAGGGAAGCCCTCATGGCGTGCCTGCCTTCAGCCTGGTCCAACCCTGCTTGCTGGGGAGCGTGTAGTGTGAACCAGCAGATGGAAGATCTGTGTGTGTATTATCTGTCATTCTACATTTCCAAGAAATAATAAATAGATATGTTAAAAAAAATCATAAGAGGCACTGGGACACCTTGGAAACAGCAGAAGCACGGAGGATTTCTCCCGCCTCGGCCCAGCCCCTACCCCTCCAGCACAGGCTCTGAACCCCAAGGGCCTGTCCCGAAGCTCAGCCAGCAGCCCTGACATGAGCGGACCCCTCCAGCACCTGGGAGAAATGTCTCTTCAGCTGTGCAGTGGAGGCACGTGAGAAAAGGGCCTGAACACACAGGGAGTCCCAAGTTCATTACCATCAGATCAGACCCCATTGTTGGGGTCAGATTTCCCATGATCCTCCACCTCCTAATCAGATCTAAGCATGGGACACAAGGTCTTTTTTTTGTTTTTATATTGGAAAGGCAGATATACAGAGAGGAGGAAAGACAGAGGAAGATCTTCTGTCTGTTGGTTCACTCCCCAAGTGACCACAATGGTCAGAGCTGAGCCGATCCAAATCCGGGAACCAGGAGCCGCTTCTGCGTCTCCCATATGGGTGCAGGGTCCCAAGGCCTTGGGCCGTCCTTGACTGCTTTCCCAGGCCACAAGCAAGGAGCTGAAAAGGAAGTGGGGCTGCTGGGATTAGAACCTGCAACCACATGGGATCCTGGCATGTGCAAGGCAATGACTTAAGTTGCTAGGTCACCACGCCGGGCCCAAGATTTATTTCTTTCATTGTAAAATGAAAGTTATAGAGAGGAGATTTGCAGCCACTGATTCTAATCCCAGTGGCCCTGCTTCTTATCCAGCTCCCTGCTTGTGGCCTGGGAGAAGATTCATTTGTTTATTTATTTGAAAGTGGGACGGAGAGAGCGCCGGAGACAGGGAAAGATCTTCCATCCTCTGGTCCACTTCTGAGATGGCTACGGTGGCCTATTAGGAGGGTTGGATCGGAAGTGGAGCAGCCAGGATTCGAACCAGCGTCCCTTGTTACAATTGCTAACCTTTTTATGTTTAATGATTTCAGTCTTTTCCTACCATCTGTTGAAACATTTGAGCTTAGAACAAAAAATTTATTCTAAACCTTTTAACACTTTTTTTTTTGCTTCTAATTAATGTTGGTTTTTTTCTTCCTGTCTTTCTCTAAATATTTATTTATTTGACAGGCAGGGTGAGAGAGAGAGAGATTTTTTTTTATCTGTTGGTTTATTCCCCAAATGCTTCTAACAGCTATGAATGACCCAAGCCATTCCCAGGAACTTGGAGGGTCACCAGTGTCCCCTACATGGATGGCAGAGGCTCAACTATTTGGTCTGTCACCCACTGCCTCCCAGGGATCCATCAGCAGGAAGCTGTTCCATAAGCAGTGGAGTGGGACCCGGGACTTCACTACGGTATTCGAGTGTCCCCAGGGGTGACTTACCCTGCTATGCCACAAAGCCTGCCTGTAGGATTTCTTATTTTGAGAAGTAGGGAGAGGCAGGGGAGGGGTACTTGTCCCAGTATCTTTTGTTCATTTTACTTTTAGGTTTCAATTTCGGCATAACTAAAATAACGTTTTCTATGGCCGGTGTGGTAGTATAGCAGGTTAATCTTCTACGCACAGCAACACACAATGACGATATCTCACATGGACTGGCTCATGTCCTGGCTGCTCTACTTCTGATCCAGCACCCAGCCAACTGCCCTGGGAAAACAGTGAAGGATGGTACAAGGCTTTGGGACTCTGTGCTCACATGGTAGACCTGGAAGAAGCTTCTACCTCCTAGCTTTGGACCAAGCAAGCTCCAGCCATTGTGGCCATTTGGGGAGTGAGCCCGTGAATGAAATATCTCTCTTTCTATAACTGTGACTTTCAAGTTAAAAAAAATAATAATAAAAGATTTACTTATAGGAAGGCTGGCACGATGGCTTGGCAGGCTAATCCTTTACTTATAAGAGCTGGCATCCCCTATGGGTGCTGGTTCGTGTCCTGGCTGCTCCACTTCCCAACCAGTTCCCTGCCTATGGGCTGTGAAAGCAGTGGAGGACAGCCCAAAGGCTTGGGACCCTGCACCCGCATGGGAGACCTGGCAGAAGCTTCTGGCTCCTGGCTTCAGATCAGCTCAGCTCTGGCTTTTGTGCTCATCTTGCGAGGGCGGGGGAACCAAAACCCCTTCTCTCCCTATTTCTTCTCTCTGTAAATTTGCCTTTCCAATAAAAGTAAATAAATCTTTTTAAAGGAGTTTTCTAACAACCTACTAAGCATTTCACTCTAGAAGCACTGGATGGTACCTACCAGACTCTTCCATGGGTTCGGTTTTCACACGGATGGGGTCACTACAGCTGCAAGGAGAATGGGATGCCAGTCAGGACAGGCCACCTGGACATGGGCAACTCAAGTGCACTGGGCATCTGCCCGTGTCCCCGGATGCCACCCTCCTGCAACCACCCCATCAAACCACCTCAACCAACATTCTTAATCATGTATGATAAACGGAATGGTGTTACCCGAACACAGCCCTGGAATTGCAAATCTGCTACTGCATGAAAAATACCCAAAACAAGGGAGCCTGGCTTGAGAACCCTCACCCCACTGCTACTATTCTTCATTCCATCTTTACCTGCTCTTGGATGCCATGGCAGATCCCTCAGCATCTGTTACAGAGCCGTAAGCACCTGGGTAGGAACAGAGAAGCCACGCACTAGCCCTAAGGAGCTCCCTCAAGGGTGACTGACATTCAAAGAGACAGAACACAGAAAGCCCTGGCAGACAGAGAGGACACAGCCCCTGGCTCCTGGCGGTCATGGACTAGCAGCAGGGGTACTAGTTCCCTCTCCTCTGGGCTCTGGGGCACCTGGCAGGGCGTGGGGACAGAACCAGGGGACCACACCCACATACAAAAAAAATCACTTGTGTCTGTGCTGAACACGTACAAGAGGACAATGGATGACACAGCGCTGAGGTCGCGTCGGGCCTCCCAGGTCACCTGGAGATGGCTCCGGGGCTACAGGAAGGCATGCGTCGGGGGTTCTAGGCCAACCCAGCACCATTTTGCGGAAGACATTTTGGTGACCACATAGGGACCCGGGCTCAGTTCCCTGAGTGGGAGTAGAGTGGTAAACGTGATATCTGAACATGCAAAGCACAGGAACAGTGCTGGGGCCCTGTAAGCACTGTCATGTCACCTGCCAGTCCTACTGCCATTTTGCAAAGATGACAGAAGGCCAAGGAGTTTGTGGTCACCTGACACCCTTGCCTCCGGCCCCTCCCCTCCACTGAGCTAAGGGAGTCCAGGACCCACACCTGCTCCCAACACACACTTGGTTCTGTGTTCAGTCTGTACCTATGTGTGCTGTGCCACTCTCCATGCCCAGCGCCCTGAGACCCTGGCCCTCTATTTACGCCCTCTCAACAGCACATCCTCTTTCAACCTTGACTTTGATGGCCAGCTCTGAGCCAAGCTCTCCAGCACTTTCCAAACTAATGGACAGGCTGGGGAAGGGGGACGCAGCAGGGGTAGTGGGGGAGGTGGATCTTTAGGTGTTTCTGGACAAGCCACTTTTGGGGTGAGGTCTCCACATCATCCTAGGTCAGGCTGACTGCTCTGGGCATGCAGTGTGGCCCTCAGAGCTCATCATACCATCTGTCCCTGTGGACTTGAACTTTTCAGGAGGAGCTGCCTGCTGAGACCCTGCTTATCCTAAAGTCCTTCCTTCCTATTCTGCTTTGCAAGCTCTTCCTCAAGGCTCCCGGTGATACCTCAGTCACCCTGGGGACATCAGGGACTCCCAAGAGCTCAGGGAGCTGGAGTTTAGAGGCAGATGGCAACAACACCATCCCAGGTCCCTTCCTGAATCCAGCAATGCCTTGCATGTAATCGGTGGCCCAAAGCTACATGGTCACTCAAGGCCTTTAGTGGATGACAATGACCAAACCTGCTGGCAGTCGGGGGAGCTTCTCCCAGTGCCCTGGGTCCTGCCCTGAGCTGTGGATCCGCCTATGCACTGACCCCCTCCGGGGATACCCACGACTCCCCTCTATTGTACGGATACTGCAGAGAATGTGTTGGGCTAGCTGCTCAGCTAAGGAGAAGCAGCCACAGTTTAGTTCCTCGGGGCAGCCACGGAGGATGCGACATTGCCACTTACCTGGCTGGCTCTCAGGACCCAGGAAAGGTCTGTAAGAAAGCCAACAGCATCAACCAACCAGAACACACAGGAAATCAACTCTTACATCTAACAGGACATAATCAAGAAAGGAAGTCAAATTAGCCTCTGGGTCTTTTCCTTGAATCAATTCATTAATTTGAAATACAAGTTATACAGAGGTAGAGGAAGATACAGAGAGAATCGTCTATCTCTTGGTTCACTCCCACATGGCCCTAACCTTTGGGGCTGGGCCAGGCCTAGGAGTCAGAAGCTCCATCTGGGTCCCCCACAAGGGTGGGAGGGGCCCAAGCCCTCGGGCCATCTTCTGGTATCTCAGCACCTTAGCAGGGAGTGGGATGGAAAATGAAGCAGCCGGGATCACGAACCAGTGTCCCTACAGGATGTCAGTGCTGCAAGCAATGGCTTAACCCACCATGCCACAATGTTGGCCCCAAGCACTTGAGCCATCACGGCTGCCTCCCTGGATCTGCCCTAGCAGGAGGCTGGAGTCGGCCAGCAGCGGCTGCGGCCAAACATCCAACCCAGGCACTCCCAAGTCACAGTGAACTGGCCGCCAGGAGGGTGTGGGGAGTGGTACCTGTGGATGATGAAGGAAATCCCTGCTTTGTTCTCCAAAATCCACTTCAGGGTGGCGAGCTCGTAGCTCCGGGGGTGTTGAAAGGCGATGCCCGGCGGGAGCCCCTGCACCTGCACAGCCACGGGGTCACGGAGCATTTCCTCGTAGGGCACGGGCACCATGGCTGCTGTCCCCAGGGCCTGACCTGGAGGAAGAAGAGACAACGTCTGAAACTCTAGTCGTCCATGGGATTAAATGTCACAGACTAGATGCATCAAAGCCCTAAGGTGCCTTCTTGTAGTTCCAACAGGCCAAAATCAAGAAAGGCTGCTACAACTGCCAACCAAGGAGCCCACATGAACACAGCTACACTGCCTTCCCCGTCAACTTTCTTAGCGTAAGGAGAAAAATCAGCAGGGCTCTTTCTGCATTCTCTTAGTGCGGTGCACCGCTTGGCGTGCTGGCCTACTCAAGGTTGCAGCTACTGGTTAGCTGCGCTGTGTGCAAAGTGGATGAGACTCCCACTGCCCTAAGCTTAACTGTCACAATGTGACACGGCTCAGTCAGGCTAAGTGACCTGTGACGGTGTCCATGACAGACCTCCATCAGTATCGGGGCACCTGCACCAGCCAGGGAGCCTCCAAAGAGGCTGCTGTCCTGCTGCCCATGGCGTGGCGGAGTCCAAGACGCCCTGAGTTGGGGGTCTCCAGATCAACCGCTCTGGGCACCTGCAGGTACCTGGGAATGAGAACCCACCCGTCAGATGCCAAGTCCTTGTATTACAACCCGCAGAGTCAGTTATCCAGCTTTGGAAATAAGCTTATTATTTATATAGAATACACGAAAAAGGAAGAGACAAAGAGAGATCTCCCATCTACTGCTTTGCTCTCCAAATGTCCTTGACCATGAGGGTCGAGCCAGGCTGAAGGCAGGAGCCCAGAATGCCATCTCTGTCAAGATTCCATCTCTAGCCAAGATCTCCTTGAAGGAACCCCACTAACACGGGACAAACCAAAGAGTTGGGGAGCGGTCTGCCTGCAGTCAAGGGAGTGTGGGGCTCACGGGGCAGGAAGAGTGGGACTTCCCTGGCCTCTCCTACCGCACCTGAACTTGACTGTCACAGAGGCAGATCTGGGAGCAGCCAAGTCCTGCTGCACTTGAACGTTACCGTAGCAGAGGCAGAAGTAGTCCTCCACCGCTTTCCTGAGGATTTCGGCTTCCCCTGAGGGGACCTGCGCCCCATTCACCGGGCACGGGGGCTTCCGGTCGCTCAGCCCTTCGGCAGCACCTGCAAACCCACAAGGGCAGGCCGGGGTCAGCATCCATGGACGCATGCGCTGCATGCTCCCCAGGGTGGGCACCCAGGGCATGGAAGAGAAGAAAGATGGCAGCATAAAACAAGGGCTTTCATAGATAAGAAATCTTATTTGCCAGGGTCAGTGTGGTGGCTCAACAGGCTGATCCTCTACCTTGCATCCCATGTGGGCACTGGTTCATGTCCCAGCTGCTCTACTTCCTATCTAACTCCCTGCTTGTCGCCTGGCAATGCAGCAGAGGGTGGCCTAAGTCCTCGGGATCCTGCACCCGCATGAGAGACCAGGAGAGTCTCCTGGTTCCTGACTTCAGATTGGCTCAGCCCTGGCCATTGCCACCACGGCAAGTGTACCAGAGGATGGAAGATTCTCTCAATCTGCCTTTCAAATGAAAAAATAAATCATTAAAAAAATTTACATGTGACTCAGTTAAAAAGGGACAATAATCGTGTAGGAAAACCACTCCACTCAACATTTTTGTTGTTGTTAAGATGTCTTTGTTTGGGCCCAGCATGGTTGCCTAGTGGCTAAAGTCCTCACCTTACATGTGTTATGATCACATATGGGCGCCGGTTCTAGTCCTAGCTGCTTCACTTCCCTTCCAGCTCCCTGCTTGTGGTCTAGGAAAGCAGTTGAGGACGGCCCAAAACCTTGGGATCCTGCACTTGCGTGGAAGACTTGGAAGAAGCTCTTGGCTTCTGGCTTCAGGTCGGCTCTGCTCCAGCCGTTGCAGCCACTTGCGGAGTGAACCAGCAGAAGGAAGATTTTTCTCTCTGTATCTCCTTCTATCTGTATATCTGACTTCTCAATTAAAAAATAAGTGTTCATTCATTTCAAAGAAGCAGGGATTAGAGACACAGACAGCACCCACTGCTTCCCTCCCCACATGGCTGTTGCAGCCAGGACTGGGCCCAGGCTAAAGCCAGGAGCCTGGGATTTCATCCGGGTCTCCCAGGAGCCAGTTACTTGGGCTGTCTTTCATTGCCTTCCTGGGTGAGAAGCAGAAGGCCGAATCAGAAGTGGAGTAGCCAGGAACAGGACCAATTATTACGATGTGGGAGGCTAGCACCCTAAGTTGGCAGCTTAACATGCTGCACCACAGCGCATGCCCCGTGGTTTTCATGTGGATTCTACAAAGCCAGAGCAGTGCTGACCACATTGTCCACCACGCAGCAGCTGCTTCGTGGAGACCCTCTGGTGTACAGAACTCTCATGCAGTGGGTGGGCTGGGTCAAGGGCATGCGATACAAAGGTTTTGCTGGCAGGGGGTGGTATGTCTAGCGGGCAGCGACCCCAACATCGGAATTCTCAGGAACAATCAAAGGAGAGGGCATGGCACCTACAGTATTGTGCAAAATCTTCCTGCAGGTCCTTTCGTGCGTTGGCAAAAGCGCATCCCCTCTCGGTTCCCACGACAAACACGTTGGTCTCATACATGGCGATGCAGGCCACCTCAGCCTTGGACTTGGCCAGCTCTTTGCACTGAAATGAAAACAAGAAAACCACTGTCCTTTTCTTTTTCTTTTTAAAGATTTATTTATTTTTATCACAAAGTCAGATACACAGAAAGGAGGAGAGACAGAAAAAAACATCTTCTGTCCCTTGTTTAACTCCCCAAGCGGCCACAATGGCTGGAGCTGAGCTGATCCGAAGCCAGGAGCCCAGAGCCTCTTTCGCATCTCCCCAAAACATGGGTATAGGGTCCTAAGGCTTTGGGTCGTCCTCAACTGCTTTCCCAGGCCACAAGCAGGAAGCCGGGCAGGAAGTGGAGCTGCTGAGACTAGAGCCAGCGCCCATATGGGATCATGGCGCATGCAAGGAAAGAACTTTAACTGCTAAGCTACCATGCTAGGCCCACCACCGTCCTTTTGAGGAAAGGATAAGTCTGGACTTCATGTGGCCTGAGAATGCTGTTTAAGGACAAGGATCCAAAGCGAGACACAGACAAGGAATATGCATTTGCACTGAAGAAAACTGCCAATAAAAAAAATTTTTTTTAAAGTTACCACCAAATATCAGAAGCATAATTAAACTCAGAGAAATTGGGCCCAATATGGTAGCCTAGTGACTAGAGTCCTCACCATGCACCAGGATCCCATATAGGCACTGGTTCACGTCCCAGTGCCCTTACTTCCCATCCAGCTCCCTGCCTGTGGCCTGGGAAAGCAGTTGAGGACAGTCCAAATCCTTGGGACCCTGCACCTTGTGTGGGAGACCTGGAGGATGCTCTGGGCTCCTGGCTTCAGGTCGATGCAGCTCTGCCCACTGTGGCTGCTTGAGGAGTGAATCAATGGATGGAAGATCTTCCTCTCTCTCTCTCCTCCTCTTTGTATATCTACCTTTCTGATAAAAAAAAAAAAAAACCCTCAGAGAAAGTCAGATTTTTATTTACTGCCTGATATAACTCTTCAACATATTCTTTTCTCTACAATTTCTGTTAAATAATAATTTGTTTTAATTCTTTGAAAGGCATGACTAACGGAGAGATAGGGGTGGATAGAGAGGGGCGAAGGGAAAGAGAGAGAAAGAGGCCTTCCACCTAGTGGTTCACTCCCCAAATGGCCACAGTGGCCAGGGCTGGGCCAGGCTAAGCCAGGAGCGTGGAACTCCATCCGGGTCTCCCATGAGGGTGCAGGGCCTGAGCCCCTGGACCAGCCTCCAATGCTTTCCTCAGAGCACTAGCAGGAAGTAAGATCAGAATTGCAGCATCTAGGACTCGAACCAGCACCCAAATACAGGATGCTAACATCACAGGCTTAAACCGCTGTGCTACAAGTCCTCATTTCTTATAATTTTTTGGATTTTCACACTGATGTAGCTTCTCACGGAACAACAGTTTCAAGCACTTATAGCATCCCTTACTTCTTTCTTTAAAGATTTATTTCTTTTTGTTATTGGGAAGTCCAATTTACATAGAGGAGGAGAGACAGAGAGAAAGATTTCTGTCTGCTGGTTCACGCCCTAAGTGGCTACAATGGCCGGAGCTCAGCCTGTCTAATCTGAAGCCAGGAGCCAGGAGCTTCTTCTGAATCTCCCACACGGGTACAGGGTCCCAAGGCTTTGAGCCATCCTCAACTGCCTTCCCAGGCCACAAGTAGGAAGCTGGGCGGGAAGTGGAGCAGCTGGACCATGAACCAGTGCCCATATAGAATCCCAGCACATGCAAGGCAAGCATCGTAGTCACTAGGCTACAGCACCAGGCTTTCTATTTAATTATTTAAAAAACATAAATGCAGCAGTTATAGAAAAATACTGAGAAAAAAAGGCAATCACCTGTAATCCCATGACTCAGGAGATCCACTGTACACACAGCTATACAAACACACAGCTATACCAACAAGCGACAGGTGTAGTGGCACCATAAGCTAATGGCTTGTCTGCAACGGCAGCATTCCTTACAGATGCCAGTTCGGGTCCCAGCTGCTCCGCTTCCCATCCAGCTCCCTGCACCTGGGGAAACGATGGAGGGTGGCCCAAGGGCCTGGGCCCATGCACCCCTGTGAAGACCTGGAAGAAGACTGTGGCTCCTGGCTTAAGATGAGCCAAGTTTTGGTTACTGTGGCCATCTGGGAAGACAGAAACCTCTTTCTCTCTCTCTCTCAATAACTCTACCTTTTGAATACAATAAATAAGTCTTCAGAAAAAAAAATAATCACCATACGATCAGATGTTTTGAGATTATATAAATCTCACAACCCATGTTTACCCACCAGGTAAATTTACCTTTCAAATGAAAACAGGTACACATAAATGAACACACGTACCTCTGAGTTTAGACAGAAAACCTTCTCAATCAAGGGGACAAAAAGGCTGCTTTGTGGGACCAGGGTGGTGGAATAGTAGGCTAATCCTCTGCCTGCACAACCAGAATTCCATGCAGATGCTAATTCATGTCCTGGCTGTTCTACTTCTGATCCAGCTCTCTGCTTATGACCTAGGAAAGCAGTGGAGGATGGCCCAAAGCCTTGGGACCCTGTACCCATGTGCAGAAGAAGCTCCTGACTTTGGATAGGCTTAGCTCCAGCCGTTACGGTCATTTAGTCAGTGAACCAGAAGATAGAATATTCTTTCTCTTTGCCTCTCCACTCTCTGTTATTTATTTCCAAATAAAAAAATAAATATTTAAAAAGAAAGAAAAGGTGGCTGTGTGGAATTGCTGGTCTGGAGAGCTGAGATTCTTGTCATGGCATCCGTGCCATCACAGGGAGGTGAGTCTGACACGGACAGACGGCAGGCTGACAGGCAACGCCGGGAGGGACCCAGGCGTATCTTACGGTCGAGTCCTCAAGGACCAATGCAACTGTGGATGCTTCTAGAATCCCCCCAGGTGGGCTCACCATGGACTCGAGGGCCGACATGAGGAAGGTCACCACCATCCTGCTCTCCGAGGACTTGTGTTCCACGGGCAGCGTGGACATCGCCACCTGGGCCATGATCCCTGTGCGAGAGAAGAGCAAGGCAGTGAGCGCTGGACACCCGGCAGCTTTCCATCATGCTTTTTGTGGAGCTGGAGAAACTAATGAGTGAATGATGCTGGGGTGTGGTAGACCAGTAGCACTATGGCTCAGCGGGCTAATCATCCGCCTGCAAGCTCCAGCATCTGATGTGGACATGAGTTCTAGTCCCAGCTGTTCCACTTCCCTCTTAGCTCTCCACTAATGAGCCTGGGAAAGCAGCAGAGGATGGCCCACATCCTTGGGACTCTACTGGGAGACTCAGAGGTAGCTCCTGGCTTCAGACTCGCTCGGCTCAGCTCAGCACCAGCCATTGTGGCCATGTGGGAGTGAACCCAGGAACGGAAGGTCTTTGTCTCTCCTTTTCTCTGTAAATCTGCCTTTCAAATAAAAATAATTTTTTTTCTCATTGGAAAGAGAGATCATATTTACAGAGGAAGAGAAACAGAAAGATCTTCCATCTGGTGCCTCATTCCACAAATGGCAGCACATTCCACAATGCCAGGAGCCAGGGACCAGGAGGTTTTTCTGGGACTCCTACGTGAGTGCAGGGTCCCAAGGCTTTGGGCTATCCTCTGCTGCTTTCTCAGGCCACAAACTGGAGGGTGGATGGAAAGTAGAGCAGCTGAATCCTGAACTGGCACCCATAAGGAATGCCGGCACTTGCAAGGCAAGGATCCAACCACTGAGCCATTGCTCACAACCCAAATCTAAATAAATCTTAAACAAAAACAGCTTTAAAAAGAACAACAATAAACAACAACAAAAAACAGAAAAAAAGCAACCTGCAGAGATCTAAGTCTTTTCTATAGCATTGCATACGCCATGGTTACTGGACAGGAAATGACTATCTAAGCAAGCACTGCCCTAGTAATGGAGATGCCTGTATCCCACACTGGGTGTGACCTGGGTTCGATTCCCAGCTACGGCTCCTGACTCCATATTTCTGCTTAAGCAAGACCCCAGCAGACAACAGTTTTCCTTCCGGTAGTGGGTTCTCAGCAGATGGAAGATTCCCTGTAATTCTCTGACCTTCAAATAAATAAATACATCTTAAAAAGAAAACAGAAAGCGAGGCGGGGGAGCTGAGTTCCTGCCATGCACACGAGACACCAAGCTTGTCTGTCTTGGTTTTCTGACGTCTCAGGCTCCGGGGCTCAGCCTGGCCCCGCCCTGGCTAAGCAGGCATCCAGGGCGTGAACCAAGGCGTGGGACAGCAGCTGCCTCCCTTCTCTCTGTCCCTCTGGGAGATAAGAGCAAATAATATTCTTTTAATTTTTAAAATTTTTTTTAGATTTATTTTTATTATTTTTTTTTATTGGAAAGGCGGATATATAGAGAGGAGAGACAGAGAGGAAGATCTTCCGTCCGATGATTCACTCCCCAAGTGAGCGCAACGGGCCGATACCATGCCGATCCGAAGCCAGGAGCCTCTTCCGGGTCTCCCACGCGGGTGCAGGGTCCCAAAGCTTTGGGCCGTCCTCGACTGCTTTCCCGGACCACAGGCAGGGAGCTGGAAGGGAAGCGGGGCTGCTGGGATAGAACCGGCGCCCATATGGGATCCTGGGCATGCAAGGTGAGGACCTTAACCACTTGTGCCACCGCGCCGGGCCCATTATTTTTTTTTAAACTAAGGAAAAAAGGAGGAACCAAATCTGATGACTCTATGCACACTCCACGCCCGGAACTGGGAAACTGAAAGAGTGCATCAGTGGTACCAGCAGGGATGTGTCTTTCTGAAAAAAAATCACCAGGGACTGATGCATTGGCACAGCAAGCTATTCCTCCATCTGCAGTGCCAGCATCTCATGTGGGCACTGGTTTAAGTGGGCACTGGTTCAAGTCCCGGGTGCTGCATTTCCCATCTAGCTCCCTGCTTGTGGCCTGGGAGAGTAGTTGAGGACGGCCCAAAGCCTTGGGACCCTGCACCCACGTGGGAGACCTGGAAGAAGCTCCTGACTCCTGGCTTCGGATCGGCAGTCACTTGGGGAATGAACCATCGGACAGAAGATCTTCCTCTGTCTTTCCTTGTCTTTGACTTTCCAATAATAATATATATATATAAAAAAGATACAGACCCCTGGGGAGATGGCTCAGGTTCATTTCTCTCCCTGTGAGCTAATAACACGATGTTGCAATGATGGGTACCCACTAGCGGGCAGCCCAGCCTGAGGTTGGCTACCTTCTGCTGTAGGGACACCCGACTTGGCAGGTGTAGCAACATCTCCTGGGCCCCAGCATCTAATATTGCCTGTGTCTTTCAGCTCCTTGAAAGGCAGATTGCCAAAGACAGAAAGTCACACACACACACACACACACACACACACACACACACACACACACACTTTCCCTCTGTTGCTTCATTCCCCCACCATAATTCTTTCCACAGGAAGGTTTCAATAAAGTCTTCCTTGGAAATAAGTCTTGACTGACAAGGCCCAACACCAGGGGCAAGCACCACACTTTTCATATAGTACACTACAGTCATCTCTAAGTTGACCGGAATGTCAAAAGTGTTTTCAAAATGAGCAGTGGCTCAACAGGCTAGCCCTCTACCTACAAGCGCCAACATCCCCTATGGACACTGGTTCGAGTCCTGGCTCCTTCATTTGTGATCCAGCTCCCACTAATGAACCTAGGAAAGTAGCAGAAGACGGCCCAAGTGCTTGGACCCTTGCACCCAGGTGGGAGACCCAGAGGAGGCTCCTGGCTTTAGATCAGCCCTGTTCCAGTCCTTGCAGCCATTTGGGAAATGAGTCGGTAGATCAAACATGGGCATCCATTGTGCAAGGGCTACAGCCTGAACATCAGGGGCAGGGGCTGCCCAGGACCAAGGCTGTGAGCCAAGACCCCAGGGCTAAGCAGGGTCCAGACAGGAGTGGCCAAGACCTACTGCAAGCTGCTACGGTCCATGGCCACCAGCTGGCCACCAGCAACCATCCCCACGCCCAGCCCTGCCTCTACTTGTCACGGTGGGCTTCTCTGAATGACCTTCGAGCCGGCCATCGGTATGGCTCCAACTATCAGTACCAAATTAAAACATGGAGCTCGTTTTTTTTTTTTCTCTTGAAAATATCATGCTTGGGGTGAGGTGAGTACAAACGACGCTGTGGCATAGCTCATGAAGCTGCGGCCTGCAATGCCAGCTTCCTCTATGGGCAATGGTTTGAGTCCCGGCTGCTCTACTTCCTATCGAGTTCTCTGCTTCCGGCCTGGGAAAGCAGCAGAGGATGGCCCAAGTGCTTGGGCTCCTGCTCCTGTGTGGGACATCCAGAAGAAGCGCCTGGCTCCTGGCTGGCCTTGTCATTGGGGCCATTCGGCCGTGCACTGGGGGATGGGAAAACCCCAGGTCCTTTTGTAAAGTGAAGACCCATGGCTGAATATTTCGGAATGCACCAATCTATGATAATCCAAAAATAAAAAAAAGACACCCTGGCACGGCCTATCTCAATAAAACTATTCATTTGAGGGGCGGAGGACACAGCCCTGCCAGCCCACCCCATGTAGATTTCATCTGTACACCAGACCATCCCTTCGCAGGCCTTGGAGCTTTCTTTTTCCTCCCTTCCTGGACAGTGGATTTCTTTTCCACCCACAAACACGTCCAGGCCCTCTACCTAGCACAGTGCCAGAACCCGCGTCCACCCCAAAGCGCCGGCGCCCCAGTGCCCTCAAGGGCGGAGTCGGGACGCAGTTACCAGGCAACAGGGAGGAAGTCCCGCCCTCCCAGTTCCCTTAGCATCCCACCACACGTCCGCATCCAACCAATCAGAAAGGAGAACTGTGCACGCCATGCGTCCGGCCGCCGTCTCCCTCCCCCGCCGCCCGCCCCACCCCCACCCCACCACTCAGGGGGAACCGGGGTTCGAGAACAGCCTGACGCCGCCGGGGCCGCCGCGAGTCGCCGCCCTCAAACCTCGCGCCCGGTCCCCCGCCAGCGGCTTCCCGTCCCCGGGTTCCCCCGAAGGGACACGCTTCCCCTACTCAGGCAGCCAGCCAGCCGCTCCTCATGGCGGCCGGGCGCGGGGTACGCACCTGAGGACGCGGGGCCGCGGGGTCGGAGGCCTGGGCCGCCGGGGAGGGCCGAGGGCGGCGCCCCGGGCGAGTGTGGCTGAGTGGGCGGCCGCCGAGGCCCTGGTCTCCACGCGAGCCCTTCTGTTCTTGCTTTCCCTCCTTTTTTTTTTTTTTTTTTTGTTTCCTTTAACATTTATTTATTTATTTTTGAATTTTTTTGTTTGCTTCCTGGAAGGCAGCCTGGACCCGGGTGTCCGCAGCAGCGCCCCAAGTGGGAGTTTGCTGTTTCCGGTGCTTTGAGAAGCCAATGGGGGCTGCGCGCCGCAGTCCACCCTGGGGCCAGCTGGGCCTGGCCCCGGTCAATTTCTTCTTTTTTTTTTTTTTTAATTTTTATTTTTGCAGGATTACAATGGGAATGACCAGTGCAACGGCCTGACCGCTTGCACGGTTTGGGTTTTTTTTTTTTTTTTTTCCATCCAGAAACTCCAGCAACCTGTCCTGACCCACGCATGGACTCAGTGGCTTCCCATGTAGTCCTGAGCTGCCCATTCAAACCATTACAGCCTGACTTTACTGAGTGCTTTTCAGTGACGTCTTTTGAAATTGTCAAAAAAAAAAAAAAAAAAAGAAAAGAAAAGAAAATAGAAGGGTGCCACCGACCTCCCGCCCGCTGGTGGAATAATATCGGCAAGTTGTTCAGAGTTGAGATGGAAGCTTTATTGGAAAATCCGCTCCTGGGCCCTCTTCGTGCAGAGGGGAAGGAAGAGGGAAGTGAAAAGGGCTCCTGAGCTAAGTGTGGAGGAGTTTTATAACCCCCTAGACACATTGGCAGGCACAGGGGCTGTCTGTGTCCCGACTATGTAAGGCATATCCATTCAGGGGTGCCATTGGTCAATTGGAATCCCGACAGGTCGGGGCCATAACTGGCTCCTGTGGTTTTTTTTTCTCCAGGCTGAAGCCTGGGAGATACGCTGGGCGGAGCAGACCAGCCCCCTTGTCTCTAGTGCCCTGGGCAGCCATCAATGGCAAAATGGCTAAATTGTCACCTTGCAAGCACCAGTTCGGGTCCCAGCTGTTCTTCTTCCCTTCCAGCTCCGTGCATGTGGCCTGGAAAAGCATTCGAGGACAGCCCAAAGCTTTGGGACCCTGACCCGCTTGGGAGACCCAGTTGAAGCTCCTGGCTTCAGATTAGCTTAGCCCTGTCCGTCTGGCCATTTAGGGAATCAACCAGTGGGTGGAAGGTCTTTTTAATTTCTCTTGTCTGAATCTGACCTGCGTTTTTGATAAAAATAAATATAAAATCTTTTTTAAAAATTCCATTAGACATTCGCATTGCTCAAGGGTCGGTGTTTCTTTCTTTCTTTTTGTTAATGGATTATCTCTTTTTTATTGGAAAGGCAAATGCACAGAGAGGAGGAGAGACAGAGAGGAAGATCTTCTGACTGGTGATTTCTCTCCCCAAGTGGCTGCAATGGCTGGAGCTGAGCTAATCCGAAGCCAAGAACCAGGAGCTTCCTCTGGGTCTCCAGCGTGGGTACAAGGTCCCAAGACATTGGGCCTTCCTCGACTGCTTTCCCAGGCCACAAACGGAGCTGGATGCCCTTCCGATAAAAAGAAAAAAAATGAAGAACTGAGGTTCTGATTTGGAATGGAAAAGCAAGCTCCTCCGTGGAAGCAAGGTGAGATGTAGTCTTCCTCCAGATCCCAGGTGTTTGGTATCATGTTAGCACCCGTGGGATGCCCGAGTCTCATCCTGAGGAGCTGGAGTCCCGGCTCTGATTCTGCCTCCTGCTGCTGGTCACTGCGAGCTCTGTGGAGGGCAGTGGTGATGGCTCCCTAGAGCCCCACTGCACCCCTGTGGCAAGCCCAGCTGGGGCTCCCAGCTGTTGCACGCATCTGGGGAGGGAAACTTTTAAAATTTGTTTCTTAATAAGAATGAAAGTGTTTTTGAACACTCACACACATTGCTTGGGGAAAAAAGAAATACAAACTAAAGTAACGATGAAATATGTTTTCGGTATCAAGTTGATATGTATTTAAAAATTGGTTACTAGAGGGCACTGCTTGGCATGCTTGCATTCCATGTGACAGTGGGAATTTTGTGGGAAAGCAGCGCCCCCTGCCGGCCAGTGGGTACACTGCAGCTTCTGTCCTGAAACTGTAACCATGACTTCTGCTAAACCTCAAATGCAGAAATTTACGAGGCCCATCCAGAATTGCTGGTCTTCCAATTTTGAAAACTGAGAACAGCGTGATAGCTCTGCTGTGTAATCCTACGGCTCCAGCCACCTGCATCCCAATATGGGTATTGGTTCACATCCAGGCTACTCCGCTCAGCATCCCAATCCCTGCTTGTGTCCTGCAAACACAGTAGCAGATGGCCCAAAGCCTTGGGACTCTGCATTTGCGTGGTGACGTGGAAGACGCTCCTGGTTCCTGGCTTTAACATGGCCCAGCCCGGGTCATCCACCGGGGATAATGTGGATGGAAGATTCTCTGTCTGTCTCTCACTTGCTCTGTAATTCTGACTTATTTTCTTTCTTTCTTAAAGATTTATTGGGCCTGGCGGCGTGGCCTAGCGGCTAAAGTCCTCGCCTTGAATGCTCTGGGATCCCATATGGGCGCCAGTTCTAATCCCAACAGCGCCACTTCCCATCCAGCTCCCTGCTGGTGGCCTGGGAAAGCAGTTGAGGACGGCCCAATGCTTTGGGATCCTGCACCCACGTGGGAGACCTAGAGAAAGTTCCTGGATCCTGGTTCCGGATCGGCATAGCACCAGCCGTTGCGCTCACTTGGGGAGTGAATCATCGGACGGAAGATCTTTCTATCTCTCTATCTCTCCTCCTCTCTGTATATCTGAGTTTGTAATAATAAATAGATCTTTAAAAAAAGGATTTGAGAGATGAGAGACAGAGAGGAAGATCTTCCATCTGATGGTTCACTCCCCAAGCTGCCGCAATGGCTAGAGCTGAGCCAATGTGAAGTCTGGAGCCAGGAATCCCCAAGCAGGTGCAGGGTCCCAAGGCTTATGGGCTGTCCTCGACTGCTTTCCCAGGCCACAAGCAGAGAGCTGGATGGGAAGCGGGGCTGCTGAGATTAGAACCAGTGCCCATATGGGATCCTGGTGAGGTCAAGGCGAGGACTTTAACCACACTATCATGCCAGGCCCTCTTTTTTTTTTTTTTTGTAATTGTGATTTTCAAATAAGTAAATCTTAAAAAGACAATAGCTTGTGCACAGGCGGACTCGAGTGTCCAATGATTCACAAGTGACCGCAATGGCGAATGCTGCATCAGTCTGAAGCCAGGAGTCAGGAACTTCTTCCAGGTCTCCCATGTGGGTGCAGGGTCCCAAGGCTTTGGGCCGTCCTCGACTGCTTTCCCAGGCCATAAGCAGGGAGCTGGATGGGAAGTAGAGCTGCCAGGATTAGAACCATATTGGACCCTGGCACATTCAAGGTGAGGACTTTAGCCACTAGGTCACAGTGCCAGGCCCCTGTTTCTCTCTCTCTCTTTTAAAATACTTTATTTTATTGGAATGACAGATTTACAGAAGGAAGAGACAGAAGGACCTTCCATCTGCTGGTTCACTCCCCAAGTGGCCACAATGGCCAGAGCTGAGCTGCTCTGAAACCAGGAGCCAGGAACTTTCTCTGGTTCTCCCATGTAGGTGCAGAGTCCCAAGCATTTGGGCCATCCTCCACAGCTTTCCCAGGCCACAAACAGGGAACTGGATGGGAAATGGATCAGTCGGGACATGAACTGATGCCCACATGGGATGCCGGTGCTTGCAGGTGGAGAATTAGCCAGTTGAGCCATCATGTCAGCTCCTTGTGAATGGTTTTATCCATGGTTTAGGATAATGGTGAATCATTCTGTAGCTAGCAGCATCCACTAGAAGGCACCCAAGGGCTGTGCCAAGCTGTTTCTTAGGTTGGTTAGGTCACTTTCCAACACACACACCGTCTCTCACCCCTGGGCTGTACTCCAGTGTTTCTCTGCAGGTTTACATATTTGAGTCAGTGTGAGACAGAAGGAAAGTAAGACACAGAAACACAGAGAGATCTTGCCCCTGTTGACTCTTCCCCCGAAGTGCCTGCTTGGGATCCGGCCGAAGCCAGGAGCCTGGACCTCCAGCACGTCTCCTCCTTGGTGGCCCTGGGTGCACTTAGCAGGAAGTCAGCCAGGACAGAAACCTGCAGCAAATACAGGATGTTGGCATCCCACGTGGTCCCTAAGTCTGCTGCACCCCAGTGCCTGCCTAGCAGTACGTATTTTGACTAGAAGAGATGATTTTATAAGGGGACATGGACATGGAGCCTGAGTAGAGCCGGAAGGGCCCCCCCCCCAGACCTTGGAGCAAGCTTGGCTGTTAAGTGACGATGATAAACTACGTGGCCCAGGCAGCACACAATCCAGGACAAGAAAAGAATCTGAACGAATGTGGGGGCCGGGGCGTCCCTAGCTGCAGATCAACCCCAGCACGGGACTGGTGAGCACCCACACCAGCCGGCTCTGGGCTGCCCTTAGTGCCTCTGCCTTCAGCCAGGACTAATCATGGCGGCGCCACTTCCGCCGGCGCGTCGGGTGAAAGGTTGCGGACGATGGCGGCGCCCAGCAGCGGGTGAGGCGTGCAGGGCAGGATGGCGCTGGCGGCGGCGGCGGTGGCGGCCGGGGCTCGGCTGGGCCGGCGGCTGGGCGGCCCCGGGTGCTGGCGCGGGCACTGGACGGCGGCCGGGCGCTCGCGGAGCCGGCGCGAGGCGGCCGAGGCCGAGGCGGACGCGCCGGTGGCGCAGTACGTGGGCGAGCGGGCGGCGCGCGGCCATCGCGTCTTCGTGTGGGGCTTCAGCTTCTCGGGGGCGCTGGGCGTGCCCGGCTTCGTGGTGCCCAGCTCCTCGCCCCGGCCCCGCGCCGGCTCCCGGCCGCGCCGCCGCATCCAGAACGTGCCCTACCGCCTGGAGCTGGACCAGAAGGTGGGCGCCGCGGCCTGCTGCTCTTCATCGGCGCCCTCCTCCTCCTCCTCATCTCCCTCCTCCTCTTCATCTTCCTCCTCTTCATCATCTTCCTCCTCCTCGCCTGCCTGCCTGCCGCCCTCGGCCCCGTGGAGGGAAGCTGGCCGCCAGGCTTCGGGGAAGGGCGCTGTTCTAGCCACCCTAGGGGGCTGGTTGCTGAGCTTTCTAAAGGGGGTGACCGGCTGTGTTTGTGTGGGGCTCCTGTCATGGCTCAGCCAGCCCTGTGAGTGAGTGAGTTCCACGGGAGGAAAGGGGTCCCACAGGTGATGGGGGGACCCTGGCATGGGATCGCCCGCGGGGCTAGCCTGGGCAGGAGAACCCAGAAGGGCGGTTGAGGTGGTGAACGTGCCCCGGGGGAGGGAATGCCATTGAATGCCTTTTATCACTTTGATATCTAATGCTGTGAATTGTGTATTTGGTAGTCTAGCTCTGCTTTTATTTGAAAAGACTTATCTACTTTTATTGGAAAGGCAGATTTTCAGAGAGGAGAACCAAAAATGAATAGTCTGTTGGATCCACTGGCTCACTCCCCAAATGACTGCAATGAGTGGAGCTGAGCTGATCCGAAGCCAGGAGCCAGAAGCTTCTTCTTGGTTTCCCACGTGGGTGCAGGGTCCCAAGGCTCTGGGCCGTCCTTGACTGCTTTCCTAGACTACAAGCAGGGACTACAAGCAGGGAGCTGGATGAAAGTGGAGCAGCTGCGACCCCAACCAGTGTCCCTATGAGATGCTGGTGCTTGAAGGCGGAAGATTAGCCAATTGAGCAATCATACCAGGCCCTGACCCTCCCCCTGCCCATAATCTCTTAACAATTCTTTGCCTGATTCAAGATCACAAAGGTTGTTTTCTTCTAGAACCTTCATAGCGTTAGTTCTTACTTATGTCCATGAACCACTTTGAGTTGCGAACCCTCCGTGGGTGGCTCGTTTCTCAGCCCCTCCTGTGCGGACTGTGGCCATCTCCGCCCTTGCCCTCCTCAGGCTGCTTTGTTCATGTTTTGTTTCCTATTTAGTTGGCTGTTGGACTTGAGGCTCTTGCCGTCCGTGCTTAGGCAGGCGTTGCGCGCAATGGCTGAGGTGCTGTTCGTGCGGTCTGCTTCCCGTGGTGGCACCTGGGTTTGCATCCTGACCCCTCTCACCCCGGGAGGATGCCGGTGTCGTCTTTTACCCCCCACGTGGGGGAGATGTAATCCAGTTTTGTGCTCACAGCTTCGGCCTGGCCCAGCCAGAGATGAATGTAAGGATATTCATTCATCTATTTAATTTTTTTTTAAAGATTTATTGATTTCATCGGAAAGGTAGATTTATTAAGAGAAAGAAAGAGAAAGATCTTCTACCTTCTGGTTCACTCCTCAAATGATTTCAACAGCCCAAGCCGAGCCAATTTTCTTCTAGATCTTCTATGATTATATGGGGTCCCAAGGCTTTGGGTCCGTCCTCTGCTGCTTTCCCAGGCCACAGGCAGGGAGCTGGATGGGAAGTGGAGCAGCTGGGACACGAACTGGTGCTCGTATAAGTTGCTGGGGCCCCAGGCAGAGGCTTTAGGCTCCAAGAACAGGGCGCCAGCCCCCTCTGCCTTCCTAAACAACTTAGTAAACGTGTCGGGAGAGGGCATGGCTGTGCTGACTGCTCGGGGCACCGGAGCAACCAAAGGCGAGAAGCCCCGACGGTTTCTCATGAATAAATAGTACTCAGTGTATTTGCCACTGGTCAGCGCCCCAAAGGTGGTAGTTTTGATTTTTACCAATTATTTTTGGTCCAGTGCTCTTGCTTCTCGTAGAGTGATGGGCTGACCTGGTCACAGTGCCCGAGCTAGGAGAGCTCCTGGCACCTAATCCATCCCCAGCACTTAAGGCTGATGTGGGGCAGGTGCCCCTCAAACGCTGTCACACGGATGAACGGGCCTTGCGGTAAAATGTGTGCTCACCAAATATTTGTCGGATGTTAAACAAACCTGCGTCGCCAAGCAATGAGAGTGAGCATGGGGTACTGGGTGTCGTTTTCAGAGTCAGCGGCTTCTCGGTGTGGCCGGGGCCACCTTCTGCCCCCCATCCTGTTCACTCCCTCCTGCTGAGAGCGTGACAGGTGTGGGCCCTCCAGAGGCCAGACAACTCTAGTTTTCTTTCTTTTGTTTTTAAGATTTATTTATTTTTGTTGCAAAGTCAGATATACAAAAAGGAGGAGAGACAGAGAGGAAGATCTTCTGTTCCATGATTCACTCCCCAAGTGACCACAGTAGCCAGTGCTGCGCCAATCCGAAGCTGGGAGCCAGGAACTTCCTCTAGGTCTCCCATGCGGGTGCGGGGTCCCAAGGCCTTGGGCCGTCCTCGACTGCTTTCCCAGGCCACAGGCAGGGAGCTGGATGGGAAGTGGAGCAACCTAGCACAATGGGTTAAGCTGCTGTTTGCGTCACTGGCATCCTGTATCAAGTGTTGACCAAGGCTGTACTGCTCTGCCTCCATCCTGCTCCTTGCTAATGCACCTGGGAAGGCAGTGGGAAATGAAACAAGTGTTGGATCCCTGCTAGCTGTATGGGGGACCAGGGTGGCATTCTGGTCCTGGCTTTGACCTGGGTCAGTCTTGGTTACCGTGGAAAAATCTCTGTTCTTCTCTCCCTGTCTCATTTGCTCTGCGTTCCAGATAATGCCTACGTAAATAAATACCTCTTATAAAAAAGGTGAGATGGTGGGGCCAGTGCGGTGGCTGAGCACACTAATCTTCCACCTGCAAGCACCGGCATCCCATATGAGCACTGGTTTGTTCCGGCTGCTTCATTTCCCCATCTAGCTCCCTGCTTACAGCCTGAAAAAGCTGCGGAAGGTGGCCCCGGTGATGGGATACCCAGAGGAAGTTCCTGGTTTTTGGCTTCAGGTCACCTCAGCCTGGCTCTGCCCATTGTGGCTATTTGAGGAGTGAATCAGCAGATGCAAGATCTTTCTGTGTCTCTCTTCTCTGTAAATCTCCCTTCCTAATAAAAATAAGTTAATCATCGGGGGCGGAGGGGGGGCCAAGATGAGATGAGATGAGCTAACTCGTGGCTGTCATGTTGTAAGCGCTCAGCCCCCCGTTAGTGGCCGAGTCTGTCACACCTGTTGTCGGCATGTGATCATAGCCTGTCGCTGGTTGCTGAAGAAACCTGCATGTCCCAGGCTCCTTCATGCTCTGTGGGAACTCATTTTTTTAAATTTTTGTTTGTTTTGTTTTGTTTTTCCAGATCTCGTCTGCTGCTTGCGGCTATGGCTTCACCTTACTGTCCTCCAGAACCAAGGATGTCACCAAAGTCTGGGGAATGGGGCTCAACAAGGACTCGCAGCTGGGCTTCCACAGGAGCCGCAAAGATAAGAGTGAGTGAGCCGCCCAGCCCTGGCCGCGCGGTCGCCATTGCACCCACGCCTGCCCAGGGCATCCCCTGTGGGTGTCAATCCTTCAGGCACAAGGGCAGCCACCTGCCCCTGGCAGACAAGAGAAGGCTTTTTCTTTTATTTGAAAGGCAGGGTGACCGGAAGCACTGCAGAAAGAGATCGTCTGTTTGCTGGTTCATTCACAGGTTGTGGTAGTCAGGGCTAGGCCAGGCCGAAATCAGGAGCCCAGCCACTCCAGCCGGGCGTCCCATGTGGGTGTCAGGGGCCCAAGACCCTGGATCATCCTCTGCTGCTCTCCTGAGGCGTATTAGCAAGGAGCTAGACTGGAAGCTGGGCCTCTGCATTGAGTGTCCATATGGGACGCTGGCATTGCAGCTTAACTCGCTATGTTGACCCCTCTTCAGTATTTTGGGGGACAGTCATAGGGACCAGTGCTGTGGCACAGCATGTGAAGCCCCTGCTTGTGACACTGGCTTTCTGTGTCAGAGTGCCAGTTGAGGTGCCATCGCAGCTATTCTACTTCCCTTTGGTCTTCTTGTGAATGCAGTGTGTGTGAGACAGGGCTGACGGCTCACCTGCGAGGGCCTCCTGTACCCGCATGGACACCTGGCCTGAGCCCTGGGCTCCTGCCGTTGGCCTGGCCCAGCCCTGGAGAGTGAACCCTTGGATGGAAGTTCTCCCTTTTGCCCTTCTGCCTTTCAAATAAAATACAAACCAATAACAGTTTGAAAAGCATAAATGATATTAACTGATATGTAAAGAGATTTCTTTGAGAAGACCAAGTGTGCCATCTGTGAGCTGGCTTTGTGGGGCTGGGGTTGGGCATCGGTCTGGCTTTGGGGCTTTGAGTGAGTCATTCCTCCTTGACTCTTTTGTCGGCCCTGGGTGGCGTGGGCGTTAGGCATGCTGGGTGGCTCTCAGTCTGGGTGTTAGTATCATGGTGGTTGTTCAGACAGGGGCTACGAATATGTGTTGGAACCCTCACCCGTCCCGCTGCCTCTGGACAGACCTCAGGAGACCCGGGTGCTGCAGGTGGCCTGTGGCAGGGCGCACTCCCTGGTGCTGACGGACAGCGAAGGAGGTGGGTGACCCAATGGGAGCCTGGTGCTGGGAGAGGCCATGTTACCCCAGGTGGATAAGCACCCTCTGTGGCTGGCTTCCGCAGGGCCGGATTGGGCAGAGCTGGCCAATTTGAGTGACAGTGCCCGGCATGCCCCCCCGCCCCCCGGGCCTCTGCTCCCACTCCCTTGTCCTGTGTCACCACAGCAGGCCATGTGTCCGCTTGGACCAGGTGACACCTGCTGGTCCTGTCTTCTTCCTGTGGTGGGGGGTCTGTCAGAGCCCTGGTCCCCCTCCAGAAGAGTACGCATTTGCAGGGAAGGCCCAAAGCACCTGCCTTGCCTCATCGTGTGAGTGTGTGCAGAAGTGCGCGTGATGGGAAAAGATGTCAGGCCTAAGAGCTTTTCCAAGAGGGGATTTGATGTCAGGGGCAACCTAGTAGCAGGTGTCAGGAATGGAAGGATGGAGCCGGGCCCTGGAAGGTGTGGGCCTAACATCCCCATGGGTCAGCCTGAAGATGCCGGGTGTGTTGCCGAAAGGAAGTCTGGGTGAACGGATGGTCGGGGCCGCTTGGAGTCCCTTCTCCCTTCCTCCCTGCCCGCCATTGACCTGACGTCCTTAGACCCGGGAGCCCACAGTCTGAACTGCTGATGGTGTGTGTTCTCTAGTCTTCAGCATGGGGAACAATTCCTACGGGCAGTGCGGAAGGAAGGTGGTGGAAGGTGAAGTTTACAGGTGAGATTCTGGAAACAAAGCCCTCCCGGGAATGCTGCTGCGTTAGCCACTCCTCTGCTTCCTGCCACGAGTGGAGCCGCTCAGAGTTCCTGAGCTGCGGGGACGGAGAGCGTGGGAACACGCGGGGGTGTGCTGGGAGCAGCACAGCTTAAGCTGCCACCTGGAGTGGCGGTTCAAGTCTCGGTTGCTCTGCTTCCAGTTCAGCTCCCTATCACTTTAATCTTTGCTCTGTAGTTCCTTGTATTGCCCTGCCAGGCCCCGGTCTTACTCTCAGCCCTGACTACCTGTGGCAAGTCACCTGGGGTTTGGCTTTGTTTTCATGTCGCAGCCTATCCCTGCCTTGTCTGCGACCCTGAGGCTTGCTCTAGCGTTGACTGGGTGTGGAGGCGTGGAAGTGTTGGGAGGGTTGTCGGTCTCCCGCTAGCAGACCCTGACTGTGCACATGGAGCTCACCATGACCATTTTTTCTTTCCTTTCCCCAACTTGGCTTCCAATGGCAGTGAAAGTCACAAAGTCCACAGGCTGCAGGACTTCGATGGACAGGTGGTCCAGGTGAGAGCCGGGGTCTAAGAGCCACTCAGCCTGCCCTTGGGGGCTTTCTGCAAGGTTACACGTTGGCATGGGATGGTGGCATGGTCATCAGGGAGACTGTGTGGATGGATGGATGGATGGATATTACCTGGGAGTCGGACAGCCAGGGCACCATGGAAGGGCATGCGGGTATCACAGGTCACAGTTGAACCAGGCGTGTCACGACCCTGGCCCTGCGTGTAGTGTTTCTCAAGCAGGCTTCTGGGTCATGCAGCTTTGAGTTCAACTCCCTGCCTGAGTGTTAACTGAGCTTCTTGAGGTGCCCCTCCTGCCCGGGTGGCCATGGGCACCGCCTTAACAAGGTGCCTGGCATAGCAGGTGCTCAATGAGCAATGTTTCTCCTCAGAAGGCTAGCGCTCCTTAGAGTGACTGAGCCTGGAATGTAAGGTGACAGGTGCACCTCGGGGGTAGGAGCAGGGTCCCAGGGCAGTGTGAGGGGTGAGGAGGGCAGAAGACAGATGTTGGAGAAGATCATGATTGTTGCAGGCACCGAGAGGGGACTGTGTGGTGATGAGATGCAGAGCGTGAGCAAGGCAGAGATGCCCCAGGGCTCACGTAGGCTGGTGAAAGAACCTGGGCCCTTGACTCTGGCGAGTGCAGTGTCAGTGGAGTATGAGGTGGAAGCTAGACTGGCAGATCCGGGGAGAGTGAGGCGTGGAGGGGGAGTGGGATAGGAGCTGCGGGGAGGGCGCTGGGCTCCCAGCAGCCTCTTGTGTCCACCTGCCAGGTCGCCTGTGGTCAGGATCACAGTCTCTTTGTCACGGATCGAGGAGAAGTCTATTCGTGCGGATGGGGCGCTGACGGGCAAACAGGTACTGTCCCTGGCTCCCGACGGGTGGCGTGGGGCCCCAGCCCAGGTCATAAAGAAGTGACCTAGAAGGCCCTTCCGGGCCACGACGCACCTTCCTGCTATGGCTCCTCACTTCCCTGGGGGCCCCACTGTTCCGTTCACCACGCCCACGGCTCCCACTGAAATGACTCAGCAAGCACCGTGGGCGAGTTGCTGGCTCTTGGTTGTTTTGCTGACTGTCCTCCCTGGTGGCTCTTTCCCACCTGAGCTGAGCCATGTTGGATCGTGATCTGATCTGTCCTTGTATTACATTTCTGGAAGCCCTGAGGACTTGAGGTGGCCATCTTTTCCTCTAGAGACCATTGTGCCTGTTGCCTGGGGATACTGCCAGTAAGATACTGTCCTGGTCCCCTTGGGTTGGGGGGGGCCCTGGCCCGTGTCGCTGCCTTGGTGGCTGCCTGAGGAACCCTGCCTGGGGCTGTGCAGGCGTTAGCAGGTGTTCTCATTACAGGTGCTGTCTAGCCATCCTCTGCTGGCTGTTCACCATGCCAGCTTCACTTAGCCTTGATGGGAGGGTGTGAGGGGCTCTTGGTGAGCCTCCTGTTTTGTAGTGAGTGCAGCAGTGCCCGGGGAATGGCAAAGTCTGATGGGGTCGCACAGTATTGGTATTCCACCTTGGCCAAGTTTCTTACTGAACTTAGACCTAGAAAATTCCAGGGGTTGAGAAGAGGCAACAAATTACAATCCAAGAGGACACGGAGAAGGGCGTCCGTCACGTGAGCAGCTGTAGGAACAGACTGGGCCTGATCACCCAGGAAGTCTTTGCCAAGTGCTACTAGAAAGGGTGAGAAAGTCCTCTGCCCTTTTGTTAGGTCTGGGCCACTACAACATCACCAGCTCCCCCACCAGGCTGGGAGGAGACCTCGCTGGCGTGCGCGTCATCCAGGTGGCCACCTACGGCGACTGCTGCCTGGCTGTGTCTGCCGACGGGGGTCTCTTCGGTTGGGGCAACTCTGAGTACCGGCAGCTGGCATCCGTCACTGACTCCACACAGGTAAGGAGCTCACCGCCAGCACGCGGCGAGAAACTTGAACACCCAGAGCAGGAGGCATGGTCAAAGGGGCACCCCGCCATGTCATGATGTAAGGTGCTGGTTAGGGCCTCATTATTGGCACATAGAGGAGACGGCCCAGGTGGCGTTGTGTGTGGTTGTGCCCACTGGCCTATATGTAGGGCTGTGGGACTTTCTGGAGTCCCCGGGGTGCCACCGTATACTTTAGGGCACAGTATAATACACCTGCAGGTAAGTGCCCGATTGGCAGTCTGCTGCTTCCTGGAGACCTCATCCCAGTCTCAGCCATGGGGGGACCCTGCCTGTGGCCCCACCCCTGAGTCTGCCCCCTTTCTCATGGAGGCGAGCTGCTAGCAAGACAGGGTTTTTAACATTTTATTAAGGAGGTGGCAAACCTAAGCAAAATGGAGATTGTTACAGAGGCGTTTCTTTCTACTCATCGTCCTCACTCAGCAATTCTCAAACCAAGGGCTTCTTTTTGAAAAACTAGAGCTACAGGGACCGGCGCTTGGTGCAGTGCCAAAGTCACTGCTTGGGATGTGTGCTGTGTCGGAGTGCCTGGTGTCGCAGATCACGGCTCAAGGCTGGGGACCCCGCCCCCGGCCCAGGGGGTGAGATCCAGGTTGTCTGACTTTGGCCTAGCCCAATGCTGGCCATTCTGGGCACCTGGGGAGTGAATCAGTAGGTCAAATAAAATGGAAATAAAGTTTTTAAATATAAATTTTAAAAATTATGTATTTATTTGAGTGAGATAGGGAGGGGAAGGACGGAGATCTTCCGTCTGCTGGTTTACTCCCCACGTGGCCACAATGGCTGGGGTTAAACAAGCCAAAGACAGGAGCCAGGAGCTGCTTCTGGGTCTCCCCTGTGGGTGCAGGGGCCCAGGCACTTGCGCCATCTTCTGCTGCCCTTCCAGACAAGGGTAAACCAAAGATCAGCCACAAAGATGAAAAACAAAACCAGTTTCCTTGTGGTCTGGCACACTGGCCAGTAGCAGTGGCAGGTTTAGTTCTGAGTGCTCTCTAGTCACCAGGGCAAAGAAAGCGTGGTTATTTATTTACTTGAAACTTGTTTTTCAGTGTAACAGCTTTGATACATGTTTATTTAGAGAGGCAGAGAGAGAGACAGACAGATGGAGATTTCCCATCCTCTGGTTCACTCTCCCAGTGCCTGCAGTGGCTGGGACTGGGAACTCAGTCCAGGTCTCCTGCGGGGGTGCCAGGGACCCAGACCCTCAAGCCATCACCTGCTGCCTCCTGGTGTGGGCGTTAACAGGAAGCGGAAATGCGGAGCAAAACCAGGACTTGAACCCTGGGCGCTTTCCGATGAGAGATGCAGATGTCTTAACCTCTGGGCCAGATCCGTCCCTCCCCCAGGCCCAGCGAGTGCATTGTTTCTAAGATCAGCAGAGAGAAGGGGCAGAGGAGGAGGCCCGCTCGTCCTGCTGCCCGGGGCCCCAGCAGCAGGGCCTTTCCAGGCCCACTCTGTGGTGTTGGTCAGGACGTAGGACCGTTGAGCCTCGGACCCCCCGCCCGCTCTCGCTGGCAACTAGCCAGCCGGTACCCACAGCCAGGCCTTCCCTGCTTCCTTGCCACGTGGCCTTCTCTGTGGGCCAGCTCATGGCATTGCAGTGGGTCTGAGCAAGCCAGTGGGAAGGCAGGGAAATGCCAGCGAGACAGCTGCCTGTGGCTCGTCATTGGATCTTGGAAGCGACACCCCTTCCTGGTGGTGCTTTGGTTAGGAGCCAGCCACTGGCCACGGGGGTCAGGCAGGGATATGAGAGGAAGGGACTGGGGTCCTTGGGAAGTGGCCTACAACAATTATGTACAATTATGTTTTTTTTTTTTTTCCTTTTTCTCTCTATATTTTAATAATAAATTCATTTTATTTTTGGTGATGTTTACATAGCTGAGAAGGATGCCTGCCCATGTGGACCACTGATTAGGGTGAGAAAGTTTGAGGAATGGGGCAAAGTGGACGAGACAGCTGCCTCCAGTCTGTTTCTTCTGGCATCTGGGGAATGTGGACAGAGAAGGGGAGAGGGCTGCTCCCAGCAGCCCAACCGCATCAGTCCCCAGGAATAGGGGAAGACCAACTGATGTCATCCCAGGGTCCCTGGTGTGGAGCATGCTCCGAGCGTCCTGCCTAAGTGGTTTTGATAGTTCTGAGGTGCTGTTGATTTCATTGCTCTAAGGCTGGGGAAATCCTTCTCAGGTCCATTGGCTGACAAAGTCCACCTTAGAGTCTCAGAGTCTCAGTTCGTTCAGATGCTTGTCTGGGGAGCTGTCTAATTTGTTCTGCCCTCTGTGGTACTGGGCACCCTCTGCAGTGAACTGGTTGTCATGTCCCCCATGTGCATCTGGACGTGCTGTCCACGGCGGCATTTCAGCAACCAGGGAGGCCCATTATGACACCTGTACTCCACGGTCAGACCACAGATACTGGGGTTGCTCCCCATGGTTGGAATTCTGAGTTCAGTGGTTCAGTTAGTAGGGGTCTATAAAGAAACCTCATCTGAGGTGACCCCCAAGTCCTGACTCCTGTGAGTCAGAACTGTGGTATGGGATCCGGCTCAGTCTGTCACCCACATCAGCCCACACACACTCTGGTGGTTGCAGTTGCTGGATCAGTTCTGTCTCCAGCCCCATCTCATACACAAGCCGGTGGGTGCTGGAGCCCAGCCTGACCTTGTCCACCATACACTTGGCCCTCAGGCACAGCAGCAGAGACTGCATTCCAGTCAGAACGATTTCCAGTAACCCCCACCAGGACACCCTCCCGCCCTAGTTCCCGCATATGCTGGTATGTGCAACAGACTGGTTTGTCTACATCCCATTCAGCTTTTGTACACACCCATGGGTGCTGCAGCCTAGCTCAGCCCGACTGACCCCACTATCCAGCCCTCACTTATGCTGGTGGGTGCTACCGCCTGTCCAGCCAGGGCCACCTCCAGCCCTGGTTCTCATGCTCACCAGTGGGAGCTGCAGCCCATCCGAGAGGTACCCACAGTTTCCTCTCTAGACCCTCTCCCATCCTTGGGTCTTGCAAACCAGGTGGTTCTGCAGTCTAGCTGGACAGGGCTTGCCCCCATTTCCAGCACCTGCCGGCTGATGCTGCGGCAAAGCCTGACCAGCCTGCACTTACTCTGGCTCCTGCATGCTCACCAGTGGATGTAGTTGTTTAGCTTAGCCTGGCTCTCCTGCTAACCCAGCTCACATGCAGGCCAGTGGGTGTTGTAACCCTGCCCAGCCTGCTCTGTGCTCAGTCTCAGCTCTCATGCTCACCAGCAGGAGCAGTGGCCCAGCAGGGAAGCCTCTGCAGCTACCCCCTTGGGGTCGCCCCCATTCCAGCTCTTACAATTGCTGGTGGGAGTTGCGATTGTTCACGTTTGCCGTGTGTCTGACGCTGACCGTGACCTGCCACGCAGCTGCTGACCCCTGCACCTGCCCTCGTGCTCTCCTCTCTGTGGGTGCTAGCCTGGGTCTCCTTCCTCCGCTGCCTTCTTTCGCCAGCCCCTCCTTTTTTTTTTTTTTTTTTAATATCACAAGGTTTTTTTTGTTTAAGGTATAATTATTTTTGTTTGAAAAAGTTGTATAGAGAAGGAAGAAGAGAGAAATGGGGAGATCTTTCATCTGTTGGTTCATGCCCCAAATAGCCAAAACCGAGCTGATCTGAAGCCAGGAGCTTCTTCCAGATCTCCCCAGGATCCAGAAGACTTGAACCTCCTCTGCTTTTTCCAGGCCATTCGCAGGGAGCTGGATGGGAAGTGGAGCAGCCAGGCCTTGAGCTGGCACCCATATGGGATGCCAGCATCCCACAGGCAGCTGTAATATGCTATGCCAGAGCCCTGGCACCATGCCTTCATGCTCACCTTTTTTAGAGAAAGGCTTATTTATCTTTTTCTATTTGTAAGGCAGATTTACAGAGAGAGAAAAAGAGGCAGAGAGGAAAGCTCTTTTACCTGCTGGTTCACTCCCCACATGGCCAAAACAGCCAGAACTAAGCCGATCCAAAGCCAGGAGCCAGGAGCCTGGAGTGTCTTCTAGCTCTCCCATGTAGGTGCAGGGTCCTAAGGCTTTGAGCTGTCCTCTGCTGTTTTCCCAGGCCATAAGCAGATTCCTGGATGGGAAGTATAGCAGCTGGGACTCGAACACACACTCACATGGCATGCCGGCACTTGCAGGCAGAAGATGAGCCAGTTGAGCTGTCATACTGGCCCCGCAGGTTTGTTTTCTAACAGTGTGCACCCTTCCTTTGGTTTAGGTCAACGTGCCCCGGTGCCTGCCCTTCGCAGGGGTGGGGACAGTGAAGCAGGCTGCCTGTGGCGGCACAGGCTGTGCCGTGGTGAACGGTGAGCCCCTTATCCCAGCAGCTCAGGGGGCACGGGGATTGGGGGCTGGATTGCCGAGGGCAGGATTGGGGTCCGCTAGACTCGCACGCCTGGCTGTGGGGAGAGCTCGTTGGACAGGGTGAGAGCCCTGGCGAAGTAGGATTTCCAGGCGGATGGCCGCCGGGGTCTCCAGGCAGGAAGTAATAGGTAGATATGGGGGGGGGAGAGGTTCGAGCTCAGAGCCTGGGCCCCTGCTCCTGGCGTTAAGCAGCCGACAACACTGAGAAGCATTCAACTTTCCTAACCATGCGTTCTGTTGCCCAGTGCCCAGAGCTTCTTGGCAGAAGCATTTGCCAATTTGGCTTATTCTGATCAGTGTGACTTGCAGAGCTGTCAGCAGGGGGCGCTGTGTTCAAGTCCTCTGTTTGGGGCACCTTTGTGGACCATGCCGCCCACTCCTGGGTCACCTTCAAGACATAGGAGGTTTGTGGGAGGCTGGCTAGACAGACTCCACAGGTGAGGTTATTTGAAATTTCGGGCTGGTCAGGAGACCAGGAGAGAAGGGGCAGGTCACATGGCTGGAAGCAACACCATTGTGAGGAGGGGGACACATCCTGGATTTGGGGGAGCAGGCCCCATGCAGTGTGACTCTCTGACTGTTGGCTTGTTCTGTGTGTGCAGGAGAAGGCCATGTGTTTGTCTGGGGCTATGGAATTCTTGGGAAAGGCCCAAACCTGCTGGAAACGGCGCTTCCAGAAATGATTCCCCCGACCCTCTTTGGCCTGACGGAGTTCAGCCCCGATGTCCGTGTTTCCCACATCCGCTGTGGCCTCAGCCACTTTGCTGCCCTCACCAGTAAGTGACCCCCCGCCGTGGGCTGCTCTCTGCCTTGGCCACTGCCCGGCGGCATGGCGTGGCGTGGCGTGGCATGGCGTGGTGTGGCTCAGCCACCGTGTGGATCCTCCAGGAGGGAGGCCAGTGCTGGGGCCCACCTGGCTGGAGGCTGTACAGTGTGTGTGTGTGTGTCTTTTTTTTTTTCCCCCCCCCTTCTCATCCTAGAATTTTGTCTCTGCCTCATCGGCTTTGTGGTTGAGCTCATATGAAAGTGGGTTTTCTTGAGAGGTCGGTGGGAGGGAAGGGGACCAGCAGGAAAGTGGAGGACACCAGAGGGGTTGTGGGTGATGAGGAAGTGGGGTCTCCTCCCTGGCCAAACCAGAGTCCTGCTCTGAGGCAGGCATGCGGACTGGGCACGGCAGGTGTATCAGCCCATCCTGTGGGTGGGGCAGAGCCGCCATCCCTCCCGACTGCCGGGAGAAGGGTCGGTCAGAGGGGGGCCAACACGGAGGCTGCTTCCAGGGTTTGCCTGATACCAAAGCCTGCAAATTCCCTGAGCGGGCGCTTTTCCAAGTTACCCGCCCGGCTCTGTCAGCTCTGTTTGCTGCTCCACGCTTGATCAGGCTGCCATGACAGAACCGTCCCTCATTAGCCTCTCTTTGTCGTCCTGAAGTAAATGAGAGACTTTTCCTCTCTCTTTTCTTTAAGGTTTATTTATTTTTATTGGAAAGACAGACTTATAAAGAGGAAAGACAGAAAGATTTTCCATTAACTGGTTCACTCCCCAAATGGCCATAATAGCCAATGGTCTGATCCAAGGCCAGGAGCTTCTTCTGGATCTCCCAAGCAGGTGCAGGGGCCCAAAGCCTTAGACCAACCTCTGTTGCTTTCCCAGGTCCCAAACAGGGAGCTGGATGGGAAGTGGAGCAGCTGGGACATGAACCAGTGTCCATCTAGGATGCTGCACTTGGAAGTGGAGGATTAACCACTTGAGCCATTGCACTGGGCCCAAGAAACACTTTGTTGTTAAACCTCTGGGCCACCGTTGGCCATGAAACTGGGGTCACGTTGACCTGGAGACTGCTGGATAGCGGCTGTTGTTCTAGGGTCCTGACCAGCTCTTGTCCGGAGTTTTGGCTGTGGCAGGGGACCCCAATCACACGTGCTGGCTGCAGCATGGGCTAGGAGGGTGACACTGCGAGGTTTTTTTTTTTTTCTGACTCCATGCAGAAAAGCCCTGGGGGCCGCTGCCTTGCCACTGTGACATGACATGAGACCCTCGCAGGCAGCAGTGTCACTGCTGAGCCAGGTATCTGCCCCGTTGGGGACTGTGAGTGGAAAGTCACGGGGACTGATACCGAGCACAGCGCTATGTGCGCTGTTGTTCTAGAGTGTTCTAAGGCTCAGCCCTATGCACTGAACATTTGGAAACGCATGCGAAGCGTTTGGTTTGAGTGGTCTTCCCTGTGGGCCGTGACCTCCCAGCTGTCAGAGGCTGCCCCTCCTGGAGAGCCTGCCCCGACCCAGCCTCCGTTTGCCTCCCTTTGCAGACCGCGGAGAGCTGTTCGTGTGGGGCAAGAACGTGCGAGGGTGCCTGGGGATTGGCCGCCTGGAGGACCAGTATTTCCCATGGAGGGTAAGGCTGGGCCCGGTGGGCTGCTGGATGACCCCTGAGTGTGCTGGGAAGGGTGTCCCCTCAAAAGCTCCTGACCCTTAGCAGACAGAGCAGAGGTTTTACGAGGAGGGCAGAGTAGGATGTGTGAGTGGGGGGTGTCTCACACCTGCCCTTGGCCTCAGATCCTCCCGTGGCATGGAAGAGAAGCACCCTGTGTGTGTAGGGGTGGGTACCCTGTGGAGCAGGGTTTCTGCCAGGAGGTGCATGTCCTGGCCAGGGAACCCCGGGGCTGTGTGGGTTACTTTGCTTGGGCATGGGGGGCGGGGGACACAGGTTAGTGAAGCGAAGGGCACCTGTGTGGGCAAGGCAAATACCCACTGCTAATGGCCTGCGCGGGTTGCTAGGAGCCCATCTGGGCCCTGTCACCGTGGAGGCGGCACGTTTTGCTCGGTGCCCCCCACCAACCTGGGGCGCCCGTGTGATGGCCAGGGGCTCAGGGCCTGTTTGCAGAGTGGCTGCTGGGACAGGCTCTGCTGCGGCTGACTGCTCTGGGAGCACGGGAGGACGGTGGGACTTGTTTACCAGCATCTGTTTGCCTTGTACGCTGAGTCCCTAATGGACTGTGTCCCCGGCCGTGGCCATGGCTCGGCACCTGTTACCTGTACTTTCCGCCTGGGGCCATCTGGCTCAGGCATGCCCCCCCCCCCCAAGCTGAGCAAGCACCCCAGGCTGTAGAGCTCCTGGCTGCTGTCACCCAGCCCAGGGGTGAATTCACACCTGCGCACCCCAGCCAGGGCTGTGGACCAGCCAGGGCTTCCTCAGGGATCTCCCCAGATTTGCACCTGCTTCTCTTTGCCTGTGGATGCTCTCCCAGGGCCAGGAGACACTGATTAGAAAGTGATGCTCTTGTTGAGAGAATGTTTGGGGCACTGCTTTCCCAGGCGTCCCTGTAGGATGCCTGTGTCCCAGGCAGTGGCTTAAGCCCTTGTGCCCCCATGCCATGAAGCCACCCAGCAGGTTGGGTCTCCCTCTGGGAAGTGGGCTGTGTGTTTGGGACCACGGCCGGGCCCCAGTGCTCCTCAGAGACACAGTAGGCGCTCCTCCCCGAGGCTGGTGGCGACCTGGGACACAGTGATGGAAGCCACTGGGCCAGAAGGACCTGGTTCCTAAACCAGGCCCGGGGCTGGGAGCAGGAAGGATCCATGGAGCCATGGTGGTCACCCCCGGGCAAGGCTGGGCCACCGCTTGGGGCCATGTGCCTGGGCCGGGGCCAGGGATGCCCAGTGCGCTGAGCATCAGCCTGCTGCGTGCATGGGCGGCCTGCTGGCCTGAGCGTGCCTGGCTGACATGACCTAGGGTTGCCTGTGTCCCCGCCATGTCCGCTCACGTGCGCCGGGCCTTGTGTTTGTTTCAGGTGACGATGCCCGGGCAGCCCGTGGACGTGGCCTGTGGAGTGGATCACACAGTGACCCTGGCCAAGTCATTCATCTGAGTCTCCCCCCGCTGGCGGCTCTGCAGAGGCAGGGGCCAGGCTAGCTGCCAAGGGGGCAGGCCCGCTGGTGTAGACGCCCGGTACTGGCTGGCTCCCAAGCCCTCAGTGGGTCCCTGTGGGGGTCCTGGAGTGAGTGTAACCTCCAACGGGCAGGCCTCCAAGGGGACAGGGACCGGGAGGCGATTCCACACTTCATGGCTGTTTGTGGGTAAGCCATGCTGGCCTCTGGCGTCACATGCTGCCGGAGACCCTGGGTTTGGGAAGGATGTAGTCTCCTGGGTCACTGTGTCCGACTGTAAGGCGTGGGCCGACTCAGGCTCTGGCTCCTTGCAGCGCATCCCGCGCCCTGGGCCAGCTGTGCCGTGTGTCTGGGACAGGCAGGTTGCAGTTTAGTGGTGGCAGCCAGGCTGGCCACAGCCTGGGGCTGTCCCTCACCAGTCACCACAGGCTGGCTGCTGGGACTCGCACCCGGCTGGGGATCCTGCCCACGGCTGCCCCGGTAGGCTTGACCTGGGGCCAGATTTTGGCCCAGGAGGGGGAAGGATCCAGAAATCACACACACGTACACATAAAAACCCCAAAACCCAAAAAGCCCAACCATCTGATTTAGGACCCCAGCTTGTCTTTGTCTTTGAAAATAACTTATAAAAAAATGTCTTTTGGAATAAAAATCTATTTTCTGCCTTTTGTGTTTGTAAGGGCTTAAAGAGGTCTTTTTTTTTTTTTCTTCCTTGATCATTTAGAGATTAACCTAAAAAAAAGCTAGGCTTTGGATTAAGATGCAAAGCAATGAAGAACGTTCTAGAAGACCCCTGTGTTCCTGAGCCGATGATCCCGCTCCGCTGAGGGTGGTGGGAGAAGACAACAGCAGGCACGCTGCAGCCTGCCCACCCCGTACCTTCTGTTCATCCACTCTGCAAGCACCGTGGGCCGCCCAGGGTACAGGGCCCGCCTGCCACGCTGGGTCATGCAGCTGGCACTTCAGGGGAGGAGGAACCACAGTGAACATGTTGGGGGGACCAGGTGGACTGTGGGAAAGCCAGAATTGGGGGGCCGGGAGTGGGAAGGCTGCACTTGAAGAACCATCTTGTGTTGCCTGTACCCTGCAGGAGCATAACGATTGCCCTCCCTGTCTTCATTTTTATTTGAAAGGCAGAAAGAGCTTCCACCTGCTGGTTCATGCCCCAAATGCCAAGGCACATGACAGCCAAAGGCAGGGCAGGCTGAAGCCTGGTGGCCAGAACTCCATCCAGGCTTCCTCTGGTGGGTGGCACGCACGGCCCCCGGTACTGGAGCCTCCGAGGGTGTGCGCTGGCCGGGAGATGGAACTGCAAGCCGAGTTGAGCCCAGGACTCCAGTGCAGGAAGCTGGGCTTCCAAGCCGCTGTGTCATGACTGTGCCGAGTTCCCATGCCCTGTTTCACTCTGTGTTAAGCTCCACTGGAAAAGCTAGAGAAGGGGCTAGACACACGTGAGGTCCGTAAGGGTGTCAGCGTGACACGTTGCAGTGTGCTCGGCTCCTGATTTGGGGAGTGAATCATCGGATGGAAGATCTTCCTCTCCGTCTCTCCTTCTCTCTGTATATCTATCCAATAAAAAAGCTTAAAAAAAATGGGTAAACAGGAAAAAAAAAAAGGATTGGAGCTGGGCCCTAGGGAGCAATTTTTTAAGTGCTTATTTTCACGTATTTGAAAGGCAGAGCAACAACAACAAATTTGTTTTCCATCCGTTGGTTCACTCCCCAAATGCCTACAACAGCCAGCACTGTGCCAAGCTGAGGCTGGGAGCCTGGAACTCCATCCAGGTCTCCCATGCCACTAGCAGGGCCAAGCACTTGGGCCAAGCATCACTGGTTGCCTTCCAGGTCGGACGAGCAGGGAGCAAAAGCAAAGCAGAAGCAAAGCAGCCAGGACTCCAACCAACACTCCTGCATGGGTTACAGGTGTGCCAAGCAGCAGCTTAACCCTCTAAATTCTACCACCCACCCCTGGGAACAAGGCCTGCTTCAGGCCCAGCGCGATAGCATAGCGGCTCAACTCCTCACCTTGCACGTGTCAGGATCCCTTATGGGCACCAGTTCTAATCCTGGCAGCCCTGCTTCCCATCCAGCTCCCTGCTTGTGGCCTGGGAAAGCAGCTGAGGACGGCCCAAAGCCTTGGGACCCTGCACCTGTGTGGGAGACCTGGAGGAAGCTCTTGACTTCGGATCGGCTCAGCTCCAGCAGTTGTGGTCACCTTGGGAGTGCACCAGCAGATGGAAGATGTTTCTTTTGCTCTGTAAATTTGACTTTCCAATTAAAAAAAAAGCTAAAAAAACAATATTTTCAGGAGACTCTGACCTAAACCATGATGCCAACTTTGTATGTACCGAAGTTTTCCTATAAGACAGAAATCCAGATGCGGCTCCGGTAATTTGACCTTTGACACAGCAGGCAGTGTACAGCAGGAGACATCCTGGAGGTTGTGCCAGGGTCCCCGGGCTGCCCCTGCCACAGGCCAGACCCCCTCCCCATTCGTGTCTGGGTCGTGGCGTTTGTGCCTTTGTTTCCAGCGCCTGCTGTGTTTGATATGCACCACGAGGAAGCTTCCTGTTAAGTTCATGGTAGGGGCCACGTGCCAGCCCTCTGTGCCCTTCTTAGACATAGATACATGTGAGTTCAGTATTTGAAAGGCTGAGTGACAGAAGGAGACAGAGCTCTTTCCATCCCCTGGTTCACTCCCTAAATGGTCACAGTTTTGATAGAGCTAGACCAGTCTGAAGCCAGGAGCCCGTCCACTCAGGCTTCCCGTGGGGGTTGCAGAGGCCCGAGTACTCGAGCCAGCACCTGCTACCTCCAGGTACCTTAGCAGGGAGCAGAAGCAGAGCAGATGTGAATCAAAGTGATGCTTCCGTACGGAATGCCTGCATTGCAGGTGCACCACGGATGCGTGCCCCTCGTGTGTATCTGTTCTGCCTCAAAAAAAAATAAAAAAAGCTCAAGACAGAAAGGGCTGGCGGACTGCATGTTGTCTGGATGGCCCGGTGAAGTGGTGATAGGGTGCCCATGCCCTCACACTGTTGGTCTCCATGGGTCTCTGAGGGCAGGAACTCCAGCGGAGTTCCTTTGTAACAGTACCCAGCCTTTGGATGCAACCACAGCACTGTGGCACAGCAAGTGAAGCCATCACCGTTGGTGCCAGCATCGAGTCCCTACTGCTCCACTTCCCATCCAGATCCCTGCTAGTGGCCTGGAAAAAGCAGCAGCAGCAGATGATGCAAGCACCTGGGCCTCTGCGCGTGTGGGAGATCCAGATGAAGCTCCTAGCTTCAGGCTGGCCCTGCTCTGGCCACTGTGGCCATTTGGGGAGTCAATCAGCAGATGGGAGATCTTTAACTTGGGGGCAGCCTTGGGTGACTGCTCTGGCTTCAGGTGCCATCTCTGGGGTCCAGGGTACCATGTTGGAAGCCTGGCCAGTGTCTCCCACCCTTCCACCCCCCAAAATGGGGAAAGGGAGCAAGATGGGAACGGGAAACAGGCCTGGAAACGCGTACACGCTCAGACCACCACTGATGCACGTCGTGTCTTTTTGCTTCATTTTAATGAACACTTTACAAAGTACAAAATATACTGTCTTTTTTTGCGGGGGAACATTAGGTATTTTTTTTCCTCCATCATACAGTACATGAGTCTAGAGGGCTTACGGGAGGGCCCAGGGGTGGGGTGGGACCACCAGTTCCCCCTCCCCCCAGACCTGGGACAGTGGATGTGTCTTCTGTTGCTGGTGACCCAGACATGGCATGTGGGTGTGATGGTCAGAGGGGTGTGGCCAGGACACACCTGCCCTGCCTTCCCCCCAGACACAGTTTCCCCCGCCAGCATCCCCCTCCCCAACTCAGGGTAACGGAAATGATTTTGGCATAGAGCAACAACAGGAGGGCTCAGGGATTTTTCTTTTCCCTTTTCTTGGGGGAGCCAACCCTGCTCGACTCTGGCTTTTCTGAATGTGGGTAAACTGAGGCTGTGCAAAAGAGACTGGGCTGGGCCTGGACTGTGTTGGCTCCTGAATTCTGCCTGCTTCTGGCCCTCCCCCACCGGGCCAGGACAAGTCCCTGTTGGTGAGGGGACGTCTACCCCCATGACCTTGCCTTCAGGTCACCTGGTACTCCTGAAGACAAGGTGGGCAAGTCAGTCAGGTGGGGGCAGGGTCCCCAGCCACCTCTATCCCTGAGCCTCTGAATACCTGGGCTCGGGTGTGAGCTCTGTACACGCACATACATGTTCTAGCATACAGACATGCTCACACGCACCTATGCTTGTATAAACATGCACACATTCGCCTCCTTGACTCCCCCAGGGGCAGGGACCACCTGCACTTGCAGCTCTCACAGCCTCCTGTCTGCCACAGACCTGTCCTGATCTCCACCTCCCTCCCAGGAAGGCCTGGAGACCAAAGCTCCCGACCATGCCCCGTCGTGGAAAGGGTCGCATGGGGTCTGCTGTTTCTGATTAGTTCCCCTAGCTGCCCAGCTGCCACTCTGCCTCTCTGGGCCTGACCCCAGCTTCTGAAAATCTTGGTCAATAAGCTCCACACCCGGGCGCCCCTGACACTGTTGGGGGGCCTCTTCCTGTTGGTCCCAGAGTTTCACTCTACCCTTCTGGAAGACCCCTCCTTGTCCTGGGGCCAAATTTTGAAGCCCAGCTAAAAGGCAGGACGGGCTAGGGGTGCGTCCAGGCTCATCTTTAAAGAGATCTGTCAGGTAGACGGGGTCAGGGCTGGGACAGGAGCTGGATCAAGCCCTACCAGAGCAAACGTCCCTGGCTGGTCAGCACAGCCAGGCTGCCCAGGCCCGGGTCAGGATGGATGCTGGTGCTTTGGGAGGCATCTTGGGAGAACAGGGGCTCTCCCGCCTGGCCGTGTGCCTTGAGCCAAGGCTCTGGCGGCCTCCCTGGACGGAGGAAGGGGCTGCAGAGCTGGCCATGCCAGAACCTTGGCCGAGTCAAGGCTGGGGGCTCGAGGACAAGGCGGGTTCCCCTGTGTGGAGAGGTGAATGGGAGAAGATCCTGATCACCAGAAGAGGGGTGGTCCCTGCTCAGGCTCTGTCCAGGTGCAGGGTGCAGGGATGGGGAGGTGAGCAGTGAGGATGCAGTTCCGACTCCTGGACCTTTCTGACCAGAGCCCCTGATGCTCAGCAGGCAGCTTGGGGCTCGGCAGCCTGTCCTGTCCCTGCAGACTCTACAGGGGGTGTCCCCGCCCTATTTTTCATCAGCAGGGCCAGGCTGGGGCAGGTGATCTGAGAGCAGGGGCTTCAGAGAGACCCTTAACACTCAGCAAGCCAGGCCATGGCAGGTGGCACGGGAAGCAGCAGACAAGAGTAGCTGGCCCCAGGGAAAGCCACCCCCCCCCCCGGCAACGCAAGAGTGGATTCCACAGAGAGGTGACAGCACACAGAGGACACACAGAAGCAGGAGGAAGGTGTGGGAGAAGCACAGGGCCCCCTGTGGCCAAGAAGTGGGGTCCCACACACTAACATCAGGGTCACACGCGCTTTTGTCAGCCGGTCCCCAGGAAGAGACCTGGGAGGAGAACCTGAGATCTCTGAGCTTGCAGGTTAAAGAAAAAAACAAAACAAAAAACCAAAACAAACCCAAATCACACGTGCCAGGTGAGCCGCCAGCAGCGAGGTCACCAGGTCTGGGTGTGGAGGCGGGGGAAACTCCGAACAGGGGTGCAGAGGGGGCTGCTGTTCTGTTCCGAACTCTGAGGGCCCATGTCCCCTGCCCTCTGCTCAGAGCAGACAAGGAGGTGCAGGGGCGGGGGGGCCCAGGCCGTGGCAGGCCCTGGATGCTGGCTCCTTGGGTTGCTGGCTTTGTTTTTCTCTCTGGTCAGATCTCAAGAAACCCTCCCTGGGCTTCTCTAGTGACCGTATTGCCCATATACTTGAAGGTAAAATAGACGGCGGCTTGGAAAACAAAACAAAAAAACCCCAACAACAACAAAAAACCATGCCTGCAGGCGCGGGCCCACTCCCACGCGCACACAGTATATATTAACGTATATATTGCTCAAGTATATATGCTATGTACAGTATACAGCTCTATCAACATAAAACACAGGTATTCATAGATGTGTACAACGGACAGGCCCAAGGAGGTCTAGGGACGTACGCCGCGGGTGGGGGGCAGGGGAGGGCCGACAAGGGGCTGCTGCTCGCCTGGCACGGAGGAGAGGCGAAAAAGTGACGGACGAGCCACGGACAGGCAAGGCCTTCCGAGGTCAGAGGGGGGACTTCCGCCACTGCCAGGGCCACCTTGTGGGACCAGCAGACAACAGCCAAGATTTGGTTTATTTTGGGAGCTTTTGTGCAAAAAGAATGAATTCATCCAAAACAACACAAAACAAAAAAAATCCACAAAACCCAAGGGTTTTTTCTAACAGGAGTGGCTGGTCCCACGCAGCCCCCAGGCAGCCTAAAGAGCTCCCGTCTCTGACCCACCCTGCTGGGAGAAGGGGGCGGAAGGACCCACAGACCACCACTGGCGGGACAAGCAAAACCCTCCCTGCCTTCCTCTCTGAGCTTCCGGCAGCAGCCCAACTCGGCTAGGCCCCTGATAGCAATGAAGCAGCAGGTGTTGGGCCTCCTGGGCAGGAGCCCCCCAACCTGGAGGGCTGCCACTTGCTGCCCAGCTCTCTGTGGCCTTGTGGTCTGACAGAACCAGGCTGGCTTGGGAGGCCCAGAGGGAAGCCCCCGGCCCCCTCAGCTCGCACCAAACCCCTGCCCCTGGCCCCCACACTCAAAGGGAGAGCCACTGCTCGCATCTGTCCCTGGGCAGCGTGCTGGGCAGGTAACGCGGAGCTCCTGAGGCCCCGCCCTGCTTCATCTCCCGAAAACAGCAGCGACGACCGGCTGCTGGCAGCAGCCCGGGCACAAGTACATTAAATAAAAAACTAAAGCGAAGCACGGGTTCGTCTATTAAGGCTCAGTTAAGCTGCCTCCCAGGTTAAATGCTCCTGAGCACTGCGGCCCCAGGTACAGGGGGGCAGGCAGGCAGGGGCGCTGGGGGCAGAGACCTTGCATGGCCCCGGGGAGTGGGGGACAGGGCAGGGGGGCAGGACCATGGGGGAGCCCTGTGCTGGTCTAGATCTAGGAGGCTGGGGATGCCCCTGTCGAGGGAGCTGAGGCTCTGCCTGCCCGAGCAGGCTCTAGGGGACAGCAGGAGGACAGGGGCTGGCACTCCAGGCTGCTGGGTCTCCTGGCCGGGACTGAGGGGAGGGCGTGGACAGGGTCCCTCTCCACAGTCTCGCTGTGTGCGTCTGAGGGAGTGGGCCCTGAGCTGGTGGACACTGAGGCCATCCAGGGTTCTCCAGGGGTCCACACACGCAGTCAGCCCTACTCAGCCACCAGGCGGCAGGAGACACTGCCCAGCTGCCCACTTCCATCCATGACTGATTCCCAGCCGCCCCCTCCAAGCCCAGCTTATCTTTTCGGGGGGTAAGGCTGGAGGGGGAGCGATGGGGATCATGGCTGGAGGGCCTGGGGACTTGGGGCAGGCAGGAAGGAGGGCCTGGGGGAGGCCTTGGCTTGGGCCTCAGGCCTGGAGGGGTCACAATCGGGGAGCGTCCTAGAGGCCCCTGCCTTGGAGTCTCTGAGGCCGATTTTCCAGTCCGTGGAGAAATACTGCGAGGACGATCTTGGGGCGGGGGGCTGGGCCCGGCACGCTCCTAGTGCTTCTCGGCCTGACTGACCTGCAGGGCGCTGATGACGCCGCTGATGTTCTCTTCCGGTACCTGGCAGAGGAGGGACACATGGCCCGCAGGTGAGCTGTGACCACGCCCCGGCCCCACCCTCGAACTCTACTCCCAGTGGGAGCCCAGAGCCCGGTCATTGCCCCGTCCCCGTGGACCCAGGACCCCGCCCCCAGCCCCCACTCACCAGTGCATGGTCGAACTTGAAGGTGCTGATGTAGTAGGCAGGGATGTCGGCCGCAGCCAGGGGCTCGGAGATCTGGGCCACGATGCCGCACTCATCTAGGACGCAGGGCGCGTTCAGATGCCTCGGCCTGGCTGCTCCGCCTGCAAGGTCCCTCAGCAGGCAGTGTCCACCCCGCACCCATCCCCAGACCCCCGGGGCTTGGCTCCTAGCTTCCTCTTCCGCCTCCTCGCCTTCCTCCCCTGAGCTTAGAGTGACCCCCGTGCCCTGCGAGGCTCACCGAATCCCAGCGGCTGCCCGCCAATGCGCACCATCTTCCACAGCTCCCTGGACGCGCTGGTGAACAGCAGGTTCCCAGGAAACCTAAGTGGGGTGAGAGAGGGGGGCCCCCTTGAGATTAACCATACATCCCCCCCCCCACCCTGGTTCTCCCCCCATGAGGCAGGGCCAGTCTTCGGGTGCAGCTGGCCTGATCCACTCAACGGAAAAAAGCTGGGGGTGGGCGTGGGGTGGGCTGGGTGGGATTTGGGCACACATGGCCCAGGGGCTGTAGTCTCCCACACCCTGCCCATGGTGGGCACTGTGCCAGCCCCCCCATCCCCACTCACCTCTGCTGGGTCTGCACGTCCATCACCAGGGAGATGTAACCCTCGATGAGGGAGAAGGAGAAGAAGCGGATGTGGCCGCAGTCCTCACCAGCGGCAGCCATGGGATCCTTCACTCTGGGGGGCCAGGGAGTGGGTGCGGGGGGGCACTACGGCAACCCTGTCCCTACCCCCTGCCCTGCCTCCCTGGTGTTCTCAGCAACATGGGGTGGCATTCATGGGGTCAGGCACCACACTTGACAGGGCTGCTGGTGTCTGTCCCATGAGGCCACCTCCCAGGGCAGCTCTGTGCCCCCCCAGCCGGCAGTCCTGGGGCAGCTCCGTGCCCCCGCCCCCCCAGCCGGCAGTCCTGGGGCAGCTCCGTGCCCCCCCAGCCGGCAGTCCTGGGGCAGCTCCGTGCCCCCCCCATCCACAGCCGGCAGTCCTGGGGCAGCTCCGTGTCCCCCCATCCACAGCCGGCAGTCCTGGGGCAGCTCCGTGCCCCCCCCCCCCCGCCAGCCGGCAGTCCTGGGGTGCCTACCCATTGGAGTAGAACATGACGTCCATGAGGAGGGTGGCAACAGTGGGCAGTGTGTCGGGGTCCAGGCTGGTCACACAGAACCTGTTGCTTGGGCTGGACAGCGGGTGGATCACTGGCCTCTGGACTGCGAGAGGGAGAAAGACAGGGACACTGCAGCCAGGACAGCGTGGGGTGGTCCAGGAACAGGGTCCTGGGATGCAACCGCCTCGGGCAGGACCCAGAGGAGCCTTCTCAGCTTCCATCACCGCCCGTGGTGTTCCAGTGACTCTGCCCAGGGGCCCCTGGGCCTTTGCACGTGCTGCCTGGGGACCGCTTTTCCCTGCCCGCACCATCTGGCGCCACTCCTACCTGTTCCCTAAGCTCTGGCTCAGGCCCAGGCAGACACGAGCAGCCAAGTCCGGCCAGGTCATGTCTGCCTGCTCCGAGCACAGAAACCTGTGCTCCCGAGGGGCTCTGCCCCCGCCCCGCCCCCTGCTCACCCATCTTGGGCTTCACAAAGCCGTTGGTGATGCTGAGGCTCTCGGCTGCTACCGTCTCGCCATTGACAACCCGCAGGATGGTGAACTCTGATGACAAGGTGTGGGTGACGAAGGGCAGATCTCGCTCGCGTACCTGCAGAGGGTGGGGTGGGGTGGGGCAGGTGGGACTGTGAGCACCCCGCAGGGAGCCTGAACTGTCCCCGCACCCAGAAGCAGGAGGAGATGGCGGCAAGAGTGACACACTCACCAGGATGAAGTCCGTCTGGTAGGTGGACAGCATAAACACGGAGATGTTCTGGTCGGCCAGCGGGGCGATGACCGACTTGGCGATCTTGGTCACACCAATGGGCTGGGAGCTGGAGAAGCTGCCGCCACCAGACACCACGTTCAGGGCCAGCCAGGTGGCATCCGCTACACTCAGGTGCTCGGAGGAGGGCAGCTCTGGGGAACACAGAAGGTGGCTCAGTGACTGCTGGGGTCCCGCGCATCCCAGGGGGCTGGCGAGGAGCGCAGGGCTGAGACCGGCCAGCTCCGGTACCCCTGACATGCTGTGTGATCTTGGCTGGCCCGTCCCTCTCTGGGCCTCAGTGGTATCACTGGTTAATCGGGCAAGATGGAACAGGTGCCTGCCTTGGAGCCCATGGGAAGCAGCTTATCAATACACAATCTCAGCTTCTGGGGCAGGAACCTGACGACCTGCGTCACCTCCTGGTCCTTACAGTCCTTGGGGAGTTGTGTGCCACTTGGGGAGTTGTGTCTCTGCTACTACTGGGCCACGGGGACAGGTGTGCAGTCTGCAAACTGAGGGTGGGGGTGGGAGCCCTGGGTCTCCCTCCCAGTGCTGCCAAGCCTACGCCTTGGATGTCTTAGGAAGGATGCCCACACTGGGGTGGGCGGTGACTGTCCTTCAAGGCCCTCCTAGGAGCCTGGGGGAGTCAAGGGCTTGCTGCCCTGACTGCCCACCTTGGGGCATGGCCACCCCATCGCAGGCATCCGTGACTATGCACGCTATTACAAAGCTAGCCACGGCGGGCATCTGGAGGCGGTGGCCCATCAGTGGCCGTGGAACTCTCCATCCGTGTTTGCCTCTCTGGCTCCCAGATAAAGAATTTCAGTTTATAAAAAGACAAAGTGGCACAAGCATGTGATGCCGAGTGGGGGCGAGGGAGCGGCGGGGTGCACTCAGAACTCGGCAAGAGGCCACGGGTGCGCACAGCCCATCCCAACCCGCCAAGGTGTCACTTTAAACAGTGGGGCAGCCCCTCCTAAGCCAGCAGTGGAAGGGCCCCCCACTTGGGCTCATGGGTAGGGTCAGCTTTAGGAGCCAGGAGTTCCATCTGGTCTTCCATGTGGGTGCAGGGACTCCAGCACACGGGCCACCTTCCGCTGCCTTCCCAGGGGCATTGGCAGGGAGCCGGATCAGAAATGGAGCAGCCAGAACTCGAGCTGGTGCTCACATGGGATACTGGCTGCTTAACCACCACGATGCTGGCCCTCAGGGGGTGACTTCTTGCAGTGGCTGGAGCTGAGCCAATCCAAAGCCAGGAGCCCAGGGTCTCTTCCAGGTCTCCCACTTGGGTGCAGGGTCCCAAGGCTTTGGGCCATCCTAGACTGCTTTCCCAGGCCACAAGCAGGGAGCTGGATGGGAAGCAGGGCTGCCGGGATTAGAACCGGCACCCAAATGGAATTCTGGCGCACTCAAGGTGAGGACTTTAGCTGCTAGGCCACCGCAGGGAACTCTGCTGGCTCATGCCAGTACTGTTTTCTAAAAAGATCTATTTTTGTTTGAAAGGCAGAGTTGGGTCTGCTGTGATGGTTTAATCTGTTAATCCTCCACTTACAAGTGCCAGGATCTCTCATATGGGCGCCGGTTCGTGTCCCGGCAACTCCACTTCCCATCCAGCTCCCTGCTTGTGGCCTGAGAAAGCAGTGGAGGACGGCCCAAAACCTTGGCCCCCTGGCCCCCCTGTGGAAGACCTGGAAGAAGCTCCCGGCTCTTGGCTTCAGATTAGCTCTGGCCATTATGGTCATTTGGGGAGTGAACCAGTGGATGGAAGATCTTCATCTCTGTCTCTTCTTTCTGAAATTCTGTCTTTCCAATAAAAACAAATAAATCTAAAAAAAAAAAAGGTCCCCAGGAGACCACACCCAAGTGCAGCCCCTGTCATGACCAGCCTGGCTTTACCGTCTGCCTCTGCACAGAACTCCACCTCGGCGTTTCCTGCCTACCATGGAGGGTCACCAAAAGCTTCGAGTCCCTGGGAGGGGCCAGAGCTTAGAAAACCCCCCACGCACCTCCTACAGTGTGGATGGGGAGGCGTCTAAGTCAGGGCACGAGCTGAGGAGCAGGCCCAGGGACGTGTGCCTCCGGAGTCTTGGTCCCTGTTCCGTCCCCACTGCCCATGCTCCTCCTCTGGGGAGCCCTCCAGGCTGGTCCTTCCAGTCCCTTCTCACACTCTTGTCCCTAGAAACGTCGAGTGAGTCCCAATTGCTGGGACCCGTGCCTTTCCCTGCCCCAAATGGCTTCCACCTAGGGGGAAGGGCTCTTGATTCTTTTCCTTGAGTTCGCCTCGGGCCCTGCCTCCTCCAGGAAGTCCTCCTTGCTTGTGCATGTGCCAGCTGGCCTGGGGCACCGCTCTCCTTGGATCACTCTGGCTCCCGTGTCTCTGAGCTTTGGAGCGCCTATGTTCCTCCCTGCCCAGGAGATGTCCAGGAGTGGAGAGCAAATGAGTCAACACACGTGGAGCTGAACTGGCTCCCCACGGTCCCCGACGTGTGATGGTTCGGCTGATGATTTCTCGACTTTACGATGGCAGGTGCAGAAGCACTCCCATGAGCTTCATGTTTTTTACTTTCAGTGCAGAGTTTGGTAAACTGCACGGGGCAGCCACACCTTAGTGTGAGAGGCAAGCCCAGCTGCGGGCCAATGGAAATGCTCTCAGCACACTCGAGGTGGGCAGAGCGTAGCTAGGGGGCTTGGTGGGTGAGGCGCAGCTCACGCGTTTCCACCTTATGATGTTTGCCACTCAGGATGGGCTTATGGGGACATCAGTGTAACCCAAGGGGCTCCTGTACTTGGTGCTCCTCCAGTTGCAGACCCCCCCTCCCACATGGTCTCCAGGACAGCACAACACAGGCCATGGTTATCAGTGCAGCCTGCTGGCAGGCCCTGAGGGTCCCGGCTGTTCCTTGAGGCTGTCTGCAGAATCCGCACACAGCAGGTGCTTGGCAAATGGTGCCTCCTGCCCCATCGGGGTGCTCCGAGGAAGCCCCCTGGGCCCCTCCCTCCCTCCCAGGGTGTGCAGAACCAGCACACCGAGTCCAGTCGTGTCTGCCCCTCTGCTCTTCTTTCCTACACCTGCTGCCTCTGGAAGAGGCTGGGGGTGCCTCATCGTGGGAAGTGGAACAAAGAGAATATTCTGTCTCTTGGGTTAGCTTCCTTTTGTCAGCACAGTATGCGAGTCTTTTGGGTAAAGATGCAGGAGTACCCAAAAGAAAATACCTAAAAGAAAATAACAGTGGGGCTGGTGTTGTGGCACAGGGTGTTAAGCCACTGCCTGCCATCCCTTGAATACCCGTATGTGTCCCGGCTGCTACACTTCTGATCCAGCTCCCTGCAAATTGGAAAGTAATGCAAGATGGTCCAAGTGTTTGGGCCCCTGTATCCATGTGGGAGACCCGCAGGGAGGCCCTGGTTCACCCCAGCACTGCGAGGTCATTTTGGGGCTGGGGGAGTGTGAACCAGTTGATGCAACTTTTTTTTTTTTTTTTTTAAGATTTACTTATTGTTGTTGGAAAGGCAGATTTACAGAGAGTAGGAAAGACAGAGATGAAGATGTTCTGTTCACTGGTTCACTCGCCTAGTGGCCACAACAGAGAAGCTGATCTGAAGCCAGGAGCCAGGAACCTCTTCTACGTCTCCCACACCAGTGCAGGGTCCCAAGGCTTTGGGCCGTCCTCGACTGCATTCCTGGGCCAGAAGCAGGGAGCTGGATGGGAAGTGGAGCAGCCAGGACATAAATTGGCACCCACATGCGGTCCCAGTGTGTTCGAGGTGAGGAGTAAGCCACTGAGCCCTCCCACTGGCCCTGGTTGTGACTTTTCTGTCTCGCTCAGCAACACTGAGTCTTACTGGCCCCCGTGACGCTGCTGTCTGGCCCAGGCTGCATCAGCGGCAGATGGACAGGGCGACGAGGACACAGGTGCTCGGCTGACTCCGTGGCAAAGCTGCAGGAGAGGCGGTGGGCAGCAGGGCTGAGCCCGGGCCGTGGTCCAGTGTGTCCACGGAGGAGAAGCGCTTACCTAGGAAGCCCTCCTCGTCCACGATGATGGTGTAGTCCTCCGGCGTCTCGGTCAGGCTGAAGAACTTGCACCTGGAGAGACAGACGGACACGCAGACATGGAGCTCCACCAGCCTCAGCTGGCATCCCATGGTAGCCGTGCCCACCCATGACCCAGTCCATGCAGAGCTCCAGCCTGGGGTGCTCGGAGGTCTCGGGCAAGTTGCTTGTTTACTCCTCTGGCCCCCATCTCCTGTACCCCCTCATTTCTGGGGTCCCTGAGCCCACCAGACAGGAGGCTGAGACCCTCACTTCCCTCAGAGGGAGACAGGGAACCACTTGGTCTGTTGCCTTAAGGCCTGAATTGCTTCCACCACAGCCCAGCCCAGCCCAGTTCAGACCTGTCTGGTTTTTCCCCTGTGGAAGACAGGGGTGTGGGCACTGAACCCTATGTGGCCACACAGTGCCCTTGACAATGACTCTGGCTTCTACCTCCCCGCCCCCAACAACAGAGCCACGACTACCCTGGTATGGGGATCAGGGCTTGGTTCCGGGTTGGTCTGTGCAACTTGCAGTCCCCAGGAACCGGGAGGTCATGACCGCTCAGTGTCTGTGTCTGCTTTCTGCTGTCTAGCCACGACTGCCCGCCCCCAGACACGAGACTGATGGTGCGCAGGCAGTCACTTCTCTGGCATCGGTGCCCTTCAGTATGCTGCCTGGCATGGGCTCTGGGCCCAGGGCGTGAACTCCATTGGCCACGGGACGCCAGAGAAGCAGCCAGGCGTGGTCTCCCTTCCCTCAGCAGTCAGCACAGGGCCTCTCTGGGTGAGGACCCAGGACCGAAGGGCCCTCCTTCAAGGTCGTCTTCCCCTCTCAGCCAACCCGCAGCTCTCATCAACCTGCCCAGCCCTTGACTCAGGGGTCAGGTGATGTACAAACTTGACAGATGGTGAGAGAGGGGGAGAGGCACCGATGTGTGTACACACACACACACACACACACACACACACACACACACACACACACCACAATCTTTGGGTCCAGTCCCCAAACGCCCACAAGAGCTGGGCAGGAGCAAGGAGTCAGGGTATCAAGACAGGTCTCTCATGTCACAGTTGGCAGGGACTCAGTTGCCTGAGCCATCACCGTGAGCCATCACCCAGCATCTCTGTTAGCAGGAAGCTGGGCTCAGGGACTCCAACTCGGTACTCCAACAGTGAACACAGCAGTCTCCCACCAGGCCAAGTGCCTGCCATTCAGGGTACCCTTTGAACACACACACACTTCTTAAATTAATTAATTAAAAAGTTTTTAAAGATTTATTTATTTTTATTGCAAAGTCAGATATATAGAGAGGAGGAGAGACAGAGAGGAAGATCTTCCATCTGATGATTCACTCCCCAAGTGAGCACAACAGCCAGTGCTATGCCGATCCAAAGCTAGGAGCCAGGAACTTCCTCCAGGTCTCCCACACGGGTGCAGGGTCCCAAAGCTTTGGGCTGTCTTCGACTGCTTTCCCAGGCCAGAAGCAGGGAGCTGGATGGGAAGTGGAGCTGCCGGCGCCCATATGGGATACTGGTGAGTTCAAGGCGAGGACTTCAGCCGCTAGGCCACCGCCCCACGCCCACACATGTTCTTGATATTGCCACAGCTGGGGCCGGTGCTGTGCTATATATAGACTAAGCTTCTGTCTGTGTGTGTGGCTCAAGTCCTGCCTGCTCCATTTCCAATCCAGTTCCTTGCTAATGCTCCTAGGAAAGCAGTGGAGGATGACCCAAGTGCTTGGGCCCCTGCACCCATGTGGGCTTCAGACCTGCCCAGCTTCAGCCCATGCGGCCACTTGGGGAGTGAATCAGTGGATCTTTCTCTTTCCTTCTCTCTCTGCAACTCTTCCTTCCCAATAAAAATAAAATAGATACTAAACAATTTTCCCATAAGCCTACAGGGCAACGCTGTTCTTCCATGTGGCTGGTGGGAATGCAAAACAGCCTAGTCATTGGGACAATCACTCAGCAGTTTCTTACAGAGTCAAGTGCATACGGACCGTGTGACGCAGGCAACGTTATGCCTGAAGGTTTACCCGAGAGTGGAGGAAACATCTGCCGCCACAAAGCCCTGCCAGCAGATGCTATCTGCCTCTGCCTGTCATCACTGCAAGCCAGAGACAGAGACCACCCTTAGGTGCCGTCCTCAGCTGCAGAAGGGAAAACCTGGGCCTGCCCACCCCTGGGACTCCCAGTCACAACACACAGGAGTGAAGCCCGGAATCACAGGACGCAGCACGGAGGACACCTGCAACAGGCGGCTCCTGGGGGTCCACTCATGATGGTTCTGTGCACTTGACATTCCGGGAAGAGGCCACACTAGCTGCAGAGGGAGGAGGCGAGCAAGCATTTAGGTGAAGTGGCCACTAGGGATGCCCGCAGTTTGTATCAGGGGGCTGGGGTTACCATCTGACCTCATTTCCCATCCAGCTTCCTGCCATAGGTCCTTGGGTGCCTGGCACCCATGTGAGGGACTGGATGCAGTGCTGGGCTTCCCGCTTCAGCCGGCCCAACCTTGGCTATTGTGTACCTTTGGAGAGCGAAGTTCAAATTATTATTATTTTTTATAAAAGCTTTACTTATTTGGAAGGCAGAGTGATACATAGAAAGATGTCTATTAGCTGGTTCAGCTGCTGCTTTCCTAGGTATGTCGGCAGGCAGCCAGATGGGAAACAGAGCAGTCAGGATTTGAACCAGTGTTCACACACTGTGCTACAAGTGACAGCTTGACCTGCTATACTAGCCTCTCAAATAATTTTTTTTTTAAAAACAAAAGAATGAACTTGCAACTGTTAGGGGTTGGGTAGGAGCTGGGCAGAGAGGTTCTGGACAATTTTAGGGGTGATAAGTCTGCCTGGCCTCTTGGTTACAAAACCAAGGCTGACTTGCTGAACATGAAAGGCACCTTGCTAAATATGGCATGAGGGAGAAGGCCGCGCTGGGGCAGCGTCGAGGCAGCTCCACTGGGGCAGCTCTGGGTGCCCCCTCTGATCTGCTCAGCCAACAAAGGGAGTCTCTCATTTCCTTGCAGGCCTGGCCTTTCCAATGAAACACTGTAGCTACTGCCAGGACCAAGGCAATCCTCCGAGCCAGAGACAAGGTGCCTTAGTAGGTGGCATTCACCTGTTGGGCCTGGTTGCTTCCTGGGGACCCTCGTGGGCTCAGAGCCAGCCTCTGGAGCACTTTCCACCCCAGGCCGCAGCCTGCCTGGACTGGGTGGGTAGGGGGCCCCTCAGCCTTCAAGGAGCCAGCGCTATGGATGTGAGTGGATGTGATGTTTATTCCCAAGGCCGTCCTGGCTGGAAGGGACGCTCTGGGAACAGAGCCCAGGAACCCGTGTGGCTGCAGGACACAAACACGAGCAGACAGCAGGTGCGGCTGCTGGGGATAAATAAGTTGTTGAAGTGACCTGTCCCCTGGGGCTGGTGCCCCCGTGGCCCTGCCAGCTGTCAGACGCTTGTCCTGAAACGCACACCCTGGCACAGGCAAGGTCTCACGGAGGGCAGATCTGCCAGAGGCACCTGTCACCACCATTCTGGTCACCAGCTCAGCCTCCCTCTTACCCCTGGTGTCCTGTGTGTCACTCTGTGATGCCTTTCCTTTCCCCACCCATATCCCCAGCGGGAACCGCGGCCAGGGAGCTGGAAACGGTATCATCCTTTTCTGTTGTCCCCTGACATGTTTGTTTATTTCAAAGAGACGAGCGAGAGCTTCCATCCACTGATCTACTTCTCAAACAGCTGCAAAACCTAGCAGCTGAGCCAGGCTGAGGCGAGGAGCCAGAGTTCCCACCTGGATCTCCCACGTGGGTGCCAGGGCCCCCGATCCTGAGCCATCCCCTGCTGCCTCCCAGGTGTGTTACAGAAAGAAGCTGGAGCTTGACCCAGGGACTCCACCATGAGATGCAGGCGTTCCAAAAGCTGGCTTAATCCACTACACCACAGAGCTTGCCCGACACCCTTTACCCTTATCCTTATTATTTTTTTTTAAATGTTATTTATCTGAAAGAGAAAATCTTCCATCAGCTGGCTTGCTCCCCAGATGACCTAACGGCCAGGCCTCATCCGGGTCTCCCATGTAGGTGATTTCCACTGCTTTTTTGTGGCCATGAACAGAGAGCTAGATTGGAAGAACAGCTTATGGGACACAAACGGGTGCCCATATGGGATGTCGGCATTACAGGTGGCAATTTTATTCACTCTGCTGGTCCCGGCAGCTGTTTGTTGCAGAAGTGGCACCCATCTCGTTCGGACCTGTCACAGTTTTGGTGGGACAAGGTGCTTCCCGACACTGCACACCCTGTCCCTGACAGCTGCCCTGGCTCAGGTGTCTTCTGCACAGTAGGTACATCAGGCCTCCTCCTGCTGCTGGCCGGGCCGGGGGCCCTCAGGTGAGGGAAAGCAGGGACAGTGGGCATCCGGCTTCCTCCTCCGAGACAGCCACAGCCTCTTCCTGCGTCTCTCCTGGGTCCTTGGCAGGTCCTCGTGTCACTGACATTTCACTCCTCCCATCTCCGTCAAGCAGACGCCATGGCTGTGTTGGGCTATTGCTAGAAGAAAGTCCTTGTGTTGGTTCACACTTAGAAGGGAGATTTGTTCTAAGATGGGAAATTAACTTGTTGCTGTTACAATTAGAAAAATTCAATCAGACAATGAGGGTGGTGGTGGTGTGGGATAGCCCACGGGGAAATCGGGAAGGTGGGGACACCAATGGAGCTGGGGGCTCCTGGCTGTTCTGGGGGGCAAAAGACCACAGATTTCGGGGATGGTGTGGTGGCAAAGCAAGCTAATCCACATGATGTGCTGACATCCCATATGGGTACCAGTTCAAGTCCCAGATGTTCTACTTTCAGTCCAGCTTCCTGTTAAAGGTCCGGGAAAGTGGTGGAGGGTGGACCAGGTGCTTGGACCCTTACACCCATGGAAGGTGCTACAGGCTCCTGGCTTTGGACTGGCTCAGTTCCGGCCTCTGTGGCCATCTGGGGAGTGAACCAGCAGATGGAAGCTCTCTGTAATTTTGACTTTGAAGTAAAATAAAGCAAATCTTCAA